CTACCTTAAGGAACACATCGTATATAATTATTTATAAACTTATTATGAATATAATAAGTTTACAAAATTAAATATTAGTGAAATATTTTACGAAAATTAATTTATGAATAATTAGTTAACCTCATGTTGAGATTCAAAAAGCGGATTGTTATGTTTGTATAATATAGTGATTTATCGACAGGACTTTATTGCTGTTCCTTTTAATGAGAAATCCTAACAGAAAATTCACAGATGATCTTGTTACACACTGTTGAATTTTCGTAGAGTCGGGACCGTCGGAGACAGGGCAAGAACGCAAAACACTTTGATAAAGTGCGTCGTATGGTCTTGTTGAGATTAATTACAAACGGAGATTTATTCTTTCTAAGCTTTCTCAGTAAACTGTAGTTTTCTGAGGAACTCAAACAGTGATTATTTTAAGCTATTTGTTTACATCCGTCATTGAAAATTTGTACGACGCTCTTTATATTATCTTATAATTCTTTGGTATTGCCAATTATAAAATAATAATTTTATGTTTACGATTTGAAAAAGTATATACGGATAGTGTGAGCTTGTAGTGACACCAGTATAATATCTTTATCATGCTCTATCTTCATGTGGTTTAAATTCTCGGTTTAAGCTAATGCATTAAGATTGTCCACCTAAACTCAAAAAATATTATTATTTATGTCTTCTGGGCCTCACCTCTTTTCATATTACAAAGCTCGCAAAAACAATGGAGTACCAGATAGACTTCAGATCTGAGCTCTGACGATTAGCTTTACTTCGGAAGAGAAAAAACACTTTTATTCGACGTCTTCTGGTCAAAGTCTGGCTAAAATAGCATTATTTACCAAATAAGATCATGGAAATATTCCGTAGATCTTATTCGAATATACTTGGCTCAAAGCACTTCGACATTGCATGATTTCAATTTCCATATTTAGACAAAAATCTTTCAATAAAAATAAAAATGTTTCGAGTTCTATTCTCCACTCTAAATACTACGAGTAAAATTTTAAAATATCAGGTTTACACTGTTTGAATATAGTCTATTTATTTCAAAAATATTTTTCCATTTTCTCCAAATTCAGGTTTGTCTGTCATCGTAACAGAGGCATGGATAAACTGTTTATCTATTATCTTGGAAAAAGTTTTATTAAAAACCATAAAAATAACATTTAAGGATCAATCGTCATACTCTGAATATCTGAGAGAATTATTTACAGTTGTTAATTTACGAATGCTTAACCTCTAAATATTTTTTCTCCAAACAGTTGTCAAGTCAATTGCTAAGAATCTCCATAACATTTATTATTCCCGAGAGCAATGAAACATAAAATGTTCTCTGATCTCATATCTGAGGAGAATAAAATAATTCTTTATATTAAATATTCAAAAATTTATAAATAATATTTGTATATTATGTGTTACGATAAATTAATTTAATTTAAATAAATTTGCATTTCATAAACATTTTTAAACTTATAAACTAGGGCTTTTATAAAAATAACAGATATAACTCAGAATATAAAAATTAATATCAATCAAGAAACAATGATGCATTAAATATTAAAGGAAAAAAACCATAAATATATTTAATAAATAGAATACAGATAATAATCGACCGCAATTGAATACAAACAATCTGCGGATAAAACCTCTGTCCTAAAAGTCATAAAAACTAAGTCTGCAACAACAATCCTTTTTTTCCTTGTTTTATCTATTACTTAGAAGAATTTCGAATTCAGACTTTTCAAAACATTTCATTATATAATAATAAGCATAATAAAAAGAAATAGCCTAAGTAAATAAGTGTTACGTTTAAGTGTAAAATAGATACACGGTGTTAAGAACGCATTCAGTATTTATGTAACAAAGAGTACTACTATAAGTGTAATAAAACGTTAGTAAACAGGTCATATTAACAATTACAAAATTGTATGTTACTAACATGCTGACTTATTGGCTTCTTTGTGTCGCACGCGACGTAAAAAGATAGAATAATCTCGTAAATATTTACCTTGATATTTATAGATGTTTCACGTGTCTTCCTTCCGTTCTCGTGCACGTTTGGCATCATTATCTTACCGGACTCTAAAAAATTCCAGGTTTTTATGGAATTATTTATCTCGGAAACGGTCGAATTGTTGCATTTACTAAGGTTTGCTTTTTACTCAGTAGGGAATGTTTTATATACCATATAAATACTGAATGACTTCTTTCACATTTTATATTGAAACTAGAAACAATACTCACAGAATTCCACAAATATGCGTTTCGTTCAGTTTCATCAACAAAAATCGATTAAAGATGAAAATATAATTTGCAGCTTTACCAACTTTTATGTTTCGTAAGCTATCACTTGCTTACAAGGCATAAAAGTTACGAAATTTCTCAAGTAATTGAAAAAAGACATTTTTATTATTTTAATAACATCAAACGCACTATTATATATATAATTTACACATAATAACTAATTTTTATTAGCACTTTTATAAAGAGAGATTTGGTCTGTTTGTCTTAACTTTTACTTCGTTAATTACATATACAAACAGAAATCATTACTTTCATCAGGCAAATTAGCATTAATTTCTAGAAGGCTACTACGCAATAATTGGTACACATCTTGAAGTTCATCTTGATACACATCAATTACGTGGCCCGCGGAATTCTCACTTAGGCCCTAATAACTTTTTGAAAGGACGAAAATGAAATGAGAAAATTCCTATTATTTCAAGAATTTTTTTATGAATTTAACTGTTTCGGTTCTGATATTTTAATAAAGAAATTAAAAGGTCAACATTTTACTTCTCAAAATTTTGCGTTACTGGGCTGCATTAAATTAAATACACTAAAAATAGGATTAAAAATTGCAGTCCGACATTGTGACGATGTCACAATAAATAATTGCTCGTTTATAGTGTGTTAATGTGAAATTTAATAATATAATCAGCAAAACTTTTTGTTTAAACTCCAATAATTTTTTTTTTGAAATTTTTCGTCTAATGGAGATTATTGTTATTAAACAAAAAATTAAAGACAGTCTGCCGAAAAGGGGCCACCATTTATTTTTTGTGTTCCAGCCTTCGCATTCACGACGACAGACCTTCCTTTATAGGCTACATGCCGCCAGAATTTAAAAACAGTCCTTTAAAAAATACAATTACATCCAATTTAAAAAATCTTTTTAAAAAAGGAACTGGTGTTATACAGACTTTTTTTTTAATTGGATGTAATTCTGTTTTTTAAAGGACTGTTTTTAAATTCTGGCGGCATGTAGCCTATAAAGGAAGGTCTGTCGTCGTGAATGCGAAGTCTGGAACACAAAAAATAAATGGTGACCCCTTTTGGGCATACTGTCTTTAATTTTTTGTTTAATTAATCCAATAATTTTGTTACAGAATAAAAGATTATTTTCTGGAACTTTGAACAAAAGAAATTTACTCACGTTTTACATTATGAAGAAAATGATTAATGATATTTAAATAATAACTTAGTTATGGTTGATAATGATAAATTTATGCTAGAAATATAATTTATTACTAATTACATTATCGGCTTTCGAATATTGGCTATTTAGAATTCAATAAGGTACATTTATGCCTATAAAAGAACGAATAGTAAAGAATGATATCGTATAAATAAAATAGGCTAACATAGATCGAAATGATTGAATAATCGGGAAAAGAGTAGTCATATTTTATGCCATTATAAATATTTCTGTATTATTTTATTCTAATTTGCTCAATCGGCATCGATGGAATACTCATTTTTATAAACTGTAATACAGCAGCCTTCGGTAACGGTTGATTTAAATAATTTTTACATACAATCTATGAAGAGACTAATCTAATAAACAGAAATTTAAAAAGACGAAAAAGTTAAACTTTTAATTACGAAAGCGAAAATATTTAAACTCGACGATGATAATTCTACTTTCAATCGTGTTTAAATTGCGACACAGAAAATTACGTAACACCAAACTCTTCAAATTTAACTCATAAATAAGCTCGTATATAATAGTCAATAAGATATAAATAGCTTTAATGAACTTTAAAACAATAAAAATTTTTTCCTGTTGACATTATTTTAGTTCACTTTAAAAAAATTGTTTGTTTTTTAAAATTCTAATTAAACTATAAAAGAACTCAATGAGAGACTATTTGGTATCTAATTATTTGCAAAATGAAATGGCTTTAAATATTTAACTTGTACTTTATTGAAATTAAAATATTTAATTTGTATTTTATTGGAATGATTTTTGTTAAAATACAATGCTATTATGCTAACATTGGGTTAATTTTGCATTATTTACACATTTATATTACTCGAATAAAAGAATTTGCGCGGGGAAACTTATTCGTAAGAATTCCTATACTGTATTCTAATTTTTAATAAACAAAGATACATTATAGGTTCGTTCATGTTTTATTTTAAAATCTAAATAATACTTTTTCTAAGCTAAATGTTTGTGCATTATAAGTAAGCATTTAGGCCTAACTGTTATGTAAGTAGATCTAAATATCTGTTGATAATATTGTGTTAATATCGAAAATATGTAATTTTTTATTATTGTTAATCTGTGTAAAAAAAGTTATATTTCTAACTTGTTTAAAATTAATGCATGAAATAGCTATATAATTCTATTAAAGTTATTTTAGTATTTACTCTAAGTTAAAAGTAATGTGTCCCGGATCTATTTTAAAAGTAAGAAATGATACGTTATAACGTAATTTTAACTTCGTTGCATTTTTCTAGCTGTAATTTCCATTTTAAAATTATGATTTTGACGTTTCTAAATAATTTAGTATATTATTTTTTTTATATTTTTATAGCTGTAATTTCCATTTTAAAATTATGATTTTGACGTTTCTAAATAATTTAGTATATTATTTTTTTTATATTTTTATATAAACCATCTTTCAGGAAGAAGCGAACTTGCACAGTAATTATGTAATAACGAGGCATAAGTATCGTCTGTAACCTTGAAGCAATTGACTTTAGCATTCGGATGAGCGTGACTAAATTATCTAGGTTCTTTCCTTCTCAGTTTTCCTTTTCTCGTTCAAAAGGATACCGAGATGAATAAAAGAGAGAACGGTGAAAACGACGTTCTTTCGAACACCAAAAATACTAAAGATGCCGAAACGGGGAGATGCGAAAGAATATTAACGAAAAAATGGAAATTGATTTCCAAGTTTTGTATATTTCTTTTGGTGTTAGCGGTCGTTCTGTTAATTGTGGGAGTGGTGTACGTCTCCATCGGACTGTTGGCCAAAAAAAAGACTCGAGATTTTCGACTTCCGAAATCGATCGTACCTACGCATTATACTTTGGAAATTCAACCTTTTCTCGTTCCGAAAGTTTTGAAATTTAGAGGAAGTGTAGAAATCAATTTTCATTGTAAAGAGAGAACAGACGAAGTAGTTCTTCACGCTAAAGACTTATCTATAGATCATGGGAGCGTTAGAATTTGGAACGAAAAAGGGAAGGACGTGGAAATATTCAAAATCGATTACGAACCTGTCGTAGATTTGGTCATTTTGAAGTTGTCCGATAAATTGTCCGTGGATAATTATATTCTATTTATGAGCTTTGACGGAAATATGGACAAGTCTTCCGGTAGCACGGGTTTCTACAGTTATATCTACAAAGACGAAGATAACAATACGTACTAGTAAGTAACCTTTTATATCGAAACTTTAAATGTATCTCTCAAAGAAGTTATATTATACTCTTACAAAAAGAAAAATGTTTTTATATTTTACTTTTATTTAGTATAAATAAATAATAATTATAATATCAAGTGAGTATAACCCACTAAATACTGTATAATAATAATATCATTGATTAATTTATTCAATAATATAATAATTTATAAATATTTATTATAAAAACGAATACAATTTTAATAATGTATAAAATTTTAATTTAAAATATTAAAATAAGAATTTTTTCATTTTTTCAAATAAATATATTCGTTTTCTGAAAAAAATCTAGCTAATTTTGTAACCTAAATATTAATTAATGTTTATTATAGCTTATATTATTCCATGTGTTTATCGCATTTTCGGAATTAAAAAATATATATATATAATTAGGTTTATTATAAATTGATAAACAATCAGGAAACGTTCCAATAATGTTTAATTGAATGAATGTGTATCAGTTTATTTTCAGAAAATTGAGTTAAGAAAAGTAAAGAAAAAATATTTGTTTTTAAATTTAGTGCTGCAGCCACTCAGTTCGAACCGATTCATGCACGAGAAACCTTTCCTTGTTTCGACGAACCCGAATTGAAAGCAACTTTTGACATTACCGTAGTCAGATGGAGAAACATGACTTCCATTTCTAATATGCCAAAGGTAGAAACCGAATCAAGGTATGCATTACTTTATGCCTGATTTATTTTTAAAGAAATCTCTTTATTGTGGCGTACTTAGTTCGCAAACTTCGAAAGCGTTGACGAATTATAATGTTTCGTAAATCGTGTTCGAGTTCATTCAATAATACAGTATATACATCCTTGATAATTATTTTCTTTCGGCAGACCGCGAACTTCGAATACACTGTGATCTGTCGACTGAAATAACTTGTTCAAGAAACGATATTAATTAGTAGATGTTTAATCATTAAATGAATGCATTTATTTATAAAATTTTGTACTTTTTTATATAATAATTTACTCCATTCGTTTTGTTTTTATATTAAAATTATATTAAAATAACGAATAGAGTAAATGATACTATCGTTGATATAAAAGACAATTGAGATTGTTCTCGTAATAATTGTTAATATCGATTCTCTTATAATTTGATATTTTTGTTAGTTTTACATTTTTTTTTCTTTTTGGGGGGATGTTTACTCCGACACGAATTAAATTAAATCAATGTATAGAAATTATTAAAAACATAAAAACAATTTACATAGAGAAGGAAGTGCGAACTAGTTACATATTTTCATTGTACCAAATAAACAGATAAGATGATAATTGATAAAACTATCTGATGATTCAGACTTCAAATTTTCAAACATTAATTAATGATGTCAAACGTAAAATTTTACTATTCTACAAGAGGAGAAAATATTGAAAATTTAGATTAAATTATTTTAAAATGATCATATAAATATTATATTTTGTTGTTGTAATTATAATTAATTACAGATTCATTTTAAAGATTAATGCAAATTTCGAGAAAAGAATGTGCCATGAAATAATCGAAAAGAAAATTGTCGTCTTTGGATTTTAGCGTGCAAAGACGTTTGCAGGAAATGGCCTACTTTGTATTTAGTGGAAGGTCGTTTCTTTAAATTGTTGTACGGCTATTAAATATGTGCTAAAATAGAAAATTAGCGCTATATAACATATTTTTAAAATAATTACTTTAAATTAACAAAAATTTCTTGAATATTACTATTTTTGAACTAAAATAAAATTTAAATTTTGCTGTACAAAATATGTCAGAAACGTTTTAAAATAGAAAAATGAAACCAAATTAAGAAAATTATTTCAAAAATTTTCTTTGCAGTTAACATTTAATCATTGGAAATGATCAAATTATCAAATCACTTTTTTAACGAGCTTACAAAATGGTTAGTTTAGATTTTTCAGTATTGTTTTGAACTGTTGCAGTCTAAAAATATTGAATGAAATTGAAGAAGTAACAATTATTTCAAGAAAAGAGAAATAACTATTTCTATTGTTCATTAGGCCATGAAAAGATATGACAAAAATATAATTCAGATTTTTATCTACATCGCCATTATTTTGTAAATACAAATCGGTGTATTAAATAAAAATAACAGTTAAATAGCATGAAAAAGTTTTCTCAACCAGTAAATCATGGATCCAATTTTCAAATAATGAGACGGTTATCTGGCACAACAAAATGAGGTCGCTAATTAACAGGTTGAGAAGACTTCTTGATTGTTTGTTTTATTATTAAAGACGGTTAGACGTCTTTATCTTTATAATAGTTTATAAATATTGTGATGCCAATACGTCCAGATAATTGCTAAATACAATAATATTTGGAAGAGATCATATTTTTTTTCACACTTTTATATTTTTTCATAATATGAAAAAATATAAAAGTGTCATAACCAAGTTAATTTTTACAATAAATTCCATATTATTTATAGCTCTGGTAATTAAACTATTTATGAAAGACAAATATTTTTCTTAGTCATAGACAACTTATTTGATTAATGGCTCAAAGTTAATTAATGCGATTCGGATAGTTGCGCGGTCTTTCCAAATATATTCGACAGAAGCACAAATCGACAATGAGCAGTTCTAATGGCAAAATATCAAGAATTTTTCTTGTCTTATACGACCGAGGAGGCGTTTATTTCAATTTGGAATTCGCAGTTAATTACTTGAAATGTTAAGGTACGGATGTAGTAATTAATTTAAGTAAAAATTTTTTATATAAATTATTCCGATTATTTAAGTTTAATACATTTCGTAAGATTTTATGTGTTGTTATTTTACAAATTGACATTTGTAAGAGCAAATGGATCAATTATCCCAAATCGTAAAAACGAAATCAAATCGAATCGAAAGAAATATCAGAAATTTGCGTCGAATGCAACGAAATTTTAAACCTAATTAAACTTGTTCTGGGTGATTCTAGAGGAAGTAATTTGGGCCAACTATGTCCTAAAATTGAAAAAAGTCGATTCCATTTTTATACGCCCTACTTATCGAAAACAAATATTTTGAGTTCTAGTTTTTTTCTCCATTCGCCACTGCTATAGAAGTGAAAAACTTTTTCCCAAATAATTTTCTCGATTTTAATAATCTTAATAATTTATGAATTATTTAGATCTAATTTGACAAAATGCAACAGAACGAGAAAGAAAAACATTCCAGTTTGTAAAAGTTACATTTCACTCCGAACATACTGCACCATATATTTTTCCGTTCCACTTACTTCCACTTAGTCACTTTGGTTTGATGGGAGTCGACGACGCAACACGTGTACAATCTGCCAAGGAGGAGTGCATCCCGGAAGGACTTTCTAGGCAAACTGTCCTCTATTCAGATGATAGACACGTATAGAAATTGGGAAACATCATGTAACTCCCGCTGGTGATATGTGAATCTGTGACTAACTATTACTGTTTAGTGATTTTTAAATGTAATTTATAATAAACTAATTGTACTATGTTTAAAAAAAAGTGTTAATCACGAATTATAGTACACTGAGTTGAGTCTCGACTATCCGAGGTAATATAGATAGTAGATACTGTACTGTACCTGGAATAATCAAACTCGGATAACACGGAATATTTAGTAAATAAATCCATATTCTGTTCAATAATTAACTACTTTAACCTTATTTAGTGCATATAATGAGTTTTAAATTACGCGATTAAACTTATATTTCATATAGGTTTCCTACCATATTTATTAGACGTAAAGAAAATGTAAATCTACCATGGGAATTATATTTCTTTAATCTTTTAAAAAGTTCGTATTGTCATGAGATGTCACTAGAGTAATTTGTTTTTCTTTTTAATCTGTAGGCCCTTTTAGAATATCGCGCATCTCGATCGATTCGTGAAACGAATCGTCTATGACTTGTCTTTGTTGACCAAGTATTCTTTCACAGTTCACTTCGGATAATGTGGAACCTTGGAAAAATTAATTTCGTTTAATCAGGATTCTACTATATAAAATATAAAAATTTGAAACGAATCTGTAACTTTTGTCTGTTAAAAGTAGAATTTCGATCTTAAAATTAAAAAGTCGAAAGTTTGTATTTGAAATTTATAAATTTTTTTTCCCTTAAAAATTATAAATATAAAGAGAGATGATCATAAATTTTCAATTAATATTTCTGTAATAAAGTTTATTTGTAGTCACTAATCCTAATTGGAGTGATGAAGATTTAGCTTACGATCGCAAAATAAACTAAATATTACAATCATAGCTTATTTTTTTTTAATCAGTTTTATTTCAACTATTGTAGTCAATACTTTTTATTGAAGCAAAGCGTTAACAAATATGCCAGCGTTTGTTCTATATGGTTTACAGAATTGTGTTCGTTTTCAAAGTTTGATCAATTAATTTTATTAAACACTATAATTTTCCATTAATTGCATTTTCCAATAATTCCATTAATTTTATTAAACACTACCATTGCGATGAGGAATCCAAAAAATTTAATAAGAAATGCAGGTTCATAACTTCGTTTACGAGATACACTGGGGTCAAAGTGACAATATCCTTGCTCTCTGACGCGATTGAGCGCGTCTAAAGGAATTTAGGGGCCAAAAACAAAGGTAAAACCGGCAAGTGTAAGGATCGCCTCTTCATGGCCGACAAGTGTAAGATCTGCCTTCTCGTGTAGCCAGCAACTGTTTTCTTCTGATCACGCGCACTGTCTCTTTGACTCACATTCACACACAGACATAAATACCTACATGCTTACTCTTCCATACACATTCAAACACACATCACTGTTCGGGTTAGATGGAATGAGAGATAATTTGTATGCACTAATACTGACTTTAAAAAATTTGTACTGCAAAAAAACGCAGCGCTCCGCCTTAATTCTTTCGCAATACGACATCTAATCTAATTAGATTTAATCTAAATTTAATTGTCTCATTCTCATACAATTCGCATTTTTTTGTTTTTGCTTATGTGAAAAACAAACAAAACTTTGAATTGACATGGATGAATATTCACTAAGCTTTATTTGATAAAATATGTGATTTTACAAAGAATTTATATAAATATTTTCAATCATTTAAGCTGAGCGGAACTTCTGATCTTCAGGCTTCCTGCATTGTTGGGTTCTGTAAAGCTTCCAAGTTAGTTTTTCGTTTTTCAATGATTTCTCTTTGCATCATATTATATATAACTTTAAAATTCTTAGGTGGTTTTCTTCATTCATTCATATAATTTATCACTATTCATTACACACAATCGAAAAAAAATGAATGTTCGTTTAAGCGATTCCCTGAATTTTGTAGAATTGAATAAAAATTGGAAATTGGACTAAGGCAAATAACATACGTATTTATAACTGTATTGAAAGTATATCGTGATAATTAATAATTCTTATTATAATTAGTTATAATCCATTTAATTTATTAATATAATTAAATAATCTGGTTAAAGATATTTTAATCAACAAATATTAAAATAAACATAAACATAAAAATAGTTTGGCTATGACGAATAACTAGAATTTTAAAGTATCAAAGTTGTTATATCAAAGTAAATATGAATATGAAAATTACAGCAAACTTTATTATTTAATAGAGGAAGACATTGGGAAGCCGACATATTCGATACGACGATGAAAATGTCCACTTATCTGGTGGCGTTTGTTGTAGGAGACTTTAAATCGAAGAAAAGCGGAAAGGTACTTTACTTTTGCTAATTAATCTTAAACAACAAATTAAAGTTTAAATAAACACGAATTTCGTTTGTTTTGTAAGAAAATAAACCATTTTATAGAACATAAAAAATAATTAATTTCTTGATTTATTTTAAATACAGTAGAACCTGGGTTTAGTGGATATTCTTAAGACCGGAATTGTTCGCTTTAAAAAATGTCGTATGTTTTATGACATCAGGTGGTTTTTCTTTTCTTTCTGTTTTTTAATCCGCAACTATTAATACTTCAAGCTCGACAGGAGACAATATCATTTACTCTATCTAGACCTCGCAAGCAGGATGTTTGCCAATTTTTCTAACACAACTTTTTTGATTCATTGTGCTTATGTTGTACTTTCACTTTTCTTTTCTTTTTTTTTTTTAATTTTACTACTTCTTGCGTTTTAATGGCTCTGTTCTATTATGCAAGTAAGAAATTCCAGCTTCAGTTTACCAATGTTTTATGGTGAGAATCTAAAATTAGAACTACGAAATCTTGTTCAATTAACTACTAAAACGAAATAAATTATTTAAAATAATATCCATGGAAAACATAAAACAATCCAGTGTTGTTCGGCCTTTTTTCTAATAGTGACACCTCAGTATAGTAATTTTTTCTTGCGATACCTCTAATTTTTTATCAATATAGTTATTACATTATGATAATAACGAAATATAGGGCTCAGCGGTATGAACCGCTGAACCCTATATTTCGTGGCACCCCGGTTGAAATCCACTGTCTTAAGTCAGGTTGTCCATTGTACTATCCTCTTAACAGAAAGTTTGAAAAGTAGAAAAGATAAAAACGTTTATCTGGTGTTTGCTTCATTGAGAAAAAATGCAAGAATAAAAGTACTGTATTACTATTTTTTGTTCGCTAAATATAGGTGTCCCCTAAATCCAGTGTCTGCTAAGTCCAAGTTTTGCTGTATTAACGAAGTTGATTTATAATCTAGATATCATTATGGGCTGCTCCCAAAAATATTGAATACGTAGATTATGCATTGGAAGTTGCCGAAAAAGTGTTAACATACTATGAAGTTCTCCTTGGAATACCTTACGATGTTCCAAAATTAGGTAAGATTTAATTTTAAATGCATTCTTAACAAGAAACAGAGACACTACGATGATAGATTAAATAATATTTTAACTCTAAAATTGTAATAATATAAGTTTACTTACGAATTTTGGAAAATTTTTTAAAGATTACCGGACATCTATCTCTGATCTCTTAGATCTAATTTCACTGATACTATAAAGTCCGGGAATACGTGATATGCACAAAGTTATTTTATAATATACACAAATTAAACTTCTATTATTAAATATATAAATTACTTTACAATAAATATTATAAAAAGGTATAACTTCTGACATAAACCAAAAGTAAATATGCATTTTGGCCATGATACGATTGTTATTCGGCATATAAAATAACCGCATCTATCAAATGTTTCCGGACTCTATGGCATCAATGCATTGGAACGAGATCAGTGAAAATTAAGCGATAATCTACAAAACTTTTGTAAAATTTGTAATAAGAAAGCCATCTCAAATAATAACACAGGTCAACAAAAAAAATTTTTTTTGGTGCCTAGGAATTTAGAACTGATTTTAGCTATATTTGGGTCGCTGAATTCAAATATGAAATCAGTTTTTCTCTATCAGCTCTACTTTTTTAGTATCAGGTCTGTAAAACTTGTACAGAACATTTACGACAGTGGACTACTGGGAAAAGAAAAAGTCTGAAATATGGCGTAGCGATGGTTTGGATTGAACCCAAAAATCACTTCGATGACTGTTATTTCTGTCTAGTAAATATTAATGGAATCAATCGTAACAACCGTAGCAAGTGGACTTATCCTGATTTAGTCTCTGCAAGACACCCGGTCCCTCACTCACAGGAAGTGCCAGTTCCATCATTTCACCAGCTACCAGAGCTCTGTGAGGACGAGTATCCCTCTGATCCTAATGAAGGTGACTGTGATTACGAGAGAATGTCATCAATTCCTCAATGTTTCAACCAGGATGAGTTAAATGACCTCACCAGAGATCTCAACCTGCCAAAAGAAGCTTCTGAATTATTGGCTTCTGGGTTGAAGGAGAAAAATTTACTGGAGCAAGGAACCAAAATTACCTTTTACCGTACAAGAGAAAAGGATCTGCTACCCTTCTTCTCTCAAGAAGACAATTTTGTGTTTTGTCACGAAATTAGAGGACTCTTGGAAAAAATGGGCCTTCTTGAATATTTTTCAGATGATTGGCGCCTATTTATTGACAGCTCAAAACGAAGTTTGAAATGTGTCCTTCTACACAATGGGAACAAATACGGTTCAATACCAATTGCTCACTCAACGAAAATGAAAGAAGAATATAACACCATAGCTCTGGTCTTGGAGAAGATAAAGTATCGTGAACATCAATGGGTAATTTGTGTAGACTTAAAAATGGTAAACTTTCTCCTTGGACAGCAAATTGGCTACACCAAATATCCTTGCTTCTTGTGCCTCTGGGATAGCAGAGACAAAACACACCACTGGGTTAGAAAAGAGTGGCTTAAGAGAGAAAACATGGACGTTGGAGAAAAAAATGTCATTAACGACTCCTTAGTTGAACAAGAGAAAATCATCTTTCCTCCACTGCACATCAAGCTAGGCCTAATGAAGCAGTTTGTAAAGACTCTTGATAAGAAGGGATCATGCTTTGCATATATAGGGGAAAAAATGCCTCAGTTAAGTATAGAAAAAATTAAAGCAGGAATATTTGACGGCCCACAAATAAGACAACTCATTAACGATCTTGCCTTTGTAAATTCGATGAATGAAGCTGAGCGAAAAGCCTGGACTTCATTTGTTGCAGTTGTCAGAAATTTTCTAGGCAAACGCAAAGCTGAAAATTATGTTGAACTGGTAAACGAGATGCTTAACAGTTTCAAATTCCTTGGGTGTAATATGAGTATTAAGGTGCACTATTTACACAGTCACTTAGACCGTTTTCCTGAAAATTTAGGAGATACCAGTGAAGAACAAGGTGAAAGATTTCACCAGGATATTAAAACTATGGAGGACCGCTACCAAGGAAGATGGGATACGCATATGATGGCAGAGTTTAAAAAGGTATTGCTCCAAAATACATTCACGAAAGTCACGGAAAAGAAGCTTCCTCAATGTGTAGCTGTTTAGTTTTATTGATGACTCTTTCCTCTATCTTTGTATAGAATAATATTTGCATAATATAATAATAAAAATTTCGTGTTTAGTTTTTTACTTGATCCATGGATTTAACTTAAGATATTGAAACATATATTTCGCTAATATGCTATATCTTAAAAATTAGAGCTCTTAGGCAAAAACTAATGCCATATTTGAATTCAGGACATCAAATTCATATGAAATCAGCTCAAAATACCTGGGCACTAAAACCACTGTTGACCTGTGTAATTTATAATTTTTTGTTAATTTAATTTCTTAAGAGGAAAGTCAGGAAGATGATAAAATTCATAAATAGGCATATTATCAATAAGAATGGAGCCTGATCCTTATTGACGGAAACGCGATGAACTCTAATTAAATAGTCTTGCATAGTTTTATGAAATTTTGAATTTGGAAAGATATATTTATATAATATAGTAATTTAGAAAAAAATATGAGATTGTATCGAGAATACAACATGCGAGCCAGCCGATGATTTAACGTGGTTATAATTTAAGTCATACACAAAATTCTATTTGATAAAGCTGCAACAATAATCATCATAAAAATAAAAATTAGACTATTGTTCCGGCCAAAGACACTGCCCTACGTTATTTTAATGCATAAAATTTGAATTAATGCAATTACAAAATATTGTGGTTGAACTCAACACTAATTATTTAGGTTTTACGACATTTATATTAGTTCTTTAAGAAAAGACTGTTTAGTAATAATATTATGTAACTTAAGAAATTTAACGATTGTAGAAACGACTCAAAATATGTCTCCGGATTTGCATTTATTTAAGATGTTTCTAGTTCGACAGAATCGAGATTCCATTCTCGCTTTCAGCGTTAATTAATAAATATTTACGCTGAAAGCATGCGGATGGGTTTTTGGGAGACAGAATCTTAACTATAGTGGTAGAGATCGAGTAGATTTACTAATGTATTTTAGAGGAATAACAATTTATTTTTAGTTTAACTTAGATAATATTCTAAGAGTGAATAAAAGACAATTGAGTTTTCTAAAACTCTCTGTTATAGCTGAATACCATTACACAAACAAACAAGTATGGCATCTAATAAGTTTTATAACGAATTCAAATCGTTGTAGACAGAAGGTTTGGAATAAATTTGATATTTAAAGTTTCTCAGAATTTTCTACAGCAGAAAATATCTGCTATATCTTATCTCATCTCATATCTCATCTCATATCTCACAGAGGAGTGTTGTAGCTATGCGCTTTTCACTCCGGAAGAAACAGTAAGGAAGAGCCGGTCTTATAGAAGACGACCAATCCGAGGAAGACAGGAGAGAGGTCACTAAGTAACCAAAGCCGGTCTTATAAGAGACGACCCCCGCCAGAAAGGGAATATCTGCTATAAATGGCATGGTATCAGTACATAATGTTTTAAGTGACTGGATCGAAATTAGTTGTAATTTGTGAGCCCACCAATTTGCTTAATTGCTAAGAAATTTGATTATTTTTCTCTTCATATCTATCACAACAGATATACTTAAGTTCAATGATACATTTTTAATTAATATTTTTTTTTCATAAATAGACAAGTAGGCATTATCTACAGCATGGAATTTTTAACTATTTTGAGTACTTTATTAATACTGTGAAAACTGTGAAGAAAATATTAGATTCACTAAGCGAAGTTTTAATAATATACAGTATTCTAAGAGGTCGCAATAATTTTATAGTTGAGATGGATTTTTCGTCTTGTATTGTCGCAAACAGCAAAATGATTATCATACGGTCAAGATTTATTAATTTCAATAATAGTTTCTTCATTTACGTATACTTTTGCCAGAGATTTCAATCATCTTTTCTAGAATGCTAATTGTCTGTCAGCTAAGTTTGGCATTTGTCCACTTTTTCGCCGATGCTTCCATTAATTAATCTTTAAAAGTATTGTTTGTTTTATACTTTGTTTTAATAATAATTTTTTTTCAAATTGTTTTGAAGGAATTGGACTAGTTTTTCGAGAAATATAATATCTTTTTCGCCATACATTGGATGATTTATTTCTAAATGTCTTTAAGAGCTCGAAACTTACAGAAGTTTCGCAAAATGATAGATGTTCTGCGCTAACTTTTCTTATATGGAAATCCATATTTTAAAAATTTTGCAACATAGTTTTTTTTACAATTCTTCTTTTTTAAGTAATTTGTTTGTTTTATAATATTAGAATGGCATTGTTAGTAAACACATACAAATCCATAATTCGTTTTTATATGATTGTCAATCCTTTTCAATCAAATGTTGTCTGTATTTGTAAACATTTTTAAAGCAAAACAAGATGAAGGGTATAAGGGACCAAATAAGATTTGCAGATTCCATTTTGGGTCGCGATCCTGTACAGTACATGGAAATCGTATACTAAGATATTACTATAACCGTGTATAACGACTGCAAAATAATAAAAAGTACAAAACGCGTATAATAAAATAAAGTAAATTATTAAATAAGATTATAATTTATGTACCTCTTGTAACAAATAATACAATAAAAATGATCAGAACATTTCTATTAAAATGTTGGCTGTCATCTTTCTTGGGCCACTATACCAACTTTTTTCAAAACTACAGGCTGAAAGTTGTATTGTTAAATTTGTGTTTGATTTCAACTTTTGTAAAATGTGTTTTATATGTCTTAAACCAAATTTCGAAAATTGCAATAAAAAGTTGAAAGGAAGTTTAATTTAATTTACATACGAACATATAATTATGATATAGTAAAATCGCTAAAACAAATATGAGCTACTGCTGAGCTAAAAAATGATAGATTTTTTTATAAGGATTACTTTGTACATCGTTTTTATAGAAAAGTCTATCATTTTTTTGCAATTATTATTCTAAAAATTATAATATAATGATATATCATTATATATCATATTATCATATACTGTATATCATTATTATATTATACATCACTATGAGTAAAATTCGTGTATAAAGTATTTCGTCCTTTTGTGTCGCAACATGATGCCATGACACATTTCGTCTTACAGGTAGAGGTTGAAACTACAGCCAAACTTTTTATTACGTTTAAAATTCATTTTAAATATTAGAACTTAACAAAACACGATGGATAATATTCATTAACTAGCAGGTAGGCCCAGCGTTGCTCGGGCAAAAGTAACGATAGCGAAGATTAAGATTATTACGTTATAGTCAACCTTACCCGTTTTCACAGAATGCAAGAATTGGGTCTCCCTGTTTCCGGACTAATTAGAAACTTTTTAGAAGGATCTAAAAATATGTTCAATTTCCCGTTAAAACGAAAAAGCTGCATCTGCGTCTTGCACGTCGCTTTCTCTTAACAATTCCATTGTTAAGAAACACTTCCATTGTTGATGAAAGTGTTAAGCCTTAATCCAGGATTAAGGCTTAACACTTTAACAAAGTTGAAATTTGGTACACCAAATTTCAACTTTCAACTCCTAACCGTTTGGACTCTGCGCTTATTATTATTATTATGTTGGGTTTTGTGAGTTATACTCGGTTCACACCGGTGGCTGTGTACTATGCCGGACCAGAGTCAAGGCATAGCAACCAAAACAAAACTAAAATTAAATAAGTTTGTCAGTGTCTGTATTCAGGAATTTCCTAACAATGTGGCATGTATTCAATATAGTGGCCTTCTGTAGTGAGATGTATGTATTTTTACTCAATTGTAATGTTCCCCGGCTTTTGTGTAGTGTGTGTGGTATCACACCTGTACAGGAGAGAACAACAGGTACAATAACTACCCTATCCATCCTCCACAGATGCCTTATTTCCTGGGCAAGTTCTGTGTACTTGCTAATTTTTTCAGTGCATGTGTTTTGTACATTGTGAGTGTTTGGAATGGCTATGTCTATAATGTATGGGATTTTATTGCGTTTGTCAATGAGTGTGATGTCTGGTCTGTTGTGGTAAATTGTTTTATCTGTGATTATGGCTCTGTCGTAGTACATTTTGTGCGTGTTGTTTTCCAATACTGTCTGTGGAATATACTTGTAGTATGGTTCGTGGATGTCTGCCAATTTGTGTTTCTTTGCAAGCTCTTGGTGTATTATATTTGCTACTTGATTGTGTCTATGTAAGTAATCTGTCTGTGCCAAGAGCTTGCAACCAGAAGTGATGTGTTGTATAGTTTCTGGCATGATGTGACATTTTCTGCATGTGTCATTTGTGAGTGTTGTATCTTTGAGTATGTGTTTTCTGTAGTTTTTAGTATTTATGACCTGATCCTGTATGGCAATCATGAATCCTTCCGTCTCCCCAAAGAGGCATCCCCGATCTAACCAGCTGTTTGACGCAGTTTTGTCAACAAAATCCTGGGCCAGGTCGTAAGGATGCCTGCCATGGAGAGCCTTTTGAGCCCATGATTGCTTAATGTTGTCTATGCTTTTTATATGTTGTGTCATGTCTGTATGTTGTGAGTGTAAGTTTAATGGTGTGTTATTTGAGTCTGCTAGAGTTACTGCTTTATGTAACTGTGATGTTTCTTGTTTCTTGTAGAAAAACTCTCGCAGTGACTGTATTTGTTTGTAGTGAAGGTTAACTATGTCAATCAGGCCACGTCCGCCTTCTTTACGTGGAAGGGTTAATCTTTCTGTGGCGGATTTAGGATGATGTTGTTTATGCTTAGTAAGTGTTGTTCTTGTTTTCCTTTGGAGTTGCTCGAGATCTGTGTGAGTCCAATGTATAACTCCAAAAGAGTATGTGAGTACTGGGATGACATATGTGTTTATTGCTTTAACTGTGTGTTTTGCATTTAACTGTGTTCTAAGTATAGCGTTTAACCTACTTTGGTATTCTTTAATTAATCGTTGCTTTATTTGTGTATGTTCTGTTAGTTTGGCCTGTTGGAATCCTAAGTACTTGTAGAACTCGCCCTCTTCCATGGATTCAATAACGTCTCCATTTCCAAGTGCAAAATCTTCTTTCTTCAGGATTCCTTTTTCTATGTGAAGTGTTTTGCATTTGTCTAGGCCAAACTCCATTTGTATGTCCTTAGTGTATGAATGTGTGATTTGTAGGAGTTGATGAAGTTGTTTTTGTGTGGATGCATAAAGTTTTATGTCGTCCATGTACATGAGATGTGAGAGTGTAAACTGTGTTGTTTTTTCGTGTCTGATATTGTAGCCGTATTGCGTGTTGTTTAACATGTTGGATAATGGATTCAGGGCTAGGCAGAACCAGAGAGGACTCAAGGAATCTCCTTGAAAAATTCCTCGCCTAATGAATATTTCGTTTGTTTGTATGGAAGTGTTACTAACCCTGAGATGTAGTGTTGTTCTCCAGTGCTGCATAGTGTTTTCGAAGAATGCAATGAGTGATGGATGTATTTTGTACATGTGTAGAATATGTAGCAGCCAACTGTGTGGAACACTGTCGAATGCTTTTCTGTAGTCTATATATGCCATGTGTATGTTTCTGTGTTGTTTGTGTGCTTGCCGTAGAATGACTGAATCTATGAGTAACTGTTCTTTGCATCCCCTGTGATTTCTACGGCAACCTTTTTGTTGTTCTGTAAGAATGTCGTGTTCTTCAACATGTTTGTATATTTTGTTTGTGATACATGATATCAATAATTTGTAGAGTGTTGAAAGACATGTAATTGGTCTGTATCGTGTGAAGTCTGTGGTTTTGTTGTTTTTAGGTTTCATGCAGGTGATGCCCCAAGTAAGAAATTTTGGCACGTCTTGTGGATTGATGATGATGTGTGTTAGATGTTTAGCTAGTACCTGGTGCAGTGATATAAACATTTTGTACCAGAAATTGTGAATATAGTCTGCACCAGGTGTCTTCCAGTTGTGTGTTCTGTTAACAGCGTAGTGGATGTCATGTATGTTTATTTTAAAACAGGACATAGTTGGTATGTTGTGCAAGTTTCTGTTCTCTTCCTCAATCCAGCCTGCATCAGCATTGTGTGTAACAGCATTGGACCAAAGAGAAGACCAATAAGTTGTGAGTTCTTCTTCTGTTGGTGTGCCACTGTGCTGTGTATCAGNGGTAATGCCCCGAGTAAGAAATTTTGGCATGTCTTGTGGATTGACGATGATGTGTGTTAGATGTTTAGCTAGTTCCTGGTGCAGTGATGTAAACTTTTTATACCAGAAATTGTGAATGTTGTCTACACCAGGTGTCTTCCAGTTGTGTGTTCTGTTAACTTATTATCATTATTATTATTATTATTATTATCAACTCGTCTCGATTATATATATAGATTGTCATTTGTGCAAATTTAAAATCAAGAATGAAATTATGAGATTATTCGAAGTATACGTTTTTCGAGTTTAACAAGATTAAGAAATTAGAATTGTTAAATCATTATACTGTATAAGATTTGATTTTATGACATTATTATTGTGATTTGTATTTCCTTCAGATATCGTGTCAGTCGAAGAACTTATGTCGAGAGGAATGGAAAATTGGGGTTTGATTATTTGCAGACAAAATATTTTGTATAACGAAGAAAAGGATTATTTTGATAAAAAAGAAGACGTCGCAAGAATTATAATACACGAAATAGCTCACCAGGTAATTCACGGATTTGTTTTCATTTGTTTTGTTTTATATATCATTTAGTTCCGAATATAGCACGATTACGATCTCCAAGATTTAACGAGTGATTCACTAAAAAAAAAGAAAAAGAAAAAAATAGAATCGGATATAAGTCTATATTTTTACATCTGCAGAATCGTTTATAAAATGGTTTGTTATCAGTGTCACACGTTTACCTCTGTTATTCCGGATTTCCGGTTGTCTCAAAATATTACGATTCTATCTCAGACTGACCATGCGTTTAAAATTTGAATCGAATAATTTTTTACTTCCCTTGTTTGGCTGTCGAGATGTCGAGTCTAATTCTTCAACACGATCTGCATCTGTTAATTTTTATTGCCCAAAACTACTTTAAAGAAATAGCTTTATTGCAAAATCTTGTTTATAGAAATCTGTTGTACTCTGCTGTGTGAGCAGAGTACAACAGATCTATATAAGCAAGATTTTGCAATAAAGCTATCTATAAGGGATTTACTATATTCGGAACAATAGGGTAAGTTTAAATATTATAACTTAAATTTCGCTGTCTATTCTTCATTACATATACTTAATGTTACATATTAAAATTTAATTTGTTTTTCGGTAACAAATATAAACATGAAATTAAGATACAAATCGAATTATTTTATTTATTAAAGACAAACAATGATGTCGACTAAAAATTTATGAAAAGCAAATAATGACGATGATCATCATGAATTCTAAAAGTATATAAATTTTTCGATAAAGATATCGACATAATTGAAAATATATTGTATTTTTCATTATAAAGATTATTATTTTTTTCTTCATATTAAAGAGAAATAGTTGTTGTCATTTCGATGATTTATTTATTTTCAGTGGTTTGGAAATTTAGTGACCATGAAGTGGTGGAATGACATCTGGTTGAACGAAGGAACTACGAAGTTTATGGAAGAAATCACTTATGCAAAACTACACGTTGTTCTCAATGCGGTAATTAATTACGAAACTCTATAAATATTAGAAATAAACTAGAAGTACTGAAAGTAAAAATTTACAGTTTAATCAATTAATTAATGCTCAGTTTGCATTTTCGAAAATAAAATTTTTTTCAAAATTTGGGTCTTTACTTTCCTGAATCACGATTATGTGTACATAATTGTGTGAAATTTGACTCTCCGGATGTTTTTGCAAATCTGCACGTTTTCAGACCACCTGAACCAAAAAGTTAATAAAACGAGAAAAAAATTCCATGTGTGTGTCTTGGAGTCTATTTCGCTTAATGCTTCATAATGGAGTAAACATTAAAAAAGGAATTTGGCATTGAGGCTATTAAATTTTGGTGGCTATAGGTCGAAGGGTGAAGAGATAATGGGGTGCCCTGTGTCATATCGACAGGAGTAGGACTTAATTAAGATTTTATTCATTATTAATAATTAGATTTATATAGATATATATGGATCTCATTCCTACCCTAAAGATTACGCTTTTTGCTATTTTATAGTAATTAAAATTATGAGATTTTTATTATAAAAATTTTTATAACACGTTGCGCCACTCAGAATTTTATTTATTTTGCTTAATAATAGAAAAACTTTTTTTTTTTAAAGAAAAACTCATAACAACCGGAAAAGTTACGCAACTTATTGCTGGACTTTTTTAATTAAACTATGATTTTTTTACTTTTTTAAAATAAATTTCTACAAAATTATCGAAGAAACTTTTAATTATTGTCTTTATGAATTTTGAAGTAGCTGTAAACTTTAACAAACGATTTTTATGTATATTTTAGACGAATGAAGATGTTTATCCATTTTCGTACGAAAACTATTTATATATAAACACTCCGGTGTCGAAAAATATCAACTCTCTCGAAGAAATCAAAGATGTGTTCGATTTTTCCACGTATTTCATGGTAAATAAATATTTTCGTATGGCATTTCTATTAAGCTATTATTTACAGTAAATTTATTACGGCGTTAAATATATTGTACTTCTTACATCGACATTAACTTTTTAAGACGTCTTCACTTTAAGTGATTTATGGAATAATCGCAAACCGAAAATTTTAGTGTCATAGTTCAAATCAATAGTTCAATAGACAATTAATTTTTTAATTAACTTAATAATTGCTTAAAGTTCTCTAACAAGAAAATTAACATTTTTACCAAATGAATTCTTAAATATTTTAGCTGAAGAACAAGAAAAGTATTTAAGAAGCTATTACAATATTTAAAATCTATTAATCGTTTAAATACTTATATATTCATTTTAAAATATTCTCGATGAATTAAAAATAAAGATATCTTTATCTTACCTGCTATGTCCGATACGTCGTTGTTAATCCTACCGTGTGTATTTATGATAATGTTTCTTAATCTGTTGACAACGACTACTTTTTTTTGTTTCTTCAGTTATGAAAAGCATCAATATATGCAATGGGTTGCATATATCGATGTTCAATACCAATATATGCACTTAACTTTAGCGTGAAATTGATGGGCATATCTAATTTTAAATTACATTTTGTGACCTTATTTTTAACTCGGCGCCACTGGCGAAAAGTTGGAATGTTAACGATAATGTTTTTATATTTTATCATTCGATGCATACGTTATATCAACGCAAACGATAGCAGAGACATATATTGAAAGTAGTTATTTGAGAGACGTTTTATTTAGTTACTGTTTTCACTAAATCTAAAATAAATATAAACATATTTATTAAAATGTTATAAATTTATGAATAATTAAATGTAAAGTAGGGATGTTCATTTGCTTCACACTCGACTCTCGAAAATCTGAAGACTACCAAAGAATTTTGTCAGGCAGAACAATGTATGTAGGTAGGGAGGGAGGTAGAGAGACATACCTACCTCCCTATCATGAAAAGCATAAAAATTATAAAAATACATTTTAGATTGTTTTATTGAACAGTAGTTTGAAGACCACCGGTCCTGTCTTCAGGGACTATCACTGCTCTGTGGAATATATGTTCAGAAACTTGTCAATATAAAAGCGTATCGAGATTCGACTTGAAAGAACCCGAGGACGCGATTCTTTTCCATGAAGTACGGTGCGTTCTCACAAAGGAAGCCTCATAATTTAGTATTTTTCGTGTGAAGAGAGATTAAAGAACAAACGTCACAATCTTGCAAAGTACGAAAAATAATATACACTTAGTTCTCAATATATGGACCCACCAGTGGCCGGGTTGATAAAACCACTGAACTTCGTTCGATATATGGACCCACTCGCCAACGAGCTCTTCATGTTAAGTTTTGGGTTTCCTTTACGTTTGTAACACTTAAATGGACCCAGGTTTACATAGAAATTCCTGTCGGAAGATCGCCCAATTGTCTTGTTGCCGTATACAAACAAACCGAACCTAAATATACATCCAGGATATGTTCTGGAAATAATCGGAATTCGTATAATAAGAGAATTGAATGCGATTTAAATTTGTTTAGTCGTGTATATATCAAATAATTTGCAAAAATTTACAATATATATAACCTTTTGCAAATTATGATATTTAGTATAAGAAAATTTACATTTTGATAAAATGACAAAGAAAATCTGTTTAAAATAATATTTCTAAAATATTAATTTAAAATGTTTTACATAAATATCGACAGGGTGCTTCGATAATGCGAATGGCACGGTTTGTACTAGGAGATGAAGTCTTCTGGAAAGCATTAATTGTAAGTAATATCTATAACATTAAATTTATTTTTATATCGATTGCTTAACGTTCGGTTATTTATTCATCTATACCAGTGGTTCCCAATTAGTGGTACGCGTACTCCCAGGGGTACGCGAAATTGCTTGAAGGGGTACATGCAGCAATCTAAAATCGGTTGATTTAAAATTTAAATGCATGAGATGAAGCAAGCAATGAAAAGAATAATGGGTGGACCATTAAAAATTCGGCAATTTACAACACGATGTCGAATGCAGAAATTCGTTTATTTATAACTAAAAAATATTCTCGAAATTTCATTTAAAAAATGCATTTGTGACAATACCTAAATTAAATTCTTACGCAAGAAACAAAAATTGTACGATTAACACAATTTGTTTTCGCGAAATTAATTTTGAAAATTTTTGTCGCTGTTATTTCTCGCGCGCGACAACACGACTTCTCGCAGAGTATAATGAGACTTCACTTGACTTGTGAGTTTAATAATCATTTGCGACATTTCGATTCTAAATCGGGTTAGAATTTATGATGTCAGCGAAACAGCAATAAAATATTTACTACCATTTTGCACAACATACCTCTGCGAGAGCGGATTTTCGGCCACGACAAACACGAGAACTAAACATCGTCACCGACTTCGACTCGAAGATGACTCGAGACTGAAGCTGACTAAAAAGCAACCAGATTTTACAAAGTTGTGCAAAGAAAATCGTGACATTTGTCGCATTAAAATTAAATAACCATATGTTGTTTTCATTATTATCAGAATTGTATTTTAAAGGTAATAAATGTAAAAAAAAATTTTTTTCTATTTATTACCAGCTGTCTACCCACAGCTAAGCCCGCATTATATCGAATTTTCTCGTGAGAGTAAGAAATTTTCTCGCAGTAAAATGTAGCCTATGTCCATCTCCAACATGTAAGCTATCTCTGTGCCAAATTTTATTAAAACCTGTTTAGCGGTTTAGACGTAAAAAGGTGACAGACAGAATTTCCATCGAATTTATATATTAGTATGGATTAATATGAATGTCTGCTGTAAGGGATACGCGAGTTTTAGCTCTTTCTTGAAGTGGTACACAGGAAAAACTAATTGGGAACCACTGATGTATACTAATATTATAAAGAAGTAATGTTTGTATGTATGTTAGTTTGTATGCAGCAGGTAATCTACGAAACTACTCATCCGATTTCAAAAATTCTTTCACCAATATTTAGAATGGAACTTCAGGGTGGAGATAGGCTGTATATTATACCGTTAGACATGGGAGATGGACAGTTCTTTACGGTAAGCCTTACGCGGAAGGCTTACCATAAAGAACTCTGCTTCTATTATACTATTTTAGATGTGGGTTTTTGCGTTTATGATTGCGTTTTAATGGGGTACGTCAAGAGAATGTGCACCAAGAAGAAATTTTTCGAAAAATTTTCCCCCACGGGGGAAGTGTTATACATTTATAATAGATACATTTTGAGCCACAACAAGGCGTGGCGGGGTCTGCTAGTAAACAAATAAAGAGGTCGTCGAAAGTCTATTAACATTATTTTGTAAATTAAATATTTATTTTATCAATATATAAAACTTAATTTGAAACTTTTACATTTTAAATTATAATGGAATTGAGAATTTTTAAACCGCGAACAACTTATGAAATCAACTAAATTCCGACTTTTACGTGGACGACAGAAACACGAATGCTGACAGGCACAAAAATTTATATGCACTTTTAAATCTCATCCGACGAATAACATATTGGACCTTTTATTATTTATTTTAAAATAAAAGATGTAAAATTTTCCTTTTTTAATTTAGTGAGTTTTTCTAGTTTATGATTTGTGTAGAAGAGAAGGCCAGCGGAATGAAATATGTGTGAAATGACGATGATGGAATAGAATAATGAAGATTTTTTCCCTCTCTGTCTTTCTCTATTGAGTGGGGTTAAACTTAAAGTTTTCTACTCGTTATTAGAATTACAATTCTTATATATTCTTATCTCTACTCTGAAAATTAAGTTTTGCCATTTTATAATAATAATATGAGATTTTATTCTAAAATCTTTTTATAACAGCGCCACATATAATTTTAATGTTTGGCCGGGAAAGTTGCGCAACTCGTTGCTGTTTATTATAAGCGTTTCTATAGATTCCGGAGAGATTTAATAAAGGAAAAGCGTATTTCTAGTATTTAAAAAATTTATAATCTCGAAATGCTTCTCTTCGATCTAATATAGGCTAAATTAAAGAAAAAATATAACGAGAGTAAATAGATAGTCTTTGAAATAGAACGATTTATATCATAATTAAATATTAGGATTGGAGAATAGTAATTTTCTCTACTAAAATAAATAATTTAAAATTGCTCGTTATGATATTTTATAGAATTATTTGAAGGAGAATGCCTATGGCAGTGTAGAAGAGTCGACGCTATGGAAATATTTTACCGACGTAAGACAATATTTTAATCATTTTTGCAAATGATCAAAATTAAAATAATTAATAAATATTAATTAAATAATGCTTCTTTATTATTATTAGTTTATTATGACCATAATCTATTAATAGGACTTATTAGCCTGATGTAACTTCTGGATGACAAAGAAAATAACTAATCTAATTGGTTTAAATAAAACTCTCTTTGTTTTCATCTGTATACAATGGTTCTTTGTATTTTGGGTTCGTTCCTCATCAGCTGATGTTTTTTGCATCGTAATTGTAAAATACATATAAATAATTTTAAAATTGTATGTGAGAACCCGGGCTAGTGTAAATTCGACGAGTTCAATGTTATTTTTTTGTCAAAAAATGAAGGGGTAAATTAAAATAAAGGGATCCTTTCACAAATGCATTCAAGGAACTTCATAAAATCTTACGGATAGCGCTTCCTCCGTGAGTGACACAGCTTCCGAAAAACTATTCATCAAGGAAAATGGGAAAAAATCGCGGATTGGAACAACCGTAAACATTACCAAAAATGAGCATTGGAGTGGCAAGGGGAAGACAACGAATAAAAGGGAAGAAAACAGATGACGATACAAAGTTCCCCTGCCAAATTTGTGTGTGTTAACCTTCGACCGCCGCTCTTCCCAAACTCCCGTCAATTTTTCTAACGAACTTTCACCGCTCCTCTTGACGAACAAGTACCTGAATATTTATTTTATTAGTTTCGACGAAACAAGACACTACCGGACCCGGACCAAGCTTTCCTTTCAGGAAAGTCACGATCATCATCACATCCAGGTATTATCAACTCACGTTCGAAATTGTAAACGCTCTCTCTCTCAGTTTTACGCTTTTAGGAATAGACTCTTCCGCTAATTCTATTCCCTTGTAAAATTTTTACAGGCATAAACAAATAAATTGATATTTAACGTTAAAAGCGTGGGAAGTGCGTTATTTCCGGCGCGCTGTCTCTCGACTCCCTCCCCAATCCGGAACCCGACTACTCTCATATGCGACGACTCGCGCGAGACTTAACATATGGACGTAACGGTCACATATACAAGTCTAAAAAAATTTTAAAATTAATCAATTACATACTTAAAATGATACTTTAGACGACCTATTTTAGCATTTACCGTACATAAATCTAAGCTTTTTGTTTTTAAAACCTTCACTAACCAGGAAATTAACGTTCACTGTAATCATGAAAAAATCCTATATTGCCTAAAACATAAAAGCTGTTTGTAAACTTTAATAAATTTAAAAAGAATCTTTTTCCAACATTTTACTCACTTAGTTGCTTTTTTCTTAAATTTAATAATAATAATAATTCAATAATTCTTAAATATTAACCGACTTCTTTCCCTCCTCCTTAATTGCTTAATATTAACTGTTATGGTTATTAAATGTCCTCTATGAATATAAGTATTCCATGTCGGATGTAAGTATTTATTTTCAATTGTTATCATTAATTTTATTTCCTTCTTGTTTTATTATATTAATGTGCTCATAATATTATATTCTAAACATAAATAATAATAATAATAATAAAAGAACTGATTCTTTTATTAGTTCGCAACCTTCCTTATTACAATTACATGCCACCGTATTTGTGTAATTTTTATGAACTGATCTTATGTTTCTTAATTCTTATTCCAATTTTCTGTTTATTTCTCCAACATATGTTAGAGTTTTTAAAACGATTACATCCTAACAAATAGACTATTCCTTTTGTTATATCTTCTTTTTTTATTTCTAATATTTAAATACTTCTTTCTTTAATTGTTTTGATCTTGTACTGAACCTATATTTTTTCTTATTAAAATATGCGTTCAAATATTCCTGGTATATACGTAAATTTTACAAATTTTCTTTGCGACATCTCTTCGTTTTTTTCGATTGTTCCTTACTATTTATACTAAATTTAACCATTCTTCGAAATTTTTTCTTGGATAATCATTAAATAGACATCGGGGAGACCGGAGCAACTTCGGCATGCGGGGTAAGTTTGTCAAGCGCTTTTTTTTAAAAACAAATTAAAAGGAGACTTTGGTTATAGGTTAGGCAGTTGAGTTTTATTGGTGGCTTGTTGAGTGTAGTGTTTTATTGTTCTCCAACAAGCGTAGTTGAATTATCAAGCAAATTTTCATTTTCGTTGAATTCCATATAATATTTTTTTCCCATTTATATTGAATTGGCAGGTTTTGTTATAATTCCATGATAACGAAAGTTACTTTTCCTGTTAGAAGGATGTAACTTCAACTTATTCACGTGGCCAGATCGTGGCTTGGCATTCTGTTCTCAGGGTTGTACTTAATGTTTCGAAATCATGACTAGCGGGGTAAGATCGGCAACATAAAGCCACATTAGAAGCAAAGGATAAAAATCAAACAGATGATAAATGAAAACATGTTTGCATTTGTTATTCATGTATATATGTCTTTGAACTTGCATTTCGTTGTAATAATATTAAATGGGTGTTGGATTTGTATTTCTTTGTTTTAATAGTGAATTCCAACTTATACATTGTTAATAACATAATTTTATATACGTGCCTATCTTGCCCCATTACTGTTGCCCCTATACCAGGGGCAACTTTAATAAAAATAATTAAAATAATTACAATTTTACAAAAAGAGAGAAGTTGCCGATCTTGCCCCTATACCCGGGGCAACTTCGTCAATTTCTCTCTTCTTGTAAAGTTGTAATTATTTTAATTATTTTTATTCCCAAACTGATTTTAACCAGTTCTATAGTAAGGTAACATTCCAATAGACAATATGCAAAGCTTTTTTTTCAGTTTACAGCAGTATTTATTACACAAAATTTAAGTAAAGCGTAACATGCCGATCTTGCCCCGGTCTCCCCTATGTTTATTATATTTTCTATCTTCGTAGTTTTTTTTATAACATTTTCAATATATATATTAAATTCTACATATTCTTTTTCATACTTATTGGTGTATTAGAATTATAATTTACAGTTTTTGTTACTTATATCGATTTTTCGTATTTTGAATATTCTAACCGATCCTTTTGTCTTGTTATTGTTACGTCTCAATAACTTATACTGTTTTCAGTTCCCTTTTCCACTTCGAATTGCATATTGTTATTTATTTTATTATCTTCATTACATATTTTTCATTTGTTTTATCAAATAAAATTATGTCATTATCTACATACCTTTAATAAAATTTAATTCCATTTGTTTTCTTTACTTTTTTATCTATTGAAATTATAAGTATGTAATTAATTAACTAAAAATGTTCAAGATTTATAAACCATTTTAAATTATACAATAATATGTATTTTATAATTGTAAAAAAACCACCTTGAGGGACAGAAAGGTTCGAAATACAAGAAATCGTTGTAAACAGATGAAAAGAAAAAAATTATTTAATTAAATAAATTAGATTAGCTATTGTCTCTTCGTCATCAGTGTAAAAAGTCATATTAATAAATTATAGTCAAACTAAACTACTACTAATAAATAATAAATAGACCTATTAAATTTGTAGGCTCAGTCTCCCATGGATCGATCCAAATTGAATATTTCGAAAATATTTACATCGTGGACTCATTTGACTGGTTATCCAATTCTTTTTGTGGAAAGAGACTATGAGAAACGTTCTGCAAATATCTCGCAAATTGCTTTTGAAGAAGAAATACGAGGAATGAAAAAGTAATTTTTTACAAATTTTAAACAGTTTTTATATACTTACACTTTATTGAACACAAAAATATCGTTACTAGATAAAATTACCCAAAATGTCTAAATTGAAAAATCATTTAACGATTTGCGTGACTGTTCTTCAATGGAACTTAATCAAATATATTGATGAAATTTAAAAATTTCCTACAATCGGATTCAGATTTAAGAGGAAATTTTTATTTGTATTTCTGAACAAAAAAAAAAAATTGTTATAAAGCAATATTTATTCTCGCTTAGTGGCTTACAGAACAGGGAAAACCTGCATTTTTTAACGCTTCAATTCCGTTTAAGCTCTTTAAACGGAATTGAACTTAGTTGCTATAATTCTGGAACAGTTTTCCGTTAACCTTCTGACACACGACGTTCAAATAAAATAAATCTTCATTTACAACCGACAAATTCAATTCGTCTTTAGAATTCAATAAGAAGGAAGAGAATTATATATTTCTTTAACAATTTTCTACAAAATCTGATTTTGTTTTGTAAAAATGTAACTATCCGCTTGTTGCTAAATTCAGCAGTGCAACAGCAATGCTGAAGGGGAAGCTGCACGCATCCGAGTAGTAAGTTTACAACACCAAATACTACAGCGATGACGAAACTACATGGCGTCTGTACAGTACAGTCGGATATAATCTCACTGTTCGACGAGTTATTTAATGTTAATAGATGTAAATGTGCTCTTTTTCCAGTGTTCCATGACGAAAGATAACGACATTTAACTAGAATGCAAAAGTATTTTCATGCCCGATTAAGCTCAACAAGAGTAGTCATCGAACAAGCGTTTAAATTCTGATGTATTAGTCTACTTATATAACGAATATTAAACTTATAGCAGGATTTGGTAAAGTATTGTAATTATCATTTCAAATGAAAAGTAACATTATAATCAAGAATTATCAATCTCCATGAGTCCACCAATGAGCTCAGCCATCTTAATAAAGCGAAAAAAGCACTTTTCCAGTTGCTGTAAATTATACTCTCAAACCGGACGTTCGATTTACACACAGGGCAACGCAGCGATCTTGTTAGCTATGATTTCGCTTTAAGTCGCTACAACATTGCTGAATTTAGCAACGACCCGTATGTAAATCAGCGATAATCGCTTTACGTCACTCGCAACACTCAATATAGAAAAATATCGATGTACTCGACATAAAAGCCGGTTTAACTATTAACATTTATTTTAATGACACTTGAACTCTTCTGCATATTTAATGATTTCCATTTATTAATACTTTCCTGTATTTTTTTAAATACAGTACTTAAATAAAACCTTTATTATCATTTCATAAACATATTGGTTCCGTTTATGAGTACTAAACAATTCCATTTAGTACTGTCTACATAATATTTTAATGAACCCTGCTGCAAACAGCTTACATTAATTGTTCAGTACATGCAAAAGATGTATAGTATTCTGTAAATTTTTTAAAATTTGTTTTTCGTTTACTTTTATAACTAGTATTAAACTTATAGCAGAATTCGGTCAGGTATTGTAATTATTATTTTATATATCAATTTTTTCATATTTTTCAAATCTGTCATTGAGTGATGAAACATTTCTAAAGCATTTTAAATCTTCTGAAACCGTGTTGTATTATTTCTTTGATTCACTAACACAAAGGTGTGTTTCTATTTCAACTATAATAGAAACACACCTTGTGTTAGTGAATCAAAAAAATTTCTAAAGCAACAAAAACTTGCGGAACACTATTTGATAAATATACTACTACATGGATCACAAAATTTGCTAAAGCGTATGAAAGTTGAAGTAAAATCTGTCTTCCGAAGTATACTTATTGTTAAACATAACTTTTTAAGATCTAAATTTAACAGAATAATTACTTTACTTGGCAAAGTTGTCAAATTCAGCGATAACTATTCCTTAAGGGTTTTCCTTTTTATGTTTAATCACTAGTGAAAACGATCATTCTGGAGTCACGACTTTGCCTAAGCTTTGTCAATTTATTCAAATCTTTGAATTGGCGATTTAAACACAAAGACTAATTATAATCTGAAGATATATATCATCATTCTATTTGTTTTCACTCACACGCGAAAGATTTTAACGCCTTTGGAATTTCACTGGACTTTATGATTTAACCAAACAACTTCACCTATTATTTTACAACTATTTACTTTTTGTTTGATCTTTATAGTTTGCCTCGTGATCTTATCATTTGTGATGCGATTGGCATAATGATTCAAAAGAGGGTCTGTGAAATTTCGTTTAAAATAATATGCTAACAGTTTTTCAGCATGTGACGCGCTCTTATAGAATTAGTATTGATTAATAAATAGCACATTGTACTATTTATTAATCAATACTAATCAAGTCATATACAGTTGCGTTACTGACGTCACAGTTATTTCTAATTAGATTTTTATTTCTTAACTAAAGTTTTGGTAAGTAAAATAATGTAAACTGTCTTATAAAAGCAAAATCTTTCCGAAGTTAGTACCGATACTTTTATTAATTCGATCATCATTATCATTAACTTTTGTCAGTTAAGTACTGAATTTCACCTTTCCAAATTTACTCCGTAGAATCCGCACTTTTCTGTCTCCAGTTTTTTCTGACTTCCTCACAGTACAATCCCGTCTTTTCTTTGGATATCCTCTTTTTCTTCCCGTAAGTTTCCATTCTAACTTTTTCCGTCTGTAGGCTAATCTGTTTTCAAACTACAGTATATGATTAGCCCAATTTGATAAGTATATATGTATAATTTCGTCAATTTAGTTTTAATGGCATTTAGAAGTAAGTATTTTTAATTTTTAGAATAAAAAAAATGCATTTGGGAATTATTATAATCTATTTCTTTACTCTCCAGTGCGAATAACATCAAATATCTTTTATTTTATTTTAGCGTAGAGCGTAAATCCTTGAGCGTGAATTCGTGTAAATATAAAATATTTATTTTTAAATAAAACTTTCTTTTTTTAACATTTTATTTAAACATTTTCTTACTAGTCATACCTGGCCAATTCCGATAACTTATACAACAGCAAAAGAACTCGATTGGAGACCGAAAATTAAGATGTGGACGTATAAAAAACAGGGTAAATGTTATTTTAATTTTCAAATATAATATTTAATATTATTGAATAAAAATTTACTTTTAAAATCATTTTAAGCTTTAAATAATTGTTTTAATTTAATAAAATTTCATTTTTGTAATATTCAAAATTCACTTAAAATATAAAAGTAGATATTCAAATTGTTCAGAAAAACCACTAATCAGAAATAAAGAAAAAATTATCTGTGACGAGCATTTAATTCTAAAGAAATAAAATATCCTTCCTTAGACATTGCAACGAGTGAAGCGAGAAAATTACGAAAATACGTCACTCAGAAATGCGTTCCTGTTGGTTCTATTAAAACGCAAATGACTGCTATTAAAATCAATAGATTAAGTGTATATTGTATATGTTTATAATTGAGATCATTCTATGTTGGATTCAAATGCATTATTAATCGTATTTTAATCGTCTGAGTATATTCGTGATACAAAAAATTTATTGTTTAAAATTTTTTAAATGTTTGCGCCAATCAATTTTATATTTTAAAATTTTAATTTGCTTTTATTTTCTTAGAAATAATGACAAATATAACCGGGAATCGTGACGATTGGATTATTGTTAACGGAGAAAACATAGTCTATTACGTAGTTAATTACGACGAAACAAATTGGAATTTACTGGCGAAACAACTACGAGAAAATCATTCGGTTAGCAGTAATAATTTAAATTAATATTACTTGAAATGATATTACAGAAATATGACAAAATAATTTTGAATATTTAACAGGTGATTCCGGTTACTCATCGTAAAAAAGTTTTAACGGACGCTTCAAGTTTGTTTACGTGAGTTATTTTCAGTTCAGACATTCTTTGTCGGGTCAATTCTTTGCCTTTGTCTTTTATTCCGAATAACACCCACAGGTTCTTTATAGGCTTTATACAAATTATTTCTATATAAATACAAAACAATAATTCATTTCATAAATCACACATGTTATAGTTCTTAATAATCCTAGTCTATAAATGCTTCAGGCAGCACAAAACAAAGCAATGTTCTTGGAGGAGGAGTGATAACACCCCTTCTCAAACAATAAAAAAGAAACCTAAAATCCGATTCTAACCAAATCCTCTCTTCATTTGAATTTCCATTGAACCCTTTACATTCGAAGCTCCTTTGAGAGACTACATTCTGGAACAAATCGCCTTTTTGTCTTCCAAAAAGTGTTTAAGGTTTAAAAACCAATCGATGGATTATGCTGAATCCATCGTTTGGTAATGAAACCAAATAAGTATAAAATTGATTAAAATAATTAGATATTGTGATTGCATGGCGCTTCTTGATATTGCATGTGTTTCATGTTTTACACTAAAGTGGATTAGATTACTACTTACATCAAATGTAAGGAAGAAGGATATTATGAAACAACAATTTTTTACTTTACTTGAAAGAAGATTTGTTATTTAGTATATAGGCATATTCATAAAAGTTCAAAAATAGTTCATATTCATAAAAGTAAACAGAACCTCTTTTACGTGGCTTCATTAAATTCCCTCTACAATCACCATGTCATAGCAGTGTTCTATCATTTCATCAGGAGATAATTTTGTTTAATTGAAATGAATAAGTAGCCCACATGAATTTTAAATAATAAGCTTAAATATCGTTCACGCAAACAATGTGTTCAATAATAATGGTTAATCATGGCTAGTTATTTGAAAATTCTCAAATTTAGCAGCTATTATATTGTGAGCCACCGGGGAGGGAAGAAGTTCCTCTCCTTGCCTGCCACAGGTCGGTGACCTACTTTCTTGTCAAGGATGGCGTTACGTTCTGTTACGCGGTACGCGAGTGGAGGAGAGTCGGAGGGGTCGACGATAAGACGTTGGCAAAGTCGAGTAACGACACCATTTAAAACAAAACAAGAGTTTATTAAACTAACTAACTAAAGCAAATTTACACAAAACTCCTTCAACCGCGGATGAGAGAGAGAGTTTACAATAATAAGCGTTCATACCTCTTTGCATATACTAGTGGGATATTTTCCCGTAATGTCGTCCAAATGGATTCTGAGCGGCGACACAAGTATAGGTCGGCGACAAAAGTGTAGGTCAGCGATGGGAGTGTAGGGCTGCGATGGAGAAGACTTCGATGTTCGACTTCGTCGTTGTTCATTCGATTGGCGACTCCCCCGATTGAAGAAGGAGGAGGGCTTTTATACGTTTTGCGGTGGGAAAATTCACCAGGTGACCAATTGTTTTAGCAGGTGTGAGGTTAAAGGTTGCGTTAGAATGATAACAATATGACGTAGTTCGCTCATAATTGGAAACCATACACGGTTTGATCGTGAGAATGTTTATAGTTAAATAGAAAGAGTTATAACTTTCTCATGCGCTTCATATTTTGTTTCTGCAGATGCAAATTCCTCTAGTTAAAGGAATTTTTATTTAAAATTTTAAAAATTAAATGATTTTATTACATTATATAAACTTCGAATTTCACAATATTATTATTATCATTATTATTCTTATATTATTATTTTGCTGTCTATCCACTGTTGGATGCAGTGCCGTAACTAGGCAGGTGTGACAGGTGTATTCGCACAGGATCCACTTGTAAGGGTTGCCCAAAATGCATGTACAGGTAACCCCCATATAACACGGTAGTTACGTTCCAAAAAATTGCCGTGTTATGCGAATCCGTGTTATACGAAACAAAGAACTAATACGAAAAGGAGAGTTAGGTTCCAAAAATTAAAAAACATGCTAGTATATTTTAATAATTAAGATAAATATCTTCATTAAAATTTTTTTAGTGATACATATTAATATAAATTAAACAATGTTTTCTTCGTCATCACTAAAAACACTATTAATTAACCGAGAGCGTTTTCTTTTTGGCAAGTTATCCTTATCCTCTGAGTATTTTTCTGCATTATCTTCAGATCCATGCGTTACCTTTTGCAAAATGTATGTAATTTTAGATTGCTTGCTTCTAGTTAAAAGGTCTTTATAAATTTCCTTATATGGTGCTAAGCACTTATCAAGAATAAAGCAAGTATGGAATAAGGGAAAAACATTCGGCAACATCAGAAGCAGAAGCGTCGCGATCTGGCAACATTGAAACAAGTTTCGAGAAGGACCACGTGTATCGACAGAAGGCGAGAAGAGAAAATTTACATACTTAAGTATTAATAGTTCACGAAAATTATTGTTTTCGTGAATTATTATTACTTAAGTATGTAAAAATTTATTACATTTCCTGTTGTACGAGGGTTTTACCCAATTCTCGAACCGTGTCAGAGTAAATCAGTGCTATAAAAGTACCGTGTTATACGGGGGATGGTACCAATTCTCGAAACGTGTTAGAGTGAATCCATGCTATAGAAGTGCCGTGTTATACGGGGGTTACCTGTATTTATTTTATTATTTTCCCGAACCTAATTAATTAAGGGGTCTAAATGCAAATTCTTGCAAAGGGCACAGAAAGGGTTAGTTACGGCACCGGTTGGATGAATGCTTCTCCCACGATTTCCATTTTCTTTCTGCTGCTTTGGTTATTTCACCAGACTATCTCATCTTACGTTATCCTTGCTTTTTGACCCTGTTTCTGGTTAACCGTTCCGTCCACTCCATTTCAACTTTTTAATTTGCACTAAACAATCATCTAATTTTTTTTTTGTTCTCTATTCAAATATTTCTTTTATCTCTTAACGCTATTACTATCATTTTTCTTTCCATTTTCCTTTGAGTGACCTTAATCTTGTTTTCTAGTGTTTCTGGCAATGGAATGTTTGAGATGCATAAGTCATTGCTGGCAAAATGTATTGGTTAAAAGTTTTCTTTCCATATTATATAATGCCCTTAAAGCTTTAATTTTTGTAAAAACGAAACTTTCCTTTTGTTTTCGTGCTAAATACTAAATCTCTTTCAACTGTAAAGAAAAATTATCATTTTGAAAGTGCGCGTTTCAAAATGATAATTTTTCTTTACAATTGTTTTTCTTTTAAAAGTTCTTATCTTTTTTGGATGATACTATATTATTAATGCGTTTATAAATTTTATACTTACTTCTTAAATTTATTAACATATGTCTGTTTGGCATATATACTGTTACTATGATATTAATCATATTCATTAATATTGCATGTTTATGTATATGTTACGGCCAAAGCCCAAAGTTCGTCCATTTCCCGAATTGTCTGGCCATTTCGCACTTTAGCCGAGAGGTGTGGCCGATTTACTTCAAATGACCAGTGTATATGCTATTTAGGACGGCCATTTCGCGAAGGGGCGGGTAAGCGGGTAATTCCTGGCCTAAATTCTATGTGCTGATGCAAGACTGGTAGGCGGTATATCTTTTGCTTCCGATGTGATGGTGTTCTCAAACAACTGTGAGGTCGCCGAACCGCGTGTAACGGCAGGATATCTGAGTAATTCCGAAGCGTATGTGGGAGTGTTGATGACAGAAACAACTCTCTCCAGTTACAAAACGATTTTTCCAATTTATTGTATAAATTATGTTACAAAAACAGTATCTTCTGTCCGAGAATGGGATGATGTGATGGACGATGTTGGTCAGTTGGAGAACTGGACGGCCCCGGGGCGCAGTCGTGTAATAGTTTGTGTCGAGAGATATGTGTCGTTTAAACGTCGGAGAAACGGAGAATATTTTCGCTACGGAGGATGCTACGCATTATAAAAATCCGGTGGAGAAGCTCTCCGTATTCTTGAATTGGTCATTTTTATAAACTGTTTTGGTATCCCAGATCAATCATTTCGATTGGTCGATACTCTTCACTTCCGCTTTCTAATTAGTCTTTACTCGTTACCTAGTGTAACGAGATTGGAACCCAGATTGCAGGATGAGTCAACGTTGCGTCTCCATTCGAATCCAATCGAAGATGGTCGATCTTAGGACTTACATCATTCTATTGTTTTAAGTCGAGAAGTTCACTTTTCTATGAATTAACATGGATTTCTATGAATTTTCACATAATTGTTACAATTATGTGAAAACTTTTATTTATTATTAAAGTCAATGATCGCATACAAACATTTTCCAGGAAAATGCTCCCAACAAGGTTCATGGTACCGCACTTCATGCATATGTTTCTGCAACATTTTTGGCTTGCGCTGGATCAAAGTAATAGGCATTACGCAATCCACAAAACGTTGATGTCTCCTCATCATTAGTGGCCTATTTAAAATGTATTCAACAAATAATTCTGGTTTGGGAAAGAATTATTGTGTAAATAGTATATATATATTAAATATTATATATTTAGCCACCCAATTTCCACTAGCAAAGACTCTAACATGTAATTTAACATCATTTATATGTATTATCACTTTTAGACCAGATCGCCATTGTCAAGACGTTTAGCACTTGTCAACACGTTTTAATTTTTTTAGTGTCATCGGGTCCTACAGATCCTATAATAAAAGTCGCGTCTATGTACCCGTTTATTATGCGTGTGTATTGTTTTTAATGCTATATCGCCAGTCCTTTTTTAATGAAGATTTTAGTATTTTATTTTCAAGTCATCTGATATCAGTCCCTGACTAGAATAACAAAGGATTTAGAAAATGCAACTTACTTGTGTGATCTTTATTACTTGTAATGAAGACCACACAAGCAAGTGAAATCCTAAGTTCATGACGTCTCTTATACCTCGTTCCATAACGTCCATTTACATAAAGATAAAATGCTACGTTTTGGTGAAAATGCGAACCTCGTTATAATCACGAAAACAATCTTTAGGATTAGGTTGGTAAATGTAGATTTGAAGAGTGGAAAAATTGCAAATTATAACAACAAATCCAAAGTGTTAATAGAAGTGTTGTAAATATGATTAAAATTAAAAACATGGCATCTTATTAGAGACATGATCTCACACGAGCATTAAAAAAAAATTGCCTTTTAGAAAAAGTGAATGAATGCAACTTTTAACTAAATGAAAGCGAACTGTCTGCAAAGTGCTTCCACAGGCTGATGGTTTTCAGAACTGATCATAATAATGATTTATGAAGATGTATGCTTAGTGTTCCATATCGCCCTGTGCTCCATGTCTCTCCCACCCTACACAATAATTAATATTTAGATTGATTACAATTTAAAACATAAATTATCGTTTATGTTTATTATTAATTCTAAACATTTTCCACAGAAAAAATTTGACGACACTGAATACGCTGTTGGATCTATATTTGTATTTTCCATTCGAAGACGAATATTATGTGACATTGAATTCAGAATTTATGATTATGTTAATGAAAACAAGTGAGCTGATACAACTAACTCCGGACGAAATTATGTGGGACGTAAGTACATAGACATAAATTTGACTTTTTGAAATGATTATGTAATATAAATTAGCTATAGTTTATTATGAATATATTAATAAGTCCTGTGTTCGTGGTATACAATATCCTTTATAATTTCACAACGTTTAAACAAGACTGAAGATCTTTTTGCCTCGCAAAGAGACTTTCTCCAATGAATTAAATGAATATTATTTTCATTCTAAGGTAGTATTCCATTAGTAAAGTGGTTCCCAACCACGACTTGTGAAAGTGAATATCACAGGGAGACTGAAATAGGGTCTCGAGATGTTAAAAATTATTAAATATTTAACATCTAATAAACGCCAATTTGAAATAAAATCAAATATTTTTATATTAGAAAAACTGAATTACAACTGTTATCAATAATGGATATACAAAGTTCTTTTAATATTTCTTTTAGTTCATCTCTAAACTCCATTGTGAAATTATAAATATGCACAGAAATTGTATAATTAAAATAAATATCATCATTATAAGTTGATGATAAAAATTCAATAACAACAGTTTTAAACTCCATCAGAAATATATTTTTGTTTAGCAAACGTTTCTGACTTATTGGGCAAATGATATACAGAGGTCGATCGCCAAAAAATTGTATTCCGGAACATAGAAAGTGAATAAATGGTGCTTTCTTTTCAACAGACTAACTTCAAATTTTTCATTTTAAACTTAATTATCATCCGGCCATATTTTACAATTGAATTGAAAAAATATTTCTGCTGGTAGAGATTAGAACTGTTGTCATTGTACGCAAAACACCAGTTTATGAGTATATAAAAAGTCATATAATTTATTTTTCTAGAATTACATCATTTATTTGTTTGAACCGCTATATAAAAGGTTTGGTTGGGAGTACGGAGATAAAAACGAAATTTCTTATAACAGGTAATTTTGATAACTAAATTCGAGATGATGACATTTCGTAATTATATTTTCATTCATTACCTTTTCTGTATCTTAAATAATTTTGAAATAAATAAGATTTTAAAATTACAAATCTCCAATTTTCGTTAACATTCTTTTCTATTCTTAAATAGGAATATTCCGACAATGAAATAGTTTAACTAAAACTAATTTTAGTTTATTGCGCCAATAATAAAATATTTTTTCATTAACTATTCACAAAAGTAATCACTAATACATTAAAATTAAAAACATTTTCATTATAAATGCTTACACCGTAATAAAATATTTTTAATTTTATTCACTTATAATATGTTGTATTGTAAGTATAAACCAAAAAGAAATAAAATAAAATATATTTAGTTAAAATATTTCGTTAAAATTGATAAACATTACATACTTAATTCCGTTAATACAATAGATAGTATACCGAAAAGTAAATGAAAATGTTAAGTTTAGTTATTACAAAATTCAGCATCATAAGGAACAGTAATTGAAAGTATTAAAATATTTTGCATTCTCGGCTGTTATAGAATATAACATAAGGAAAGTATCATGATCAGTCAAATTTTCATCTAACCAGTTCTTTAAATACGATCCCAATGCAAACACCTACGAAAATAATTATAACGTGGTTTTTAATAGAATTGTTTGGTTTTAATTACTGATGAAACAGATTATTCACACGACTATGCTTATCACACATATAATATAAATGACTACTTATATTAATTTTGTTAAATTTCAAGTTACAAATTAACTTTAAAGATTATGGGCCTTTATAAATGTTATTATACATTAGTTAGAAATTAAATAAAATGATAAATTAGTTATTATTAAAAAATATATATATATATTTTTTTGTTCTTAAATTCGATTTTCTTATTTTTCCAATTGAAAAACATATTACAACCAAATTTAAAAAGACGTTAATAACAAATGTATTTATTATCAATATCAATTTAAGATCTTTTCAATAACATCAGAAATAGAAAGTAGAGATGGGCGAATATCAGTTTTGTCGAATTCGAATATTAATCAGATCTCGAATATTCAAATATTTAGTAAACTTAATTATTCTAACTTATATAGCACATATAAATATTAAATAAAATTATTAAGTAGCTTATTTTATTTATTTCAATATATTAATAAAGTAAAACAAAAACAATGTACTACATTCTAAGAAATGAAACTTCAAAATTTTTATTTTGACTTTGTTTTTACAGTATTTTAGTACCATTTTCTTAACTACACAAATTATTAAACAAAGTAAATAATAAAAGATTTTGTCTCATTTTCATTACTGTTGATTTTTATTTGCAAAAAGAAGCATTGGAACGTTTAAGATCTACTTCTTGTGGAAAATTAAACCAGAGGTGCTGAAGACATAGTTTCCATACTGGGGATATTTTCCACAAAATGGGAAAAATGGGATAAGGATATTAATGGTGAATTCTGTAGAGAATTTTACATTCTCGAAGGGAAAATTTGGGAATACCGATATATAAAGTTTTTATTGAACAATAAGTATTCGTGGATAGTATTCGCCCATCTCTAATAGATATATTTTATTGAATATTAATTTATACCCTATGTTTGAAAACATATTTTAAAATGTAGTGTTATATTTGATTTAAAATTTTAAATTCCAAATTTATCTGAGAACATTGTAATTTTATGTTGAACTTTTGTTTTTTGATTACAGGGAAATTCGCGATCTATCCATATCCTTTTTATGCCGAAGGAGATACATGCCTTGTGTGAATACCGCTATCGCTAAATTTAAAAATTGGAACGAAACAAAAAATGAAACCGGGTAATAACTTTAATTGAATCGATTATATTAAATAATTAGAATTTTTAAATATTTAGTATGTATTACGTAATTAACTAATGTTAAGAACATATTTATAATGTATCAACTTAATGAAAAAACTTTAATAATACAAAAATTACTTTGGAATTTATTGTACAAAGAAATATAATCACAGGCAAAAAGCTGTTTCTAATTAATTAACGAGTTTTATTAAATATTAAATTCGTTAAAATTAAAACATAGAATAATTTAACTTGACCAGTATTATGAATTTAATACAGATCAAATAGAATTTTCTCTAATAAGAAATATTTACGAAGTTTCCCCATGTTCTTGCTTAATTTTAAAATGTTTTTGATTTCGAGAATTGTCGAATTAGAATATAATTATGTAAATAGAATAAACCTCATGGCTATGATTTACAGATTAATAAATTTGGACTATTCATAGCCAACTTTTTAAATTCGTCTTAATTTAGTTAAGAAACTTTCATTTTGAAATACTGTAGAAGCTCCGTATTCTAGATTTTTTTTCATATTCGCCAACTAAAACTCTATTATTCTCGAAGGATTAATAAAAATAACATGTAGAAAACAAAGATTTTTTAGATAGAAAAGATTTTTTACCTTTCAGTTTTAAAATAGTAAATAGTAGTAGTTAGAAGTATTAGTAAGAAAGTTGGGGCAACATTTAGTTTGTTTACTTCCTATATTGTAATATAATTTGTTAGGTATTATTAGGGGTTTCTTTACTTTATCATATTAATTTCTGTTAGGCCCCAATATGTATTTTGAAGCTATTAAATTTTCATGGTTAAAGGTCGACAGGATAAGGAGAGAAAAGGCATCGTGTGTCATATCTCGAGTAGGGTCGAACTTAATGGGATTTTACTCGTTATTACCATTTACAATTTTTCAAAAAGCCCATTTCTACCTCAAAATTAAGCTTTTGGCTATTTTATAATAATTAAAAATGTAAAAAGCTGTTTTTTAAATAAAATACCATAACAGACGGCGTCACACACGTAATTTTAAACATGGCCGGAAAAGTTAAGTAATTCGTTGCTGGATTTTTAGCTTTAAGCTATTTAGATTATCCTCCATTATATATGTATTTGTAAGTTAAATTTTAGGAGAAACAGTTAATAAAATTATCAGGTAGCACTCTGAATTAACAGTAGGTGCAATCTATACGTGCGTAGATTTGCTAGCTATCATAGTTCTGTTTTCGTTTTATCTATTTGTAAGGTCATATAATTTAAAGCGTGCAACCAGAACACTACAAATGAATTCGATTTAATTATGAATATGAAATAAATAGTTTCTCGAAAACAATTAACACGTTTTACGAAACGTTTTCAGTTTATTTTTAATGAAAATTACTTATATTGAGATAAATTAAGTTTTTCTGTTTTACATTAATTTATGCAAATTTCGTTTGTAGTTTAAGTACCAACATCAAACATTCGATTATGTGTACTGGAATCGAATATGGAACCGCGGAAGAATGGAACGAGGTGTTTAATTCTTATTTGAAAAACGAAGATTTTTTAACCACTATTTCTTTAGCTTGCAGCAGAAACAGGACATTAATAACAAAGTAAATATTTAGAACATTTTACATCTTTTTAAAATTTTTTTCCTCACTTTCTTTCTCTTTTTTCTTAACAGACTCTATGTAATAAAAATGTTTTAAAAACTCCAATATATAGAATTGGTTGTTGATTGTTATTGAAAATTTATTTCAATATCAATATTTCATGTGAAAATGTTACCTTTTTTTATGTTTAGATTGCTTGAAGAACTTTTGAAGAAGCCTAAAGTAAGACAATTTTCTATTATACTGAGATCAGTCCTTCGTAACCCGCATATGTGGTTAGAAGTTTTCCATTTCTTCAATATTCATTTTAAAGAATTGGCAGAAGAGTAAGTACAATAGATTACAATAAAATATTTTTCTTTTCGATTTAGTCGATATAATCCGAATAAACTGGAAGACTGTGTATAATTAAACTGAATTAAATTATGTATAATTCAAATTAGAGATATATCTGTATATACAGTTTGTTTTCAAGAAATGGAAAATTCTGTTTTAACGATACTAAAAATAAGAAATTACATTTAAAAGATTAACTTATTATTGACTTTCGTATTTGAAAGAAAGTATATTAGACTTAAGTATGTAACGAAAGGAAAACAAAACCTGTTTTAATTACATGATGCTATATTTGGTACGGAATTAGTACAGACTGTAGAGAAAACTAAAAGGCTATGTGTCATTCATTAAAAACAATCGAAATTAATATGTAGAAATAAATAATTTAATAGTATGATGCAGTGTATTTATAATTAGTTTTGAAAAGAAATATTCCGATTTTCCACATTTTTAATTAGTCAAATGTAATAATTATATGTTTTGGACAATATTTACTTACATGCCTTTATAGCATGATGTACAGTACATTATCTGTTATTGTAGGAGTATATTAACATGAACAAATAATACATTATGATTTGAGTGTAGATCAGTATGTAAATACTACATTATCTGTCTGATAGTTTCAGTGTTACGGATGGTTCTAAAAAAATGCAGGATAGAGAAATAGGAATGATGTTTAGTCTGAACTATCGGAAAGAATTCAGAACAATCCAGATTGGTTTCAAATAAAATAAACCGAGAAAATTGTCCTTTTTGTTTTTGAAAATTTTTAATACTGCTGTCAATACTGATATACCGATGTTATTAAAAAACGGTAGAGGAGAAGCTGGTATTATGGAACCCCATTTTCATTATAGTGAATTGTAAACAAGGTATCATAACTACACACACACTTTTTGTGCGAGTAGTACTGGTAACTATTAAAATAAATGTTCCTAATTGGATTTTTATGACATCAGACAGCAATTAGGCAGGCTGACACAATACACTAAAAAACAACATAACATCCAAATTAAAGAAACAACTCAAAAACATTTTCAAGAAAATCAAAACACACACAAAACATGAACATCACAACACACACATTACAGAATACATCGATACACTAAAACAAAAACTTGCAGCCAAAGCACGTAGACTCAAACGATACAAAACATGTACATTACGAAAACAACAAAATAAATTATTCACAAACAATGAAAAACTTTTCTACAGACAAATCAGTACCAAAACAAACACTGATACACAGCACAGTGGCACACCAACAGAAGAAGAACTCACAACTTATTGGTCTTCTCTTTGGTCCAATGCTGTTACACACAATGCTGATGCAGGCTGGATCAAGGAGGAGAACAGAAACTTGCATAACATACCAAGTATGCCCTGTGCTGAAATAAACATACACGACATTCGCTACGCTGTTAACAGAACACACAACTGGAAGACACCTGGTGTAGACAACATTCACAATTTCTGGTACAAAAAGTTTACATCACTGCACCAGGAACTAGCTAAACATCTAACACACATCATCATCAATCCACAAGACATGCCAAAATTTCTTACTCGGGGCATTACCTACATGAAACCTAAAAACAACAAAACCACAGACCCCACACAATACAGACCAATTACATGTCTTCCAACACTCTACAAATTATTGACATCCTGTATCACAAACAAAATATACAAACATGTTGAAGAACACGACATTCTTACAGAACAACAAAAAGGTTGCCGTAGAAATCACAGGGGATGCAAAGAACAGTTACTCATAGATTCAGTCATTCTACGGCAAGCACACAAACAACACAGAAACATACACATGGCATATATAGACTACAGAAAAGCATTCGACAGTGTTCCACACAGTTGGCTGCTACATATTCTACACATGTACAAAATACATCCATCACTCATTGCATTCTTCGAAAACACTATGCAGCACTGGAGAACAACACTACATCTCAGGGTTAGTAACACTTCCATACAAACAAACGAAATATTCATTAGGCGAGGAATTTTTCAAGGAGATTCCTTGAGTCCTCTCTGGTTCTGCCTAGCCCTGAATCCATTATCCAACATGTTAAACAACACGCAATACGGCTACAATATCAGACACGAAAAAACAACACAGTTTACACTCTCACATCTCATGTACATGGACGACATAAAACTTTATGCATCCACACAAAAACAACTTCATCAACTCCTACAAATCACACATTCATACACTAAGGACATACAAATGGAGTTTGGCCTAGACAAATGCAAAAAACTTCACATAGAAAAAGGAATCCTGAAGAAAGAAGATTTTGCACTTGGAAATGGAGACGTTATTGAATCCATGGAAGAGGGCGAGTTCTACAAGTACTTAGGATTCCAACAGGCCAAACTAACAGAACATACACAAATAAAGCAACGATTAATTAAAGAATACCAAAGTAGGTTAAACGCTATACTTAGAACACAGTTAAATGCAAAACACACAGTTAAAGCAATAAACACATATGTCATCCCAGTACTCACATACTCTTTTGGAGTTATACATTGGACTCACACAGATCTCGAGCAACTCCAAAGGAAAACAAGAACAACACTTACTAAGCATAAACAACATCATCCTAAATCCGCCACAGAAAGATTAACCCTTCCACGTAAAGAAGGCGGACGTGGCCTGATTGACATAGTTAACCTTCACTACAAACAAATACAGTCACTGCGAGAGTTTTTCTACAAGAAACAAGAAACATCACAGTTACATAAAGCAGTAACTCTAGCAGACTCAAATAACACACCATTAAACTTACACTCACATCATACAGACATGACACAACACATAAAAAGCATAGACACCATCAAGCAATCGTGGGCTCGAAAGGCACTCCATGGCAGGCATCCTTATGACCTGGCCCAGGATTTTGTTGACAAAACTGCGTCAAACAGCTGGTTAGATCGGGGATGCCTCTTTGGGGAGACGGAAGGATTCATGATTGCCATACAGGATCAGGTCATAAATACTAAAAACTACAGAAAACACATACTCAAAGATACAACACTCACAAATGACACATGCAGAAAATGTCACATCATGCCAGAAACTATACAACACATCACTTCTGGTTGCAAGCTCTTGGCACAGACAGATTACTTACATAGACACAATCAAGTAGCAAATATAATACACCAAGAGCTTGCAAAGAAACACAAATTGGCAGACATCCACGAACCATACTACAAGTATATTCCACAGACAGTATTGGAAAATAACACGCACAAAATGTATTACGACAGAGCCATAATCACAGATAAAACAATTTACCACAACAGACCAGACATCACACTCATTGACAAACACAATAAAATCACATACATTATAGACATAGCCATTCCAAACACTCACAATGTACAAAACACATGCACTGAAAAAATTAGCAAGTACACAGAACTCGCCCAGGAAATAAGGCATCTGTGGAGGATGGATAGGGTGCTTATTGTACCTGTTGTTCTCTCCTGTACAGGTGTGATACCACACACGCTACACAAAAGCCTGGGAACATTACAATTGAGTAGAAATACATACATCACACTACAGAAGGCCACTATATTGAATACATGCCATATTGTTAGGAAATTCCTTAATACAGACACTGACACACACATTTAATTTTAGTTTTGTTTTGGTTGCTATGCCTTGACTCTGGTCCGGCATAGTACACAGCCACCGGTGTGTACCGAGTATAACCCACTAAACCCAACACATAATAATAAAGAAATGTACAAAGAAGAAGCTAATCATGTACAAAAATCATAAATATAATGCTCCTATAGTGTTAGGTATTTATTATTACTTTTTTCATTTTCCTTCTATTCTTTTATTTATCTACCACCATAGTTTCCAATTAGTGGTACGCGAAATTGCATGAAGGGATACGCGCGCGCAATCTAAAATCAGTCGGTTTAAAATTTAAATGCATGAGATGAAGCAATCAAAAAAATAATGGGTGGACCCTCAAAAATTCGGTAATTTACAACATGATATCGAATGCACAAATTCGTTTATTTATAACTAAAAATGTTCTTGAAATTTCATCAAAAAAATGCATTTGTGACAATACCTAAATGAAGTTCTTATGCAGGAAACAAAAAATGTACAATTAACACAGATTGTGTTAATTGTACAATTATCATTATTATCATGTCAGCGAAGCGGCAATAAAATATTTACTATCATTTTGCACAACATACCTCTGCGAGAGCGGATTTTCGGCCATGACAAAAATGAAAATAAACATCTTCACCGACTTCAACTCGAAGATGACTTGAGACTGAAGCTGACCCAAAAAGCAACCAGATTTTACAAAGCTGTGCAAACAAAATCGTGCACATTAGCTAAGCCCGCATTATATCGAATTTTCTCGTGGGAGTAAGATATTTTCTTTCAGTAAAATGTAGCCTATGTTCATCTCCAACATGTAAGCTATCTCTGTGTCAAATTTTATTAAAACCTGTTCAGCAATTTAGACGTGAAAGGGTAACAGACAGACAGATAAAATTACCTTCGAATTTATATTATTAGTATGGATTAATATGAATTTCTGCTATAAGGGGTACGCAAGTTTGAGCTCTTTCTTGAAGTGGTACGCAGGAAAAACTAATTCGAAACCACTGATCTATCACATACTTTTACAAAAGTTAGACGGGTTCCATATTAAAAGCACCAATGGGGTCCGTATTTCACGCATCGCCATCTTGAATTAACTTATGTCTGTCAAGACCAAACTTTAAAAAACGTGAACATCACATAGATTAATATGTACCCGTAAGTCTCTGGAACGGAATACGTGCACCAGTGAACCTACAACTACACGATTTATATTTTAGAAATAATTAAATTCACTTAGCATTCAAAACTTTCGAAATTCAAAAAACACAAATATGCTGATTCACTACGGACAACCGTTTAATTGAAGTGCTAGGCAGACATCCATAGCAAGGGGAAACTTGCTATGCATATATGCATAGCAAGTTTCCCCTTGCTATGCCTGCAGGGTTCCATAATACCACCTTCTCCCTATACTAAATAACTATACAGCGACGCTTCGTACTTCGAATTTACTCGTAATTTGTTCCAAGAGACTGTTCGAACTCTAAATCGTTCAAAGTCCGAATCAATTTTTCCCATTAGAAATAATAAAAAATAAATGAATCTGTTCTCAGATCCTAAACAATATCTATTTCGATAAAGTTAAATATCAAATTCACATAATTAGAGGTAAAAATAACATAATTAAATGCACTAAACAATAAATTAAAATATTTCAACAATAAATAAAATACGTAAATACCATATAATAAAATGAAAATTGCATTTAGGCCGCCTGTACTTTAGTGAAGAGTTGTGAAGTCCCATTTCTTAAGGTCGCTATGCAGCTGCTTGGTTTCTCATAAATAAAACTTTCGGAGATGATATCACTACTCAATTGCATCTCATTTATCTACACTAAGTGAAGTTTTCCATCTTCTCAATATAATGCGATCTCCTGGAGGTCAACGTCTTTAGCCATATTTGCTGCTTTCATTGTTTCTTTGTTCTTAAGAATAGAGCACATAATCGACATCGACATCTTAAAGATGGCCACTAGATCCGTCAAACGTGTATCGCTTTTACGCTTCACGCTTTCCCTTTTCACCTCACTTGTCGATTTACTACAATCTTCCTCTTACTTGTTAGTTGTTTCCGTACTTTTCTTGGTTGCCTTAGTAAATAGGTGGAGTTATATATATAATTAAATATACTAAAAATAAAGCGAAAACGCACTGAAAACACGAGCGTAACGCAAGAGATCCTTTCACGGCGAGAAAGAGCGACGACTTGTACTCACAACAGATGGTGTTTACGCAGCTAAATAGGATGTCCAACTAAATTCGTAAGTTCGACCATCGACTTCGCGGTCATCGTATCGACGTTGCTCTATGTCATACCTTCAAAGAAGGATAATTTTCATGGTTTATTTATTTAATACCAATCTGGATTGTTCTGAATTCTCCCCTATTGTTTAAACGTCGCTCTATGTCATACCTTTTCGTACGAAAACGTATGATGTATAGCAACGTCGATACTTTTCGCCTACCTTTCGTNAATAAGAGAATGATGAATTAATAAGCAACTTGCACCATCTAAATTGTTGATTTAAAAAATTATAAATGTTAATAATGACAGTGACATTTTTATCTCCCCGTTAACCATCAAACTTTAATTTCGATGGTTAAAGGTCGAGGAGGTGAGGTATACAAGAGATACAAGAATGCCATGTGTCTTATCTCGAGAGGGATTGGACTTAATAAAGATGTTTTTTGTAATTAGCATTTACAATATTTTTTATGAAACTCATCACTACTTTAAAAATTAAACCTTTCGCCATTTTATAATAATTAAAAATATAAAACGTTTTTTATAACAAAAATCTCTTAACAGATGGCCGGCGCCAAACACAGTTGTTTTTATTATTAATAAAATTATACTATAAAAGTTATTTTTTAACAGCCGGGAAGGTTACGCAAAACATTGCTGGATTTTCTATATTTCTTTTTAAGAATAAAATATTTATATAGAACATAAAAAGTTTAAATAATTTATTTTATTGCAGGTAATAGCGACCGGAAGACAGTACATGAAAGTATTAGGTAAAGAAAAAGCAAAACAATATCAGATTCTACTAGATATAGATGAACAAATGAATAAGAAAAACGAATGGATGAAGAATTCGGTTCATAAATGGTTGCAGAGTAAACAATGGAAAAAAGTCAGAAGAACGTGAGGATCGATATTTGAATTTACTGTTTTGCCAATATTGTCAAGAAGACATAATTCGGTCTTCCAAAGAGATTAAATATGATATCGTTGATATACAATAATGAAGAATATGATAATTCGCTGTAAAAAATAATCCGCATCCAAGATCTTGAGCATGAAGAAATGATTATTTAAATTGCCTCGTCAAAAACGAATTTTGTTGTCAATACAATATCTGCTATTTCAGTTATTTATATAAGATATTTTTCGATTAGACTTTTGCTCGTTGCGAATTTTGCTAAATTCCAAAAGAATTATATTGAAATCATGTACGTTTCATTCATTTCATTCACTTTCTTTTTATTATTTATTTGTACGTTGCATTCTAAGGGCACGTCCACAAATTCGCTGTTCGCCGAATGCCCAAAATTTCTTTTTGCCAAAGTATTTGCGAAGTGTTTGTCATCTGACGAACACACACTAACACATTTATGGTTATTTGCCGAGCATCGGTTCGTTACGGGAATGGCGAATGTTCATCCTGGATCTAAAAAATGGACAATTCTCAAAGAATAATTTGTGCCACTGCTTTTAGAGTTAAGAGTAGTTCATGCTTTTAATGAGGGGAAAAACAAAAGAAGAGAATAGTGGATGGTATCGCTTCATCAATGCAGAAAAATTTAAACGTAAAACTGAAAGGAATTTTTAAAAAATAGTATTGCTAGAAATAGCAGAAAAAATAAATATTTAAACTATAAATGAAATGGGAGAAATAAAGAAAATTAAAAATATAAGAGTAGATTTATTTTATAAAACATTAAAATAACGACAATAAAAAACGAGAAAATACACGGACATTCGTCACGTTGAGTAGCCCAAGATATAGCCAAAGATTGAAGCGCCACAGCACTGGCGAAAATTTAAATTTGTCGACTGGAATTCTTTCGGATGATTGACTTTCGGAAAATCGACGCTCTACTGTATTTCCAACGAACACTATAATTACGTGGTACGTCAAAACACCACAGTCGGCATAAGCTACAACGTGGGATTTAAGATGGCAAAGAAAATTTTTAATATATATTGAGAAAAAAAAGGCCACTGAGTATAGATTCTTGTTGAATACCACATAAAAGACCTTGGTTCACCAGATCTTTTTCATTTACTCCATTGTTTCCGGAGTAGATTTCGTAATTTTTTTAGATGACATTTCTATGAGAAGACATCAATTTTACGTGTTTTTATGTTTTTACAAAATTCTCAATTGCTGATGTTAAAACATTATAAGTAAGATTTACAAGCATTATGTAACAAACTGGTAGATTGTAGGAATAACCAATATAAAGAACAGGCCGGATGATGAGGGATGAGGACCGATATATCCGGTCAGACTACCCCCGAAAACTTCCTGGAGATTTTTCGACCCTTCCGGATTAACTCCCGGGTTCCCCAGAGCGGTAGGCTGCCACCTTGACTACTCGGCCATCCGGCTGTCGAACAATTATGAGAAGGATTATCAACAACAATGTGGTTGGTACATGGAAAAAATAAAAAGATAATATTATAAATATGTAAATAAATAAACTAGCCTATAAAAATGTTGAGAATTACAATTAATTAATAAGCAATTCGCATCATCCGAATTGTTGACGGATAAAAATGAAGCTTATAAAGGTGACAGGACAAGTCCTCTTATTGAGGAGATATCAATATGCAAAAAACTTCAAGATACGTTTGTCTTTACTGAAATATAGACAAACGATTGGGTTTGACAAGATTGAAAATAAGAGAATGATGAATTAATAAGCAACTTGCACCATCTAAATTGTTGATTTAAAAAATTATAAATGTTAATAATGACAGTGACATTTTTATCTCCCCGTTAACCATCAAACTTTAATTTCGATGGTTAAAGGTCGAGGAGGTGAGGTATACAAGAGATACAAGAATGCCATGTGTCTTATCTCGAGAGGGATTGGACTTAATAAAGATGTTTTTTGTAATTAGCATTTACAATATTTTTTATGAAACTCATCACTACTTTAAAAATTAAACCTTTCGCCATTTTATAATAATTAAAAATATAAAACGTTTTTTATAACAAAAATCTCTTAACAGATGGCCGGCGCCAAACACAGTTGTTTTTATTATTAATAAAATTATACTATAAAAGTTATTTTTTAACAGCCGGGAAGGTTACGCAAAACATTGCTGGATTTTCTATATTTCTTTTTAAGAATAAAATATTTATATAGAACATAAAAAGTTTAAATAATTTATTTTATTGCAGGTAATAGCGACCGGAAGACAGTACATGAAAGTATTAGGTAAAGAAAAAGCAAAACAATATCAGATTCTACTAGATATAGATGAACAAATGAATAAGAAAAACGAATGGATGAAGAATTCGGTTCATAAATGGTTGCAGAGTAAACAATGGAAAAAAGTCAGAAGAACGTGAGGATCGATATTTGAATTTACTGTTTTGCCAATATTGTCAAGAAGACATAATTCGGTCTTCCAAAGAGATTAAATATGATATCGTTGATATACAATAATGAAGAATATGATAATTCGCTGTAAAAAATAATCCGCATCCAAGATCTTGAGCATGAAGAAATGATTATTTAAATTGCCTCGTCAAAAACGAATTTTGTTGTCAATACAATATCTGCTATTTCAGTTATTTATATAAGATATTTTTCGATTAGACTTTTGCTCGTTGCGAATTTTGCTAAATTCCAAAAGAATTATATTGAAATCATGTACGTTTCATTCATTTCATTCACTTTCTTTTTATTATTTATTTGTACGTTGCATTCTAAGGGCACGTCCACAAATTCGCTGTTCGCCGAATGCCCAAAATTTCTTTTTGCCAAAGTATTTGCGAAGTGTTTGTCATCTGACGAACACACACTAACACATTTATGGTTATTTGCCGAGCATCGGTTCGTTACGGGAATGGCGAATGTTCATCCTGGATCTAAAAAATGGACAATTCTCAAAGAATAATTTGTGCCACTGCTTTTAGAGTTAAGAGTAGTTCATGCTTTTAATGAGGGGAAAAACAAAAGAAGAGAATAGTGGATGGTATCGCTTCATCAATGCAGAAAAATTTAAACGTAAAACTGAAAGGAATTTTTAAAAAATAGTATTGCTAGAAATAGCAGAAAAAATAAATATTTAAACTATAAATGAAATGGGAGAAATAAAGAAAATTAAAAATATAAGAGTAGATTTATTTTATAAAACATTAAAATAACGACAATAAAAAACGAGAAAATACACGGACATTCGTCACGAGTAAACATCAACTCTGCTCAGTATTGGGCGAATACCAAATACGTGGATGCGCCCTAATGGAATATTAATAACTTCATAAATCTTAAGATTATGTGAAAAATTACATCGTGTATTTTAATTGTGTAATGTATAAAATTATAATTGTCGTTACTTTTACTAATTTCCTAATTTATATCTTTTATATTAAATTAATTAAATAAAAGCTTTTAATTTATGCAAATATGTGAGCATTAAATTGAAGTAAAGATTTTAAAGGAGAATTAAAGTGTATAACTATTTGATAAGTATATATATATCTGTTTATTAATTTTATTTTCTTGTTCTGAAAGCGTAAGAAATTTTATCAGCTCTTGTACAGATTTCAAGCCAATGCCACCATAATACATATCTTTAGGTGTGTCAGGATATATAAGTGAAAAATGTATTTTAAATAGACTACAGTTACGGTTTATGGCAACTATTTTCTATTGTAAAGACCTATATAACACATACAAATACCAAAAATTTTCCAAAAAGTACATTTCGGGTTTATTTCTAATGGCTCATACTTTACAACAGTCATTGTATAAATCACCAGTCAGATAAATTACTGTGTTTTACAGTATATAAGACAAACCCCTATTTCAGTGCAGAATAATTTTATTTAGGAAATAAGTATTTAGTGTATTTAAGCCATTTAGCGTCTATTAAACGCGGCCACAAATTTTTTAATATTCTAATTAAGAAAAGTAAATCAGAATTTAGACTTTTATTTATTAATGAAAAAGAAGAGTTTAAAAGAACTTATTAACAGTAGAAAAATAGTTGCCATAAACCGTAACTGTAGTCTATTTAAAATACATTTTTCACTTACATCTCCTGCCTTCTTCGTATTTTGTATTTCTAACTAAATTTCGAAAACTTATCTCACGTTGTCGTTGATGAATATCCGATTTAATGGAACAACGGCAAAATAGAATTTATTTAATTTTATGTAAAGTAGTTCGTGTCTGAGACACGGACTACTTTACATAAAATGAAACTTATCATCCGACTGATCAAACTTTACTAATTAAGCTTTTGAAATTCTTAATTGATGTTCTTTATTATATTCTGATATTAGCAAGAACAATAAAAAATTAACAACGGTTAATTTGTTATAAACAACTTGTTAACGACATACAAGGCCGAAAGAAATAACAATTTGGCTTTTTATAGTCAACATCACGTAGAAAAATGAACAGTCTGAAGATAAAATCTGACTAGAAAAATTTATAAAATTTAAGGAAAATACGAATACAATTTTCATAATTATGCAGAAAAACACACACAGACTAATATATGTTATACATATTATAAGAGTGTGTATATGTGTATATGTATATATATATATGTGTGTGTGTATATATATACGTGAGATTTTTATAATTTTGTTTTTAAAAACAGTCGAGTCCATTTAACAGAGCACTGGATAAAGGAGCAGTTCTCTTAAAAGAGCATTCTCTGAGTTTCATTTTTTTTCCCATCAATTTTATTTTTTTATCTAATTTGAATTATTTTTCGATCAATACGATAAAATATTAAAAAATTAACAATTAAGTATTCTTATTCAATTCCGTAAAATATCGGATATCTCTTCCCATAAGTATAAACGTCATTTCGAGTTATTTCGTTCAAAATTTCACGAATAATAATGATAATATATATTTTTTTCATCTTTCTATTACTTAACACGATAATTATTTGGGTTACATAAATATTAATAAAAAGCAATTAACACCTACGCGTGCTTTATTCCGGTCATTCGGAAGCTTCCTTAATCTGTTTATCGTCTTTCGATGATTTATTTTATCTAGAATAAATTGTACAAATTCTGTTCGAAATATGTTTATAAGAAACACGTGGACGGAAATGAAATCGATACACGTGGTAAACAGTTTGAGCAACCCGAATTATGTTAACACTAAATAAATATTAAAAGACATCGTACATTATAATTTGTATACAACGTAATTAATAATTCCTTAAATCGATAAAAGTCTAATGTTGAAATATTTATAATTTTTAGTATAACATATTATTTATTTACTAATAAACAAAAATTTTAACTGACACAAGAAAATATTTATTCCATTTATTTACAACAATTTATTTCGATTTGTACTGTAGGCAAAATGATTCTGATTATCTACATAATATTTACGAAACGTTATTGTAAATATATTTATCTAATAGCAGGAAGGAAAATGGAGCAATGTGTTCAATGTATAACCATTTATTACACTAATATGATATCATCATATTTTATGTTATAGAGTAAGAACAAGATGAATGGAAAATTATAAAGGAAAAAAATCTATAATTACATAATACGTATTAGTTACTGAAAGACAAACAATTTAAAAAAATACTATATTAAAAAAAAATATATATTTTTTAATATAGTATTTTTTTAGTATTATATTTTTTTAATATTTAAATTAATAAAACAAGAAACAATGGCGAGCTTAAATACTGGAGACAAAAAAATAAAATATGCCAATTTAAACATTAAAATAAACGTTGTAAAAGGAAATTATTTTTAAAAAAAACATTAATTAGTGGAAAATTTTAATTTTTCTGAACTAATAACTGAACTGAAATAAATAGACTTTATAAAAACAGAATGTCAATAAGTTTATACTTATTTTTCTTAATGAAAGTTTATATCATCATCTGCATAATATTAAGCGTATATGAAACAAGATATCTTAAAAAGTTAGATACATTTTTGACATCTGTTATTGAATAATATATATTAAAAAAGATCTTTTAAAGAGTACATCTGTTCCTATATCTTATAAAAAAAAGTTTATTTAAGGTATTAATCTTCTGTAATAATTTTAGTCAAATTTTCCTATTATTTAAAATGCATTTATATCTATCTTAATTTAATATTTCGAGACGAAACATTAAACAATTGTTTACTTAAATTTTTATAATTTAATAAACATTCGAAGAAATTCCCGTGTTTTTAAGAAATTCTTTTATCATTCAATAACATTTGAGTCGAATACTATTTTTCTCTTTACTAACGATTACGAATATAAGTTTTAATTTGGAAATAACATTTTATGTTAGAAATTATTTAAATAATGCAATATCTTAAATATTTATAGTTACAATAATTCAAGGAGAAGGGAATTCTCTAAAATCTTGCTTTTTCGAAATCATAAATAAATAAGCATATAATAAAGTTAAAGTCAAATAGTAAATTTTCAGATATCTCTAATATAATAGACCTAATGCAGCAGTTTCCAGTGTTTTAATTAATTGTACATAACTTAAATCTAACGATCATATTTACAGTTTTGGTATATTTTACTTTTTTAACTCCATCGAAAATAGAAACTACTTGTGTTTGCTTTTTGATCTCTAATAAAATTCCAAAAAGCAAAGACTAAACCTTACTTGTTACATATTTAACTATAATATATAAGAAAACATTTGCCTTGGTCATTTAAATTATCAACATAAAACATATTTAACACTAATTAACCACTTAAAAAAAGGTCTGTTAAGAAAATAGACTCTGACGGGGTCGAGAGTAGAACCGCGCCGAGTTTATCCTTGAAGCTACTGATAGAAGTAATTAGTTTAGAATCAACATCTCCCTGCATTTGTCGGAGTCCGTGTTTACACTTAGCCATTCATAGAACAATGGATAAATTAGAAATCGAAGGAGACAAAAAGTCTCCTTTGTTGCAATGGGAATCGATACTTTTGAAAAATTGGAAATGGATATCTCTAGTGTGTATTATAATCGCAGGGGTCACAATTCTCGTCATTCTGGTATTAGCCATATATTTTTGTGTGTTAATTTTTACACCGAAGGAACCGAGGGGCATTTTCCTGCCGAAAACCATCATTCCACACCACTACCGATTGGAAATTCAACCGCATTTGGGACCCGACAATTTTAAGTTCAATGGAAGTGTAAATATCAATTTTGCTTGCATAGAAAGTACAGACACGGTTATCTTTCATTCCAAAGGCTTATCTCTAAGTTTGGACCGGATTAAAATTCGAAGCGAAATTGGAAACGATTTAAAAATATTAAGAATGGATTATGATGATGAAATCGACTTTGTAATTTTGACTTTATTAGAAAACTTGTCCTTAGGAAGTTACAGTTTGTTTATAGAATTCGAGGGTGTATTACAAGAAGAACTGCATGGATTTTATTATTATTCCTACGACGATAATGACGATAACATCACCGAATAGTAAGTGTTTTATTTTATTTTACATTATTTACTTTTAATAAGTCTACAGTTAATTTTTTAATAGTAAATCTAAGATTTAAATAATAACTTTTATATGAATTAAGGGAAAATTTCTCAGAGATATTAAATCCTATGTGAAGCTGTAATATGTAGCACTTTAATACCAGTATAGAGAAAATGAAAATATAATGTTTGAAATAATTAAAATACGAATAAATTTGATAATTGAATTTGATGTAATTCTACATTTTGAATATTTTTATTACCAAACAAATACCTTCTTTGAAAAATTTTGAAAACTCCGAACTCAGATAATAAGTAACTGATATAACTTCATCTAAAAATATATCTGGAGATGACCAGACTTAAATAAATTCTTGTTAGTTTGACGGCATTTTATTGCGTATGGCGAGCACAAAGGAATAAAAAAAATGACGTAACAATAAAAACATGGAATCTGGTTAACATGGTAGGAGATTTTTATGAAATAACTGAACAAAATTCAGAAACACTTTTCTTCGTGCGGTTTTAATTATTTGTTTATTCTCAATAATTAATATTAAAACAATTTAATATTTTAGAATATTTTCAATCAAGTATTTTCAGTATATATGAACTCCATAAACCATAAAAAAAAGAAAAAACAAAGGAAACATTATTTAATAACTTTAAAAGTTTACAGTATTTAATTTACACTACTTTCTACAAAAATTGATGGAAAAATATTTTTTATGAGTTTACAAAATATTAAAAAACTAGTTGTCTTTTTGAGGGTTTGGGAATTGGTGAAGTTGGGTTGGGAAAGAATAATAAACAGAATGAGAAATAGCTCGGGCTGAAGTTAACATGAAATCAGCATTACGGTGTTTAGGACTACATAGTATTTTTTCTAGGATGTTAAAAAATATTCATGCCAAACTTGGCGAGCATACGTTGAACAACAAAGAACCGTTTGCTTATCTGAATATGATAAAGGGCTACATAAAGCATACAATAACTGAAATCAGTTTTTGTAAATAAATACCAACTTTACCTAGCGTCTATCTTTGACCTTTGTTCATTGTTAAGCCGAATGCCAAGATGATAAGAAATTGAAGACATTTAATTCTAAAAGGAACATTGTTATTGCTTGGAATTAATGGTATTCAATGAAATGTGCGAATGATTCCGCGCTGTTCATCTGTCAAGATTTTGACGCTAATTATATTGTTAAACATTTCTCATATACAGTGGTACCTCAGGTTACGAATGCCCCAGCATACGAAATTTTCAGGATACGACATGAAATTCGAACATATTTTTGCTCCACAATACGAACAAAAACTCACCATACGACGTTACATTAATTCGCATTTTTTATTTGTTTTTCTTACTACAGTTATTTTTTTAAATGTATTACTTGGCTTTAATTTGAATATGTTTTTCGCGTTGGAACGAATTATTTGGTTTTACATGTAGTCGTATGGGAAAAGATGATCCACCTTACGACATTTTCATGATACGATCTCAGTTTCGGAACGGATTAATTTCGTATCCTGAGGTACCACTGTAACTAATCTTGTTCCATTAACCACCTTTTTTTAGTATCACAGTTTCTGATGACCATGAATACAGCTTTGATCTTTAATGTTAAGTTATGTGGTGGAAGTCCATTCATCTCAACCATGTACAGAAATTCTATTGGGTATCACGAAAATATGTTCTAGGTATTATCGAGTAGTTAAGGTTTTCTATGCGGAATGGTCCTCTTGAGAACGAATAGAATACAACTTTAATTTTACATTATGGCAGCAGTCACTAAAATCAAAGTTGTTTCTACTATGGGCTTTTTCGTATATAAAATGTAAAGCAAACAACTTAGGCATCATATCAGAGTGGTCCAAGATCGAATAAGGTGGTTAAAAAAAAGGCTAATTGTAATGTAATTATTATGTAGAGTATAAGATAAATAGTTTACTCTGAGGTAAAATTACAAGAGAATCACATGAATCACATGAGGAGAATAATTCGAAAAAATAAAAAGCATGCAGAAGATCAAGTTGTTTATAATAGTCAAAATAATGGTCAACAATATTTAACAACATAAACATTGTTATAAACCGTTAACACTTTCCAGACTAGGGATAAACCGTTGCCTATGCATATGCAGACTGGAGGTTTTGTCTACTTTGTCTATTAAAAATTTACAAAAAACCAATAATATTTATGTCATGATATTTCGAGATTTGTTACTTTGTACTTTTATTACATGAAACAATTATGTACTAATAAATCCAATTATTTGTTGACGAATAAATATACTTTCTTCCCTAACATCTTAAAAATATTCAATGAAATCATTTCAATGTATTTTTAAATGGGATGTTAATGGAGAAAACTCATATGAGAAACTTAAGAATTATCATTGCTATATTTTCACACAGTAAGTTTAAAACATTTTTCTAATAACAAGTGTGATAGCAAAATTAATAATTTATAAAATTTCCGATTTATGAATTTTGAAACTCACAATTAGAAAAAATTTTCTATAGCAACAATAGTTCATTTATATTCTAAAAAACCTATATAATACTTAACAGAATTCTATTAAGTTAATGGTTGTCTCTTTAATCCGAAAATATTTCTCTCGGTAGACTATCTTACAGCAAGAATTAAAAATACAATAAAAGAGTTTATTGACCTGACTTGCTGTAAGATAGTTTACCGAGAGAAATATTTTCGGATTAAAGAGACAACCATTCACTGAACGAATATACAGCTATAATTAATAAACTCAGAATTCTATTAACTAAAACAAAATAATGAAAGCGTTAGCAATATGGAATATAAGTTCTATAACTATCGTGAAAATGTCGTACTCAGGATAACAAAGTGATACGAACTGAAACAATGCGAGTTTTCAAAAAATAAATAAATAAAATTTTATCGAAAGGGCGAACACTCATTTAATATTGGGGAAAAATCTCGGTGTTATAATAACATTATTGTTCTAATAATGTATAGTTACAAAAAAGTTAAAGCTATTCTTCAAATCGGTTTTAACAAATTACACAAAGAGATTTATCGCAGTGATAAATTTGCGAATTATTTCGAAAGATTGACGAACAATTATTCCCTATCAGTTTCCATAAAAATCTAATGAAACTGTTTAAATTTTAATATTTTACAAAATTTCTATAGTTTGTTATTTGTTTATATCATCTTTTTTTTTTAATTTTATCAAATAAGAAGATAAAGTCAAATTTTGGAAAAATATTTCAGTACGATTTTTCGGTTTAAAATTATGACAACTTCTTAATTATTATTAAAACAAATTACTTTGCCAAAACTTAATTTTGCATAATTTAGATGCTTGAAAAATTTCAATGTATAAAATAATTGTCTATTTTTATAAAAATATTTCAAATAATTTTAAACGAACGTTTTGTGTCGTTGTTATTATTATTATTATTATTATTTTCAGTGCAGCATTAACCCAGTTTGAAGCACTTCACGCTCGAGAAGCCTTTCCTTGTTTCGACGAACCCTCACTGAAAGCTACGTTCGATATAACGATAGTCAGATGGTGGAATATGACTGCCCTCTCTAATATGCCTATTATTAGATCGGAAATGAGGTATTTAGTATATCTGTTGTCTGTTTGCTTATTTAAAAATTAATGTAAACATTGCTAGTTATTATTATACTATATAATATTATTATAAAAATTATTAAATATTAGATTAATAGTAAATGAAATAATTCCTATTATGTCATTAGCTTTATTCATTTATTATTATAGCTAATAAACACCCTCAAGTATGACAAACTAACTTCACTAAAATTTCAGTTTCTTAAATTTCAAACTAAATTAACAAAATAGAATTAACACGTTATTTCATTTAATTCGATTTAATCTTTAAAATTTGAAGCATTAAAACCATTTTTGGTTAATAACCTGTGAAAGACGTCATAAAACATTATTTGCTGATATGTAGATCTTTAGAACACATTTCAGAAGTTGGATCAAGCATTAAACAGAATTTTGGAAATATGAAAGTGTCAAAAAGCAATAAAGCATTTAAAGCATTCAACAGAATATTTATAGATCAAAAAACATTCTAAAGCATTTCTAAAGCATTCTAAAGTTCATGAGTTTCGTGCTGGGCTCAGTACGAAACTCATGAACTCGTTAACTAAAACTTTTTTCCTCTAATGTATGGACAATTTAAAGTATATTGAATAAAGTATATTGAAATAGTCTAAGAGCTACTGGCAGCAAAAAGTTTTCTGTGTCTAAAATTACTGCTTACATGGCCAGCAACCGTCTGGCTATCCCGTTTAAGAAAAACCATGTAGCAGTTAAGCCTAAATCATTGTTGCCCAATAAACTGAGTGTCTTCATCCACACAACTTGCAATATTTTCCGAAAAACTAGTTCCAGCAAGTATTAAGTCACTTTCTATAAAGCGTTTATAAAAAACTAAGAGAAACTCTATATTCCTGATTCATTAGCCTTCTAGAGAAACTCAAGCAGGTATATGCAATTGCTCAGTAAATTGGCACTGAAAACACTATCGTTTCCTGCTTCCAGTGCAAAAGAATTTTAAAATAAGGTTTTTTTTTTTTACTTTTAACAGAAGTTTTCTGCCTGGAAGATTTAATATGACAGACGAAAACTTAATTATTCATCATGTTCAGTTAGCTTTTAACGGACCAGCAGAGGCGAAATATTGACTAACATACTTTATTGTTAATAAATGTTTAATTAAAATAGTATTATTTTTCAAGTATTTAGAATATTTGTTTATTCTTGCTAAGAAAAGGCATTTTAAAGCATAATTGGCAAGTTACAAAAGCGTTTTTTAACACACTAAAAGCATTTTTTGAGTCCTCACTTATCATTATCAATTGTTATAGAGTAAACCGGTTAGGGGAGATCCTTCTACTTTGGGACACTTTTCTTTAAACCTTCATAATTTAAGTTCAAATTGATCTTTAGCTATGACTATTGAATATTTCTATTACTAATTGATAACATCACTATATATGGTGCAACACGTGACCCTATGCTATTTTATTTATGAGAAAATGTCAAATAATTACTTACAGATATTTGTCCCGGGATACAATTATGGATAGTACTTCGAGACACGAACCAATCCTAACGTTTTTGTAAATCTTAACTTCCGTCAGATAAAAAAAAAAAGATAGTTTATCCAAGTCTTCTCCTTTATAACAATATTAGCTCTATCAGTTAACAAAAATGTTTCATATGCTGGAAATGCCTGTAAGTATAAAGCTTAAACGTTCTGTAGAAGGCATTTAAATGATTGAAAACCAAAGATAATCTCATTTTTGTATTAAGAAAAACAATAGTCATTACGAATATAGGTCACAAACATTACTACTTACTAATTTTTCTTTTTAGAATTAATACCGCATTTCTGACAGTAATTTTCAAAAAAGGTGCAATTTTCATTCACCCATAATCGACAGGTAACGCATTGAATCCAGTCTTCTGTGCTCGAAGTAGGAAAATAATTTTCACGGCACCCCACACAATTATTTTCCTCTTGAACTTCACACGAAGTTTCATCCTCAGAGCTACTGACTTCAAAACTCTTCTTAAAAACTCGCTTTTTAACAGTTTTAGCATTTTTATTCACTTCATTCTTTTTCATCGCGGCCAACAGAAACATAATAACAGAAGTAAACAAAATAATATTAAATAAATAGTTGAGAAAAGCAATGCCTTGTATCTTGGGAATGTCCCAAGGTACAATTTTCTCTTGTTTATAATAAAGTATGGTTATAATTTTTGTATTACAGAAATCCAATGTTATTTATTAAAATAAGTGGTTGCGAATGTAGTTATCAACTAACTGTACCTTAATTAAATTATTCACCTCAAAATATTTCGATTAAAACCAAGATCCAAATGGATTGCAAAAGAACGATTAAAAATCACACAACATGTCACAGCAGTGAAACGAGCCAAAATGGCCGACTTTACGTCATGCATTTTGAATGTTGTAATGAAATAGCTACTAGATATCGCTACTTACTACTTCTCAATGTATTATTTTTCAAATGACGAGCTTGTCCCGAAGTACAAGGATCTCTCCTATATAGTAAACCAGCAGGTTAGACGGTAAACATGTGTATTTACTGAATGGTAGCAGCGACGTACAGATACATTGTGTTACTTGAAAGTCATGGTTACTGTGTAAAAATAGAAACATTATTATAAAAATAGGTCACTTATTCTCACAGCAATATTTCTATAATAGAATCAAATCTGCAAATCAAATGTTCCTGTTCTTGACTTGCAAAATTTTTTTTATTTTGCAAGTCATGAATTTTTACACAACTTGCTGTAGCCTCGAAAATCAGCAGAACACTTAATTTCTTTTATATAGCACTTTAAAAGCTTGAATAATGAGTCTAACCTGTAATCGGTAAAAGATAAGAGCAGCCCTGGTAGCGATGTTCACCATCTATCCCATAAAAATGATGCAGATGGTAAACGAAAATACGGTATAGTTGGTAAACTACATGAATAGATGTTGATATATTTTTTCTTAAACAAAATAAGTAACAAGCAATATTGTCTATTGTTATGTCATTGTCGTATACATAGAAACAAATTAATGCAACGTTTTGATAATTTATTTATTTGTTGTAAAAACGCTAATTAAATATAATTGCTGTAAATTAGATTTCTCGGAAAAGACTATAATTGTTCTATTTGATAAAATTCAAGGACAAATATGTTTAAACGATATTACTTCTCACAAATTTCATTCAGTGTATTAAGTCAAATAGTACTTCAATTTTTAAAGTAAGCCTATTTTAAATTAAAACACAAGATTAAAGCTTGATATCGCACCAGAAATACAAATACTAAATTAGGTTTAAGATTTTATTTTTTCAACAATATTTAAATCAATGTAGTTTCTACAAAATCTGATCCAAATAATATATATTATTGATTCACAATATTTACTATAAAATAAATAAATTATATTCATTTTTGCATTAACCTCCATCAGTCGAGGTGTGACTCGGCGCTCACTTGAGAGAGGATAAAACAAAATTCTCAAAATCTATCACCAACTACATTTTATGCTTAACTTGCTACTGACATCTAAATGTATCTCACGTCAGTAGAACATTCAATGTTATTTGGCAGCTCGAGAAATTCTAATGTGAGTGTTGCGCTTACCTGTAGACCCATAAAGGGTAAATACAGGTAACCTCCGTATAACACGGGAGTTACATTCCAAAAAATTGCCGTGCTATGCGAATCCGTGTTATACGAAACAAAGAACTAGTGCGAAAAGGGGGGTTAGGTCCCAAAAATTAAAAAACATGCTGTTAAATCCTTCTTTAAATCGGATTTATTATTCATTTTTTCTTATGGGTAAAATACTTATTTATTATTTAAGTAAATGTTTTACCAGAGCATTATTCATTCTATCTGATGATCTCAGCATGAGCATCATCAACTGGTAACAGTTTTTGGGTGCGTTCGTTAATAGCGGTCGCTCTGCGTCTGCACTACAACAGGAGTGCGCTGTTGTTTGTAGGCATTTAAGAACGACAGTGAAAGAAAGATGGCGGCGCCCGCACTATCGATAGTATCGTGATGGGGGAATCTATAATTCTAAAATATAAGCTTTTAGAGACAAAAGAAGGGTCCTAATTGTAAAATTTAACTATTAAATGGATTATTTGTTGAAAGAGCATTCAAAGTAGCCACGAAAAAAATTAGAATGCTCGCGCGGAGGTATAAAAGAACGCACCCGTTATTATATTTCATGTTGTACAAGGGTTTTACCCAATTCCCGAACTGTGTTAGAGTGAGCCCGTGCTATAAAAGCACCATGTTATACGAGGATGTTCCCAATTCTCGAACCGTGTTAGAGTGAATCCGTGCTATAGAAGTGCCGTGTTATACGGGTGATACCTGTATTTAAAAGTTAATCTGCTTTCGAGTAAACCTAAATTAAATTTTATTTATTATTGATTAGGGGAAACGAATGGATGGCTGATGTCTTCAAAAGATCTATGAAAATGTCGACTTATTTGGTAGCATTTGTAATCGGGAACTTTACGAAAAATGGAGATGGAAGGGTAAGTTTATATACAGGTAATGCTCAGTTGACATGTTCTTTTTAAATTAAAAGTAGACATGTTCTTTAAAAGTGGTGTGTTAAGCAAACTCTCATAAACCGGCTTTTAGTTTCTATAACCACATTATAACAAAAAAGAAGCGCCTAGTACAAAAAATTGTCAGTAATAAAGCACGTTTGAAACGAAATGAAAACGAGAAAATACCGAAGCTACCTATTTCATCAGTTTTAATTTTTATTATTGAATGATAATAACTTTTATGTTTTTACTCTTTACGATCTGTGAGCACCAAGAGGGCCATTTCATCAAACCCATTACTGTATGAGTTTGGCTGCCACTATAGTATGGACGGATGACGAGGGATGATGTCCGAAATATTCGAGACAGACCATTTCCGAAAAACTCTTGGGGTTTTTCGACCGGTCCGCATTCGTTTCCAGGCCCCTCAGAACGTTCTGATAATATACAAGCAGATAAAACGCGATCTATCGAGTAAGAGTTTTTACTTTTGCTATTAAATAAACAAGCTTCTTAACATGAAAGTAAATACTTTACGTCGACATTACTTAATAGCAAAAATAAAAATCCTTACTCGATAGATCGCATTTTATCTGTTGCTGTTGAAATGACAGAAAAAGCTCTTGGGAGAAAGAGTGGGAAAGAAATTCGTAAAATTCCTTTATCGAATGATATTGTTTGCAAAAGAATTTATGAAATCAGTAATGACCAATTTCAGCAGCTTATTTGGGTTTAGGAACAGCCTAGCGTCTGCAATCCAATTGGATGAAACAACTGATTTTTTAATACGACACAGTTGTTACTTTACGTAAGATTTGTTTATGAAGAAAGTTTATTCTTTTTGTTGCCCTTTGGTATAGCACACAACAGAGGAAGACGTAACTTATATTCTAAAATAAATGAGTTTTTAAAAATGTAGGTTTGAAATAGAAAAATTGCTTTGGAATCTATACAGATGGTGCTCGAGCAATGATGGTCGAAAATGCTGTATTTTTAACAAAAGTTAAAGCTGTTGGCAAAAACGTATCACTTTCATTCACTGCATGATCCTTTGGGAGGTAATCGTAGCTAAAAAATATTACTCGATTTAGATATATATATCACCGGATAAGTTCAGATCAATTATGACTTTTGAGATGAATTTTTTAAAGTTATAACGATGATCTCAAAGTTGAAGATTCATAAGTTGAAAAAATAGAGAAGTGATGCATAAAAAAGAAAGAATGAGAAAAGTTGCAACGACTAAACGAAAGATTAAAAAAGAAGCCACTCCACAAGCGATGAATTCTGTATGGAAAATTTTGTGTTCAGTTCGTCTGACGTTTGTCTGAGAACGTAATGAAGTGACTGAAGTAAAAGCAAAGATTTTGGTTCTTGCAAAAAAGGCTGGCTACGAGAAATTTGATGCGGATTACATCGATGAATTTTTGAAATCCCATGATAATGAATTCACTTTAGGTAAACTCGAACACAAACGTAGGATCTCTGATTAAGATTATGAAGAAGAAAAGTGAAAGAAAACTATGGACACTGCTAAGATAAAATAAATTAGAAACAATGCAGACAAGAAAGCATCCCCTAATTTTATCACTTTAAAAATGCTGTCACATAAGCTTTGGCACGCTTAAGATGATGTACGAACAGCCGTTCGTACATCATCTTAAGCGGATGGCCGAGCGGTTAAGATATCAGACTATTAATTTGGGTGCCTGGGAACAAATCTGGAGGATCGAAAACATCCAGTAACTTTTCGGAGGTGATCTGTTTCGGATACGTTGGGACCCAATCCATTGTGAGCCTGGCCAAAATTATAATGGCTGGATTAAAGGTTATCTTAGTTACCACAGGGAAAAGGAGTAAAAAAAAATGATGAGCGAACGTCAACTACGAGAAAGCAAACGAAGTTCCATGTTAAATTCCTTTAACTCAGATATATTTTCAGTTCTACGGATATATCAAAGCTTTAAAGCTTTCAATATCAGGAATTCTTAGTGTGAAAGTATTAAGAAAAATAAAATTATCATCAATCGAGCACATCCGAAGATAGATCATTTTACTCTACATACTTTCTAGAGAATGGCTCCTTCGCCCTCCTTTATCAACTACTACCAATCATATTATACAATTTTCTTACATTCTTTTGTTAATACAAGAAAATCCTTCACTATATTATATCTTATGTTCAAATTTTATTTATTTACTTTCAGATTGCTGTTTATTACTAATGTAAACTTCTTTTGATTGTTCGCAATTCCTATATTTTTCTATCTGTAAAAACTGTTTGGATATCATTGTTAAGATGGAATGTTATCCCGTTGAAATCAATGGAATTTGCTTATTCGTTTAACGACTTTTCAAGTTTCGCGACAGTTTTCAGGAACTAGTTAAAGTCGTTATGCAAAGGATAGCTGTATTTATAAAAATAAATTTGTAAATGTTATAGCAAGTAAAAATATATTTACTAATTTTTCATCAAGAATAAATGTAGACATTGACATAAATATCACTTTTTATTTTGAATTATGTTTCAGATAACAATCTGGGCCTCTCCCAGTACAATTGGGAGAACGGATTACGCTTTGGAAATATCAAACGTAATATTAACATTTTTCGAACGTTTATTTCATATGCCTTACGCCGCTCCAAAATTAGGTAAGGATTGTTTAAATTAAAATAGTGGTTAAATTTGATTAAAAGTACCTAAATTAATACTGATTAATAAAATAATAATTAGTAGTGATGTAACAAATATTCGGTTACTATTCGGTATTCGGCCTATTCGGCCTATTTTTCGCTATTCGGCCGAATACCGAATATTTAATCACTATTCGGCCGAATACCGAATATTTAATCACTATTCGGCCGAATACCGAATACCTTAAAACAGGAGTAAGAAATAACAAAAACACAGTCAATTAATCATTTTGGTATTTAGATTTAATATAAATATTATCGGGTTAGTGTTGTTTGTTTATATTTATTTATAACTTATAACATTCACAAAATAAAAAAAAATAATATTAGTCACATGTATTTACAATTTATAATTACAAATATCAGCACACGTACACACCTATTCGTTCGAGAATCGTCACACACATCTGAGGGTCTGACCCTGTCTATTCTTTTTAAGCGCTCGTCTTTGCTCTTTCCTTTCTGTTTCCTCTATCTCTCTAGTCCACGTATGCCTATGCATACATCATAATACGCGCTCACGATACCTTCGATTCGTCACTTTTCCGTCGTTGGTTTTCCATTTTATAATTACGTGACTCATAGCCTGGTGATAACGTAGAAAAGAGACAGATAGGACGTCGGTATATGTCACAGTTATGATTTCACAGATTCGAGACAGCTTGATAGCCCGAACGGCCCCAGGCTTTCGCCCGTGCACGCTAAGTGACTTTCATTACAAGCATTTAGCTTTCCGAAGTCTATGACAACAATTGTTTGGCATTGACGGCCGCGAATTTCGTGCCAATAAGCTGCCTCGACTTGTTCGATTATGTTATCAACTCAATTTCATATTTATTTTCACATTTTCACTTCGCGGTCCTTCTCTGTTCTTTTTCCGTTATTTACATGTGTAGGTCATTTCATTGTTATTCACATTTGATATCGTCATTTATCACATACTGCATGACGCTCTTGTCTGAACTGTCAAGAATTAACGCGATTGGCGAAGCGTAGTGACAGTGGGCCAATGGAGAGCAGGTCCTGGCTATGATGCGGTTTGCGTGCCAATTTTCGTACGTGCGTTAATCAAGCCGAATAGTTTGGCCGAATATTCGGCTATTCGGCTACGCTCCTGGCCGGATATACTATTTGTTACAGCACTAATAATTAGTCAATGCCAAAGTTATTCTAGCACCTACTAATCGAATAATTGAAAGATAGTTATATAATATAAACATGTAAAAATTATAAAAGTTTAATAATTAAAATGAAGTTTTGGAACCTTATATATAAAGTTAAAAAATAGTATATGAGATTAGTTAAATTATTTTTATTCTAATTTATAAGTTTAAACGATTAATATTTATATAAATAGTGTGTTGTATATTGCTTTTTTCTGCCAGTTTACTTCTATTGAACCTGCAAATTAATACCGGTAAAAGGATTCAAGAATTACCTTATTTTAAAATAAATATTATTACCTTATTTTTATTTCGTTGTGTCGCTAATTTGTTTAAAAATTATTATTAAAATTATATATGTATATAATTTTAATAATTTAATATTAATAATTAATATAGTCAATGGCATGCTCCGTTGATACAGATGTCAATTAATAACAAAACAATAATATAATATATGTTTTGTTATTAATTGACATCTGTATAATAATAATATTTAAACAAAATATTAAGTTTTCGCCATATTTTTTATTTTTAATAATTTTTTGTTCTGACATTTATTCTGTCAATACAAAATAAAATAGTGGGAAATAATCGTAAAAATAATTCATAAAGTCTCGTTGTTAGTAATTCTTTTTGCTATTCTGGAAAAAGTTACAATCGTTTATTAATAAATGAGAAAATGGCCTAAATACGATCAAACGCCATGTACTAGCAAAAAAGTGGTATATTACAAATTTTACATCATACTGGCATGACCATTCTATCTATAGATTATGATCTATAGATAACATGGTCATGTCACTATAATGTAAAATCTGTAATATGCCACTTTCTACCAGTACTGTACATCTGGCCCTAACAAAAATAATTAAGCAGTCATAGATCATTCCAGCAGTAGTGAGAACGACTTTATGAACAAACTAGCAGATACCGCCACGCGTTGCTGTGACTCAAAATGTATCTATTATAAATGTATAACACTTCTCCCGTGGGGGAGGGGGGAATTTTTCGAAAAATCCCTTCTTAGTGTACATTCTCTCGACGTACCCTATTAAAACGCAATCAAAAACACAAAAAATCGCATCTAAACTAATATAATAGAAGCCAAGTTCTTCATGGTAAGCCTTAATCCTGTCTCTCTCCCCCGCGGGGGAATATCGAAAAATCCCTTTGTAGTGTATATGATGTTGAAGTACCCTAGTAAAACGCAATCAAAAACGCAAAAAACCGCATCTAAAATAGTATAAATAGAAGCAGAGTTCTTTATGGTAAGCCTTAATCCTGTCCATCTCCCCACAGTGGGAGAAATTTGGACACGTATATTATATAAAAACACGTGCGTATTCGAATGCAGCGTTGTGTGAAAATTTCAAAGGAATCGGTAGGAACAAACGAACATTACATTTTTATTTATATAGATAGATAGATGATGATCTGCTTTAGTTCATTTTCACATAGAAGCATAATGCCTCACAGAAAAGCAAACTTAGGTCGTCGTACTCGTAGCGCCATCTGTTGGACATAAAAGCCTTACCCTAGATGATCTTTTAATTTATATGAATGTTTACCGGAATAATATACAGCCTATGTCCACTCTGAAGTTCCATTCTAAATATTGGTGAAAGAATTTTTTAGATCGGATTAGTAGAGATTATTCGCTACATACAAACTTACAAACATTACCTCTTTATAATATTAGTATAGATATACCGAATTTACGAACTATCTAGTTCAATTGTTGTATAAATAATTGTTTCATATGATTAGTGTGATAAATGCTTAGGTTTATTATATGCTCTTGCTTACATACAAAAATTAATTATTTCAATTTTGTACATAGACTACATTTTCACAACTTTTGTACTTTTTATTAGCTGTTATCCGAATCAAATTATCTTTTATTAAATTGAGTTTAATACAAAATTCAAATCGTTAATAGCAATTGTATTTTAGATATGGTATTAGCTAAAAGTTTCCAAGTCAGTGGAATGGAAAATTGGGGATTAATTATATACGCTGAATACGCAATTCTCTTTGAAGAAGAAAAAGACGATTATGATAAAAAAGACAGTATCATGAGGCTCGTAGCACACGAAATTGCTCATCAGGTAAATAAAAAAATTGAAATAGGTAATTTTTTCCATTTTGTATTGCAATTATTTTATAAATATTTTATAGGATAACTATAAAATTTTTAATTTATATTATTAAAGTAGACAATATTCTTAAAACGATTATAAAAATAAAAGAGTAAATAAATGTTTCTATTAATTTTAAACAGTGGTTTGGAAATCTTGTGACGATGAAATGGTGGGACGATATATGGTTAAACGAAGGATTGACAAATTACATGGAATATGTGGCCTACGAATCCATTTATCCCGAATGGAATAAGGTAAAATAACTGTTATTTGATTTGGATATTAGAAAAATTACTAGACATTACAATGGACAATATTAAATTGCATCTGATAAAATAAAACAATTTCTAATTATAAATACGTTAATCAAAATTAGTTTGTTAATATACAAACCTGGAGAATGAAGGGCAATGACTCAAGAAGTGATGGATTGTAGGCATTAAAATAAACATTGCAACAAATTAAAAACAAAAAATTACGCGCATAAAAATTTTCTACGTGTTAATTTCTTTGTTTCACTTTCTGAAACGTCATATGTTACCTGCTTGAATATATTTTGACGTGTCGTTTTATAAACCTTCTCAAATATTACCAAAATTCGATGGTGTTTCTGTGAATTTTCGAATATAGTCTACTTTTTAACAATGGCCGGATGGACAAGACGATTAAGGTGACTGCCTACAACTATGGAAACCCGAAATCAAATCCGGACGATTTCAAAAATTCCAAAGATGTTTTCGTGAAGTGGTTTGTCGCAGATATCCCTCTCTCAAAAAGAGTAAAAAAAAAAAAAACACCATCTGCAGCTCTGCTTTTTCTGAAAGTATGTGAAATGTCTAAATGATTTACAATAATTACAAATAACCTCCTGAGAACTTATACCAAGTAACCTCGCTTGAAGAGTCCATAGTGCCCACTAGTGTCTGAGACTACTGAACGTTGGTCATTGATCAGGAGTTTGCAAACTCGTGCGTTTATAGAAAGCGCTCCCGGAAGTGAAGCGACTCCCCTTGGCGGGTCGCCCGAGTGAAGCGTTCCGTTTTTCCATTAATCTAATTTAATTTCGATCAATAATTTAATGGAAAATTGTGATTTCATTATAAAATCTTTCCATTCATAATCATGATGAATTTGCTCGTATCTTTGATCTTTTCTTCAATCTGGAAATTTACTAGTGGCGTGGATGCGCCGCTTCCCTTGTATTTTCTAAAAAATAAATACNAAATTACAGTTCCGCGGTTCTCGAGAGAGAGTTTACAGAAATTGCGCGTGGCGATAAATAATTTGAGTTTTAGTGAGTTGCTAGTAGGTCTTGACAACGAAGTTAGTCCAGTTAGGCAATCAAGTATTTTGGGTCGATGTTAATCCAGAGAATAGGCATTTAAATAAGTCTGATTGTCCATTGAAAAGCACAACGCACACGGAAAAAGATACGGAACTTAAGACTGATCTCTTCGAGGACGGGGCGACGACTCCGTCACTCTGTTCTGTTTTAATGTTGAAATCGAGATATTAGGTTGAAAGGTGATGAGAAAGCGTCGTTATTAGGCCTGAGAACTTAACAGATGTTTTTCTCCCAGGTGTAAAACTTGATGTTATTTATCAAGTTTATAGTTACGATGTGACATTATGAACAAATGATGTAAACGCGCGGAAAGTCTGGATTCGGATCCTCACACTATTGTATATTCGAATATTAATGGAAGCGCTGTATCGTCAGCATCCAAAAAGCCAGATTCGTGCATGCGCTTCTAAACCCAACCGATAAGTATTTATGATAGTTCTTATAGTTGACGGGAGTTTTAAAAAATCCACATTTTTATAAAGCCCAACTCTACCTTCAAAATTAAGTTCTTGCCATTTTATAATACAGTCGACCCCCTATAACACGGGTTCCTATAGTTCGGATTCCTATATGACGGCGAAAAAATTGCGACGGTATCCGTACAAACATGGCAAAAAAACTCCTATAATTCGGTAAAACGTTATCGGGCAGCCGAACTACTTTCCGCCGTCCAGAACCACGCTACGGAGAGTTTAGGCGGGTAAATTGAGTTTACTATCGTCTGTACAGTATTATATATAAATTATATATAAATTAGGTACTGTACATATAATTATATATTAATTATATATAAATTAGGTACTGTGTATATAATTATATATTAACTTAATTTATTGTAACTTTATTATAATTATATATATACTTTCCGTCGTCCAGCGCCACGCTACGGAGAGTTTAGGCGAGTAAGTTGTTTACTATCGTCTGTACAGTATGTAAATTAGGTACCGTAAGTCTAATACAGCACTAATTTTATACATTTCTTGTGAAAGAAACATTTCTTATTCAACGGCCATAAAAATTATTTATATTAATGATGTCTCCAAAGTTCAACGAAGTTTTCGCAGAAAAATAACTTATCAGAAATCGCGGCCGCCGTTTGGTGCGCTGCTCCGCGACGAAAACAAGCTTAAGCAATGGCGACGTCGAACGGTGCACACTCGGTAAGTAATCCTACAATTTTTTGTTTATAGCATAGTTTATACGGATTTTTCCCAAAAAATATACGTATTTTGGAAATGTTGAGTCGAATTAGTCTAGGAATCGATTAATTTTATGGAAGAAAACCTTTCAAACAGCCGTAGTCTGTAAACTTCACACGTGTCGGGCTGTGATTGGCAAGGTCTCCTAAAACATCAATTTCATAAAATACGGAACGTATCTACCGTGTTATGGGGGATCGACTGTAATTAAAAATATAAAAGTTTTTAAAATAAAATATCGTAACTGACTGCGATACCGAATGTTACCGGAAAAGTTAAGCAACTGGTTGCTGGATTTTTTATTATAGATATATGTATCTATTAGTCTTTATTTTGTGTTTCATGGCAGAGTTATGTATATCTCGATAAACATATGCTTACCTTCAAACAAAAAATTTTAAAAAATATCAGGATCTAATTTTATAAAGTGATCATCAAGTGAGTCTCGAATCTCACAATGTATTTATTTTTTGAGAGCAGAATTGAATAAATGTAAGGGAAAGTCGTCCAAAACGGGAACGCTATATATTTTGGCTCATCAAAAATAGTCATCAATGATAAAAATGTAGCACACCATTTTTCCTTTAGGGAATGAAGGAATTTTATTATCGAAGTAAATTATTAATAGTATCAATAATCGTTAATATCGTATTGTTACTTTTTCGTCATTTATCAATGAACTTGCATTTTGCTCATTTCAATTATTTTTTGTTACAAACTACGAAATTTTGAAACTAGTTAAAAAATATTTTTTCTATAATCGAAATAATAATCTCATTTTAATATTTTTCAGATAGACACCGCAATTTACAGTAATTTTTATGCTTTTAACATTTTCGACAATTCCGTAGCCAAAAAAGTGGAATCGAGAAAAGATTTAGTGAACATGGATTCAGTATTCGATGATACTACGTATGAAAAGGTGAGAATCTTTATAGTAATGAACAATTGAGCCCTTGAGCAGAAAAACGTACCGAAAGAAATGGCGGAATTAAGTTTTATGCAAAAACACACTCATTAAGTAAGGCACATCTGTTTGCATCATTTGAAAACATAATCTGTATTCAAAGTTTTTAAGATGCGAGTTTAAATATTGTTACATGGAAGAAAGTTGTATCAACTGATAATTGCAGTATTTCCAACTAAATTATTGTAGGAACAAAAACAAAATTAGAATTGCGATAAAAATGTGCAACAGTCTGAAAATTATTTTCGTTATATGGTTTTAAATGTCCCCAGTGATCACTGTGTGTAAGAATCATGATGTTATGCAAAAGTGGATGACTTTTAGATTGTTTTAAAAGAACACACTGAGTTGTACAGTGCGTTGCACGCTGAGAAAGAAACCTATTTAGGCAGTTCTTATTACTGTACAAAGTTTCGAAATTAAAAGCTAATGTTTGTGTTTACAGTAAAATATTGTTTCCTTTACTTTTGAAATAAAATAAATAATACCTAAAGGAGAGATACGACGTTTTACCAGTAATATTCTCATTTTCCAAAAAACCTCGCTTTTATAAAATTTCCGATCGAAGCATATTAAAACATTTCGGGCAGTTTATCTTAATGTATGCTATAAAAGTAAAAATAAGAAAAGATTCATAGAAAAACCAAATTTATTTTTAAATTTTCCCCATGCTTTTCGCTGTAAGTAATACTCGCAGATACAACATTTTTCCATGACGGCAAACATTATTTCCCTCATAACTCAAGAACGACTGTTTCTTTCTAAACCATTTTATGGTAAAATCACTCTGACGTTATACTTATAACTCAGTGTTTGTTTGGTATTGATGTATGTTAAGTAAGTGGGAATCAGTTTTTTACTATTTTTCCAAAACTGCAGAGTTGCAGATAAAACGTTTTCCAGGACAAGGGCTCAATTATAAATTAATTAAATGACTTTAATGATATGATGATTTATAAATAGTAAAGTATAATAGATTTTGAATTATTAAAAATCATATTTAAAAAAACCATTAATAGGAATATTAAAAAATAAGTCATGGTTTTCTTAAAAGAATATTGATTTAAACGATGTTCAACTACTGAAAAAAGAAAGTAGCCTTTTAGTTTTGATATTATTAGATCAATAGTCATATATAAACGTATAGATCAAAATCCTTTATAGATATATAGGATTTTGACAGTTCTAGCGATTTCCAAATATTGCTTTGTATATATATCTTATATATATAGAGTGTTTATTTAAACATCTATCTAGAACCAAAAAGAGCTATTCAACATTGCGTTAATGTATGCATGTGGTGCATGATTGTTATAGCCATAAAATAATCAAAAATCAATTTAAAATGATTTAGCAAATCATAAAAGTAAGTTTTGAACGTAAAAAAGATAAAAAACGTTACACAAAAAGATACAAAAAAGCAAGCTTTACTTTGTTACAGAACATATTCGTATATATGACGTGTATATATTCGTNATATATTTTAAATTCTATTTTCGATATTAAATTGAATTCACAAAAATATAATTAAATATTTAAAATAGTTCTTAAATAAATGTACAGTACAGTATATATTGAAATGCTGAATAACGCGGAATCAAAATTGTCATATGAAAGAGAGCAATGTAAATAGAGTATGCTTGTAAGAACCACATCGTATGCCGAGTACGCCGCTATACACTGCGCTCAAGCTGCAACCCGTCGATAAGACATTTTTCATGCCTTTTAAATTTTCGTTTGCTTTAGCCAGTGCAGTATGGATGAAACGAAATCCTGGTGCTAGGATTACTGATTATGACATTACTCACTGCACTTGTAGATTTCTCTAAGCAGCTAGGATCAAAATAGCCCGAAAAGGATTTAAGTGACAGGAATTTATCCTTTTAATCCTGACATTTTTTTAAATTTACAGTTTTTACCAGCGTTGATGACCGATATTGAACACGAACCCAGTCACAGAGGAGACTGTAACACGAGATTAAGTAACTTGTAACAACTTTCAGATAATTTCGCGTCCCGGGCAGATTCTGTATGTAACGCTTTAACTTTTTATAGTTATGTACTTTCTAATCGTAAGTAGTTATTTTGACATCATCACAATGCCGAGCTGCAATTTTAATCAGTTTTTAATTTAACAATAAAAATTCGTCTACTTTCAGATCGAAAATTCGTATATAGTTAATCGGGGCCTCCTGCCCCTCAGCTTTCCGTATCTCGTCTTGAATTTTATCTAACATCGTTATCGATATCAAGGAATGACAGACAACAGACAGAAACAGTGGGAATATATAGGTCTACAAGTTTTTCAAATTGCAGCCCAACAAGGCTAAAGAATTTAATTTCTCACTCAATAGTGTCGATTGCAAATATGTTTTGATAAGTTTAAATTGCTAAAACTTCTTTCAGCTGTTAATACCGTTAAAGAGATTGTCGGTAGATTTCTCAATGTCACCTACGTATGCGGACCTATATTTTGAAAATTGCTTGTTTTTAAAAACTGTAGAGTTTCTAACGGAAAATTGATGTTTTCCGAATATAAACTGTTTGTATATTTAATTTTTTTGAAGAGTTCATTCCTGTCAATATCACTACTATTTTCATCATTAAGAATTGAATGCAAATTCATGTACTGTACGAGTAAGATTTTCGTAATTAACAACAAGATAATATTTCAGCCAAATACATTTTCTAATTCATTGGATTGCGTACTTTAGAAAAAAAATAAACAAATGTTGGAAAAAAGCAAAAAAAAAAAAAACCGTAACGACGATGTTTTCAGCCTTTTGTTTTACTAACTAGTCGACGCCTAGTCGCCACGATTCATTTATAGAACTCGATATATATTGCTCACGGAAAAGTTTTTCATAAATAATTACTCGTAAATAATTTCTCGCATTGGCAAGAGTTGTGTTCCCGTGAATTAGTGGAAGAGGTTTACTAAAACGTATTAAAATTTCAGTGAAATGGATATAACCATTAAATTTTAAGCCATTATATAATTATTAAATATATAAACTTTTTATTACATTAGTAATAAAAAGTGCATATAACGCATTAACTTATAACAGCACATCATTATAAAAACATGTTAACTTTAGGTGACCAGGTTTTATTTCAATCACTTTATTCTTTATGTTTAAAGTTAGTAATAAAAATAAAATTATTTAACTTCATGCAATGACTGTGATACTGTAGTATTTAATTGTTAGACAAAAACTTTTTCACTATTTTCAAATACTGTATATGTTAGATATCAAATATAAACATCCAAACCCGATAGTTATATATTAAAGCCAAATGTTTGCCGAATTATATCGAGCTATGTAATTTCACGCCTAACGCCTGCCTCTAGTGCCAAATTACTTAGCATTTAATAGAGTCACGTGATATAACGTCATCGCTCCGCCCAACAAAACAATCGTCCGCCATANAGATTAAGTTTATAATATAAAATATGTATTTGCTAATTTTTTGGTTTTTATCATATTTTAAATATACAAAATTATGAAAAATAAGGTGTTTACCTCACAACTAATTTTTGAATAGTTTGGAATTAATTTTTTATAAAAATGTTTCGAGCACGTAGGCAAAACCTCCATAAAATGCTTCTAATACATAAGAATGGAGCACTGAAAACACGAACTAAAAACCTTTTTTTTTGCATATTGCTTATGGCATCTCTCGAGAAACGTCCATAAATCATAATATTTTCATCAGATATCTGAGAAACACCCGATATTTATTATTCCATAGAATACAAACGGTGTTACATATAGATACGCCGCTCCGTCACAATAAGACCCAGGTTTATGTGTAAAGGCGTATGTAACTCATTTTGGCCAAATGTTGAGAGAAGCCTTTAGGTGTTTTTACTGACGATATATTGGCATCAATATCGTATAATATCTCAGATGACGTGATGATTAAGGAACGAAATTTAGCAAGGTAACTTATGTATAAGGGGCATTGATGCAATTAAATTTTAGCGGTTGAAGGTCAAGCCAAGTTGGGGATAGAGGGGGTCGTACGTCGTATCTCGTATGAGATCCAAATTAATGAAAATTTTACTCGTTATTGGCGATTAAAGTATTTTATAAAACTCGTCTCTACTCTCAAAATTAAACTTTTTATATTATTATAAAATGGCAAAAGTTAATTTTGAGACGAAATGTCATAACAGATAGCGCCACAGATATTTTTAATTTTTACCAGTATAATATACTGGCACAAAATTAGATATCTTAGTATTTTTTCTAGAAAAGTTGTTCAACTCGTTGCTGGATTTTTTCTGTAATAATCGTCTATCGAGCGATTGTATTTCAATTATGATTTATGAGCGATTATTGGAGTTTAAAACATATAGACGTAAGAAGAAGAAAAATATTATTTTAAAAGAGACAAAAAATGAGTTAAATCGAAATATTGTGACAAATACATAAAAATAATTTGAATTAAGTACTTGAATTACCTTACTAACTTAACTCCATATATTTCGAAAATTCCCAATATCACTAATATCAAAGTCAGTAATATAAGCCAGTATTCATTTATTCAACTTTAATATTGGAAAATATCGTATCAATAGTCGAATTATAATATCTAATACCGCTAATATACCGGTATTTAGATACCGGATCTACAATAAAAATGCGATGGGCGATTATTACAAGAAAAATATTTACAAGGATATTACTTCAGGAAACAGGGATCATCTTTGAAAATAAGTATCCAAAAAAGTTGAGAAATCGACGGCTGAGAATTATAACCTCTTATTTCCACTTTTTCAAATCTTTTATGAGGCGAGTAAGTTTGATATATTGTAAAATTGTTATTTATTATAACTCAACATTGCAAATTTGTATATATTATTCTCCGTGCATGCTATTTTAATATTTTCAGGCTGTTGTGTATAATTTTTATATTACCGCAGAGAAATATGCATATTGATTTGTAGCTAAAATAAAATGCCTCTACTTGTTTTTAAACTAACGTTTGTATTTGGACATACGACAAACGCGTGCCAGGAATAGTGAAGAAATTCAACAATTGTAAGTTTTTACACACGAAATAAAAATTACAAGTTTTTATTCCGCTCTACACAGTGGAATGTTTTATCTTATTTTCTAGTTTATAAATCTCCCAAACCGCTAGTTTGGCATTTTTATTCTATTGAATACAATGTTCTTATCTCTGACACCGATTAAATAAGCCTAGTTCAGTTTCAGTAAAATTTCAGAAGTTTTATAAAAATTTACATCATCAGCAGCTATAAACTTCGACGTGGGACTTAACGTTTTTTATCTTATCCATTCATTAAAAATAGGTTCGCTACAATGGCAATTGATTTTACCTCTGAAAACTCACCCACTAAATCTGACTGTCGGACCGAATTTTCGAGTGCTGTTGCATTAGAGACTTATTCTGGGACTTCATGATCTGATTCTTGTGACGCTCTTTGTCTATCGCTTACTCTTTTCTGTTCTGTTTTCTCTAGCGAGTTTTGTTTTGTGAGTTTACTTAAAACATTTTCGTTTTTACAAGAATAATGCTATTGTCAGAAGCTGATTGTATATATATCTGCATCAATAGCTACGTCTGTTTCATCTGCTTCACCTATAAAAATAACTAAGAACGATTCACGAAAATTATTACTGTTATACGGCAATAATGAATGAACTTTTTAAATATGTTTCTTAGATTCCTTCCGGACAAGTAATTCGAATATCACTGACTATCTTAAGAGTTTCTAAAATGTTATCTTTCTGTAAAAAAAGTGTATAGTTTTTGTTCCATGTTTACATTTCCAGAAAAGGAACGATTGCTTACCTTTATACAGATAGCATTGTCTGATAATACAGTATTGATAAATAAATGCGGTGCTTTCACTATGCACTGACAAGTGAGACTAACAAAGATGTACTGTACTATTAAACTATGTGTCTTCTCTATTATAATATTGTATCTTTCCGGTAAACAAAATCTTCCCCCTCAAAATTATGTAAAAGATTATTCACAAAACCTATTTATTTCATTACATTAAGATGGCGAATACAAAATGAACCACATAGATACAACATCACTGAAGAAAATCACAGAAATCCACAATTACAACGGCAACATTAGGACAGGTGCATGGTAACCACATGTGTTTCCATTAAAAGAGAGGTCAGACACATGATGAAATTTGCCAGTTCAATCGGCTAGTGGCCATACAACAAATTAACACGAAAGAAATTGGGGTTTTAGAGATATGATAATATTGAACAACCATTTACACCTTTTGTATTAACTTCATTGTTATTTTGACTATGCGGGTACTTGGTACGGTTGCTAGCGAAATTTCAGTTAAATAATTCATTTTCCGCTAAAGTGTAGATACGACAATATAATTCTCAGCAATCAAAATACAGATATATGAGTTTATGCATACAATTTGGAGTTTATTAGGCATTGGGAGACGCCACATCAAAGCAAATCTGGACTCCATAAAGTTTTATTGCTGGATTCGACTCTTATTCCAATCTGTCATAATTAACAAAATATGCATCATGATAAAATAATCACCAACAAAAGTTGTTTGACTACAAGAGGCCACAAAATGAATAATTAGTTTCATCGTAGATGGCGCTAGAATCTGTTAAAATGGGATCAACTTTATTTTCTTAAATGAAGAAATCTGTTTTTATTGCATATTCTAATTCTACATAAAAAATGAACAAAGTTTTATTAAAAGCATTTTTTCGAAAGATGCACTAATCAAAAATTATGAACGTTTGAAATTTTATGCAACTATCCCATGATGCATAAATTTTCAGTGAATGACTTCACGGAAATTTTTCAATATCTGGATTACAGAAAAAAAAATGGAAGAAAAATGCTTAAAATTTATTAGGAGACTATTATTATCTGGTAAAATAAATATTAATGTCTTCTCTTTATCATATTCTTGATGGCTTTAACATTCTGTCTCACTAGTTTCGACATATTGAAACGAGAATCTGTAATATGAACGAAGTCAGTTCAGATGAAAAAGATTTTCGACTTTTTTGATCTGAACTGAAAAATCTACGCTGTAAATTTAGTTATACTTTATGTATGTTTATTTGTTGTTTAGGTGACATTTCTTATTTATTTTATTTTCTCACTCCATCGAACAGGACAGATGTAGTTTTTGTGTGAAAAATTTTATCAACTATCCAAATTAAATAATGACATAAATTATAACATTAGTCGCAATGACAAGATGAATGAAATCATTAAGTCTATATGTGAAAAATCATTGATGTTTACAGTAGGTAGCTTTGAAAAATATACACGAAATTATGACAAACATTTAAATGTGTAGAAATTGAAATAAATTCTCCGAAGTTTGAAAAATAATACTAAATAACTGTGTTGCATTATCAATATTTATTTTCTTCTCGATCTAAACATAAATTGAATTCTTTGAATCTCTCGAATCTTTGAAGCTCGAGAGATTGCAAATAAAGTTGCTTTATTGTTGTTGGTTGTGAAGGTCCCCGAAACAGTCAAGCTTCAGGGCACCAAAAATATAAATGCGCCATTGTGCTTGAGTGCGTAGGTGTTTCATTGTAATATAGTGTTTCCAACTACAACAAGGTTACGGAAACGGTCTCTCAAAGAAATCAGAACAGTTATTCAATATTTATTGACCAAGTAAATTCCATGTGCTAAAGCTTAAAAGATGTCTTTAGAAAATTCTGGACTTCTTAGCCGAAACGTTATTCTCCTCCATGACGGCGCCAGACCTCATATAGTATATTGTATACATCAGACTTGGATTTGTTAGAAATCTTACGATGGGATGTTTTCATTACTTCCATAAAACCAGATGTTTCCTTCTCATTTTCCTGTTTTCATGTTTGCAAGAATATATATGCGGACGCGAGTTTCGCTACTAATAAAAAATAGCTGTTGTCACTGGGTGTCTGCAATAATAGGGTCAGGAATATTTTGAGAACCGAATGAACAAGCACCTTACAGACTGTGATAAATGCATGGGCAACCTAAGTTATTTTGTTAAGAAATATCATAATGCTTGCATATAAATCCTATATTTTGCAATAAAAAATATTTGTCTGTGTTACTAGTTTTGTAAAATTAGTTTTTGTAATTAATCCATGTATTATCGTTTCAGAAGTTTATGGCCAATTCCTATATATTACACAGCGGGAGATAATACAGATTGGAATCGTCACATAAAGATGTGGATGAAATCAAAAAATAGTAAGATTACTTTATAAAACAATAAAATTGTATTTCATAAATTTTTGAATATNTATTAGTTAATTGTAAAAGACCATGATTAGACTTCACTCCAGAAATAAGTTAAAGTACTAAAATTAATTTCATATTATTGTATTTTCCCATTAAAAATATTTGAAAAACAACAATACAGACACTTCCTTTGTATCGCTAAGGTCAGACAAAATTGTTTTTTAATAAGTCCTCAGAAAAATAAATAACCTAAGCATCTTTCTATCTTTTAGAAAGATGCTTAGCAGCACGCATCCCGTTGGAAAAACCCTATTACAAATAGAGTCTTTCCAACGGGATCCCGGCTGTTTTTTAACCGAGAAATATCCCGGGAAATTCTTCTCATCTCGGAAATCCCGCAAATTTCTTTAAAAATTCACTTTTTCTTATTTTGTGTTAAAGTTGAGGAAATTTTGCAAATAGAAAGTATAATTAATTCAAAGAATATTTTTGTTGTAAGCAGTTTCCAACAAACTTTAATAAAATTTTTCTACTTGCAAAAATTTCTACGTAATTCAAAAGTAATTTTTTATACATATTTTACACAGCGTTATTAATATTATTAGAGTAATACCCTGAACTTACGCGATAGGTGGGACCAGTGGCATACCGTGGGTGTCAGCCGCCCGGGGCGGAGAAAAATTTCGCTCTCCTTATTTAGGTATTTCAATTTAAAAGACCAAAATTCAGTTTTGTCACAGAACAAGCAATGAAAAATTCGGTGGTAGTGCAGCGACCTGTTTAAAATAGTTCTACTGGATATTAGTCGTGTATATGAACGCGAATTAATCGTACAAGTAAAAAAAAAGGTCAACAGGCTTCGCAGGAGCTATTCGGATGAAAAAGTTACTAGTTCACCCGGCGAGCCGATTCCCGGACTGTCCGGACGTTAGCACTATCGTAGGCGCGATGCAAGTATAGATTAGGATGTTTCAAATGTTTACAAGATATTATTATTTATTGTGAAATTTTGCCGCCCCCTAAAAAGTGCCGCCTCTGCCGCTCCCACTACGGTACGCCACTGGGTGGGACCGAGCGATAACCGCGTAAGTCGAATTCGCGTAAGTCGGGGTATAATTTCGCAATTTGTGTAAAATCCAAGTCGGATGTATGTAAGCTAATAAATGTTCTCGTTAATCTTATCTCGTCTTTTGATTCGTTTACGGTTACAAGAAATCACACGTAGTGTCTCTCAAGTCTCCGTAGATATAACAAACATAAAAATAAATAATACAAAATAAATTGTAGCTATGTGTCGATTCCGCGCGACACGTCCGAACATGTGAGCTGAACAATAGTGTGGGGGAGTGAGTAATCGAGAGTTGCGTGGCACTCAAATAAAAGATGAATCGACGAGATTTGAAAATCGCGTAACTCCGGGTTCGCGTAAGTCGAGGTATTACTGTATTTTTAAGATTGCAGAACGTATTAAGTTACTTTAAAATGAAAAATTATTATATCATTCGNATATAGATAATATTAGCTTATATTATGTATAATATTATATTGCATTTGTAGGCATTTTTGTTCATGAAATACAGCTAAAAAGGTAAAAAAAAGAAAAAAAAGCTTTGTTCTTTGTGTCGGGAACTAATTCATTTTATATTTTTTCTTACGGAAAAATTTGTTTCGGTTTAGAACAAATTTTCGAACAACTTTCAGGAAGAAATTAAGTTCGAAGTCCGAGGTTTAACTATATCCGTTTCTCGCTACAGAATTTCGAAAAAAACGAAACGAAAATAATTAATAATTTGATTTTTGCTTGCTTTCCTCGCATGTCATCTAAACAAGCTTGATTGTATAATTGAATAATTCAATGAACGGGACTAAAGATGTTCAGTCTCGAGTGAAAGATATTTTTAAGGTGTTCCAAATTACTTTTGGTGATTGAATTTAGTCCGAGACTATAATTATTGGATTTCTATCAACGAATCCCAGAAAATTGGCATATGTTTATCTTTATGCAATAAATTATATAATTTAATATTTGCATGAAATAATCATAAAATTCACGTTTCGCATGTGTGACAAAAAGTTGGATTAAATTTCAGCTCTTTTAAAATATTTTATTATTTTATATATTTATTAAATATAAAATAGTAGAAATATCAAAGAAAATAGAAGACTTGTGATATAATTTAAACAATTGTCTTTTATGTACTGTACATTTGTAAAAATCGTTATCATATAAGCTAAAGAAAGCTAGGCAAAAGGTATTAAATATGTTAATTTTATATTGTTTTACGAAAACAAAAATACAGATATTCCTCGTATTACGCGATTAATTAATTCGAAAATGCCGTAGCTTAAAGTAAAATTGCATAACGTAATGACTTACACATCGGTTAAATAGCTATTTTTAATTCTTAGAACGAATTTTTATCTAAAGTTTATGAGGAAATCTATTTTTTCTGATTACTCCAAATTCTGAGATCGCACATAACGAGGGATGACTATTTTACTCTATACTAAAATATAGACTAAAATTTTGCCAAAATACAATTTTACTTTTTATTAATTTCATTTTGATTAGTCTAGATTTAGGGACAAATAATTAAATGATCTTCAAAATATTTTAAACTTTAAGATAAGAAAATAGATTCAAACAGGAATATAATTAAATAAGAAACAACGTAAATTAGTATTTATTTCTTACATAATGATTTTCTCTTTCAGCTACAATAAGGAACATCGTGGAAAATGACCAATGGCTTTACGTGGACGGAACTAGTCTGAGTTACTCTTTAATTAATTACGATCACCAAAACTGGAAATTGTTGGCTGAACAATTGCTAAAAAACCATCAGGTATAAAATAAATTTTATTTTTAAATATTTGTAACAACGAGAATAAACGGCTTAACTGATTTTTATTTTTATTTTCAGGTGTTCCCATACACTCAACGCTTCAAACTTTTATCGGATGCATCTGCTTTACATATGTAAGAAACATTCGAATATATTTTAAATTCTATTTTCGATATTAAATTGAATTCACAAAAATATAATTAAATATTTAAAATAGTTCTTAAATAAATGTACAGTACAGTATATANTATTCATCGTGATATTTTATCAAGAGCCGTTCGTAATGACTTAATTTTGCTTTTAGGAAAGGTACGTATCTTCATCATGTGAGACTTTCCATTACTCATAACATAACTGCGTTAATATAAAGAAGAATGTAATTTTATATTTAGTCACATTTTAAGTTTAATGGTATTTATAAATACCATTAAATTTTTTTTTTTTGTCAGTATGGTTTTGTGTTGCGCAGGTCTCTAACAACCTATTATTAAGATTAAATTAATTAGCCTAATACATGTGGCTATAATAAATTGAAGGACTTATCACATCTGGACATGACTGGAGCAAAGTAGACTAAATTTTTACAAAAGTTAGCCTTTAATTAACCACAATCAAATTTTTAGTAGAATGCATTTTGGGCACAAGAATTCATCAGCCTACATTTGTTAGAGACATACGCATCATCACGAAACCATAGTGACAAAAGAAAAAAATGTAATGGTATTTATAAATACAACTTAAAATGTGACTAAATATAAAATTACATTCTTCTTTATATTAACGCAGTTATGTTATGAGTAATGGAAAGTCTCACATGATGAAGATACGTACCNGATGCTTAGCAGCACGCATCCCGTTGGAAAAACCCTATTACAAATAGAGTCTTTCCAACGGGATCCCGGCTGTTTTTTAACCGAGAAATATCCCGGGAAATTCTTCTCATCTCGGAAATCCCGCAAATTTCTTTAAAAATTCACTTTTTCTTATTTTGTGTTAAAGTTGAGGAAATTTTGCAAATAGAAAGTATAATTAATTCAAAGAATATTTTTGTTGTAAGCAGTTTCCAACAAACTTTAATAAAATTTTTCTACTTGCAAAAATTTCTACGTAATTCAAAAGTAATTTTTTATACATATTTTACACAGCGTTATTAATATTATTAGAGTAATACCCTGAACTTACGCGATAGGTGGGACCAGTGGCATACCGTGGGTGTCAGCCGCCCGGGGCGGAGAAAAATTTCGCTCTCCTTATTTAGGTATTTCAATTTAAAAGACCAAAATTCAGTTTTGTCACAGAACAAGCAATGAAAAATTCGGTGGTAGTGCAGCGACCTGTTTAAAATAGTTCTACTGGATATTAGTCGTGTATATGAACGCGAATTAATCGTACAAGTAAAAAAAAAGGTCAACAGGCTTCGCAGGAGCTATTCGGATGAAAAAGTTACTAGTTCACCCGGCGAGCCGATTCCCGGACTGTCCGGACGTTAGCACTATCGTAGGCGCGATGCAAGTATAGATTAGGATGTTTCAAATGTTTACAAGATATTATTATTTATTGTGAAATTTTGCCGCCCCATAAAAAGTGCCGCCTCTGCCGCCCCCACTACGGTACGCCACTGGGTGGGACCGAGCGATAACCGCGTAAGTCGAATTCGCGTAAGTCGGGGTATAATTTCGCAATTTGTGTAAAATCCAAGTCGGATGTATGTAAGCTAATAAATGTTCTCGTTAATCTTATCTCGTCTTTTGATTCGTTTACGGTTACAAGAAATCACACGTAGTGTCTCTCAAGTCTCCGTAGATATAACAAACATAAAAATAAATAATACAAAATAAATTGTAGCTATGTGTCGATTCCGCGCGACACGTCCGAACATGTGAGCTGAACAATAGTGTGGGGGAGTGAGTAATCGAGAGTTGCGTGGCACTCAAATAAAAGATGAATCGACGAGATTTGAAAATCGCGTAACTCCGGGTTCGCGTAAGTCGAGGTATTACTGTATTTTTAAGATTGCAGAACGTATTAAGTTACTTTAAAATGAAAAATTATTATATCATTCGATTTTAATATTTATTTTATCTTAAAAATAATTAATTATATCCCGAGATTTCTCAGAATTCCGGGAAACCGTTCACTTTTTTCCCGGAATCCCGGGACAAGCAAAATACCGTGAAATGAGAAACCCTAATTTGTAAGGTATCGAATACAAACCCAAGTTTTGTAAAATGAAATATATTAAAATTTATAAAAATTTTTAATCGAAAAAATAAATTTACAATTAGTTATTTTTCAGCAGCATTAACAAATAACATATTTATTATGTTTATTCTTCTGTCTTGACAGAAACAAATAAATCTGTATAAGTAAAGACTAATTTTTCCTCTCTCAGAATAAAATTTAAAAAATAGAAGGAAAATAGTTAATTTTTTAAGTTATGAAATTAGTAATTTAGTTAATTTACATTAACTTTTGATAGCAAATAAGTTAATTTACTCATTAGTTACACTTTGTAAATTATAATTTATGATTTCGGTATTTTATCGATTTATTTCCTTTTTTAATAACTTTTAATAATAAAACATTATATCAACATTGAATAATCTGTACTTTAATACGTGCATACATTTAAAGGTCAATGAACCGGATAATAAATGTCTACATAATCGATTTATAATAAATGTTTACAGTATATATTAAATAATTCTACGATGATGAATCTATATATTTTATTTTTTTATTTTTTGAAATAAACTTGAAACATTTTATGCAAATAAACACGAATACAAACTGAATGCAAACAAGTTTTTTCGACCAGAGTAGAATGAAAGCAATATCTTTTAGATTTTTAAATCTAAGACATAAATTAATATAATAAAATTTAAATTTAAATAATTGAATTCTCAACAAGATAATTAAATATTTTATATAAGTCGTTACGTTTACCTTATATTTTTATTTTTAATATATGAATAATAAAAAATTTCTTTTTTCAAACAGACTATCTTGGGGTATAGTTTCTACCGCTTCTTGCGTCGGAATAAAAAAAGGAAACGAAGAAGATTGGAATTATTTCTATGACAAATATTCCAATTCTGAATATTTTTCTTATATTACAGTACGTGCATTATTATGTTCTCCCGAAGAACGTCTGAGAAACAAGTAAGTCATTCTTAAAATGTTTTAAAAATATAAAGCACGTGGTAAATGTGGATATAAAAAACTTGAATTATTTCAAAAATCTTGATTACTGTATATTTCTCCAAATCGCGCTTCATCTGAGTCATTTTGATTTGACTGTTTCGAGGCAATGGATACGCAAAAGCATACAAGTTTTGGACGCGTCAGACAAGCCATCGGGAGAGATTATGTTATCATGAGATAGCACGAACAGCATTTTTGACCACCATTTAGATACAGGAGGTTGCCCTATCTTTTCCTGTACCAATGGCGGGCAGAAGTACTAGCAGCGCCAGTCCTGTGACATCCCATCTGGTCCCACAAATGCTCAATTAATGACAAAACTGGAAACCAGACAGGCAAAGAAGTGCAGCTGTGAGATAAAGATTCCTGGAAAACTGAACTGTGGTCGGCTGAGCATTATCTTACTAGAAAGTGGCTGTTTGCAGCCCTGCCATGGAAGGTAACACATGGCAATGCAAGATTTCCTGCTGTGCTGTTAATATCGATCATATCATTACTAGAGGTGACTAACTGTTATACTAGATGGTTCTCAGAACAAGCACGCTGAGACAGCCTGCAGTGGGAATAGTGTACCACTCAAAAATAAAGATAAAATTGAAGCGTTCACCAATGGCATCCACACATTGACAAAGTAGTCGTCCATTCTTAAACAGAACCGAAATTCATCGCCAGTCTGAAACAGTGTATGGTTCTATATCACGATACATTGCAAACGAAGCCAACAATAAAACCTGTGCTAATGGCAGAACTCATACACTACTGCTAAATTATTACTTCCAGTAAGATATAGGCTAATAGATAAAACCAGGGCCGGATTAACCCACTTTGGGGCCCTAGACATTTTCTTCTTACCGGGCCTCCTCACACATAAGAACATAACACATTTTCTTTAGATTTTAGAATTCACAATAACCATATAAAATTCAATATATTTTTGTTTATTTGTTTATTATATACAGTTGTCTAACAGAAAAGTAAACTATCTTATTTACAAATTTTTTCAAAATAAACAGTTTGACCGGACTCTTCTAAAAACCGGGTCCTGGACATTTGTCTCATTTGTCTATGCGATGATTCGGCGCTGGATAAAACGAACAAACGTTTTCGGTCTTATCCAAGATCTGCCTCTGGTTCTTGAGCCAATTGAGATCCAATTATGAAATGCTAAGGTTCGAACGTTTTAAAAATCAAACTATTTAACAAGTTTGGAATTAAGAACACGGATTTGAAGTAACACAATAAATTAATATATGCAAAAAATAGACCGACGTCCCCGACGTTTTCTTATTAATGTGGGACCATCTCAACAGGGCATTGATTAATGGCTATGGTTGTTATAGAGGCAAACCCTCAAACTAGATCAAGTGTCAACAACTAGTGCACACATTTTAGACATCACTATTTAGCTTAGCAAGGATGTGATAGAGACGAGGATGTACTACAAACCTTGCTTCTTGCCACTATACATACCGGCAGATTCGGCTGACCCTTACCCATATAAGATTGTAGCCTTCCGGGCATTAACCGGAAAGGCATTCGCGCACAACTTTAATTGGAAAGACACGCTTAGGGAACTTAGACGCCTAGAAGACATTGCCGTAGGACATGGGTATAAAAAAAGGACCTAATCATAACTTAGCTCGGGACTTCTATAGGAGACACACGAGGAGCACCCCTATAGACCAGGGGGATACCATCAGGATTCGGATGGGACCCTAATCCAAGAAGCATAATTGTGGAGTTCGACAAAAGCTTGCATGCGTTATATAGGGAAATTGCGCGCAGAAAAGGCACCAAACTGACTTACAAGAGGTCGCAAACGATATACTCGTTACTGAGGAACGCGAAGGACAAACCGGATAATTTCAGGTCACCGGGAGTATACAGTGTCCCGATCAGGGACCATAGGTTCCAGAAAGATTTGGTGTACATAGGGTCGACCAAACGATCGGTACACAAAAGAATCATGGGACACAAGTACGATATCGATAAGAAGAGGAACACCACCGCCTTGTCCAACTACGCAACTGACCCTGAGGTGCAGGTCGGCTACGAAACACCAGGCTTATAAAAAGATCGTTCCAGACTGACCACGTTAGGGCCCTAGAGACCCTGGAGATATACAAAGCTAGCCGAACGGGGAAGTGTATTAATTTCAAGGACAGTAAATCGATGTCATATGCTCGGCGATATGCATGTGAGGAGCAATACCAACCATAGCCATTAATCAATGCTTATTATTCCCCTGTTGAGATGGTCCCTCATTAATAAGAAAACATCGGGGACGTCGGTCTATGTTTTGTATATATTAATTTATTATGTTATTTCAAATCCATGTTCTTAACTCCAAACTTGTTAAATAGTTTGAATTTCAATTTCAGGACATATAATTAAAATACTGAATTAAAAAAATTATTTTTGAAAATTAATTATAAAGNGTATTTATAAATACAACTTAAAATGTGACTAAATATAAAATTACATTCTTCTTTATATTAACGCAGTTATGTTATGAGTAATGGAAAGTCTCACATGATGAAGATACGTACCTTTCCTAAAAGCAAAATTAAGTCATTACGAACGGCTCTTGATAAAATATCACGATGAATAAATCCGCTTGTCAAATAATTATGAGCATCAAGTGATTTGTATGCCTTCATCTGATCTAGATTGACAGAGTTAGTTGTTAAAACCTAATAATTAACGTTCTATAGTTGGACACATGGTTAAATCGTTGGATGAAAAATCCGTTTGTTTCATTTCGTGTGGATCCCATCGAATAAAATAAGTTTTCTCTTTACATTTTATCAATTCATTTCCTTCCAAATCGGCTGCAAAGCCAGGTAAAATTCCTTTCTTTCACGTTGACATAGAGATCAAGCAAGATAACGTGAAATCAGCAACCAATATGGCGCGTGCTTCTTTGCGCAGTCTCTATATATGTGAGCGGAGTCATGTGACGTCACGTGCACCCCCTGTATTAATAACAATAGTAGTAATATAGCCCAATATAATTTGGCAACCGTTTGATTTTAATATGTTAAATATCGTTAGAACAAGAGGCATAATGAAGGCATTCGCAATTTACAAGCGAATAAATAATAATTACATCTTAGGTTGAAATAAATCGCACTACAATACGTTTTACAATATTTTTGTTTGATTGCTTCTCGGCTTTTGGCTATGATCGATTTTAAGTCTGTTCTTAATCAGCTTAATGTTTGATTCACTTCCATCGGAATATTTTTCGTTGGTCTTAATACGCATAAAAAAATCTTGAAAGAAACATGATTTAAATCATTTCTATAATTTAAACGTCATGAAAATAACTTATTATCTTAAATAATTTATTTTAACTTTGCAGGATGAATCACACAACTTGCGACACTATCTTCGATCTATTTCTGTATTTGCCAAAGGAAGAAATATCATTTTTAATACCACATGTGATTGAAACAATAGAATATTTTAATATGAACCTTCCGGAAAACATGATGGAAGATTGGAATGTGAGTATTAACAATTATGTAGTGTAGTCATAAATCTACGATTGTTTTCTTATGTAGATTTCTTTAAAAAGCTGTGAAAACATTTCAATAAATTAATTTCATTTCTTTCATGATACACAATAAAGTATTCTGTATACCGTACAGTAAACTGCGAAAGGAACTTTTCTGTTGTATTTTTCGACATCCAGTAAATAATATCGACAAATTTATATTAACCTATTACTTTCTCGCATCAAATATTAAACAAGTTCAGTACATATTATTATTTACTTCAATTGTTTAATAATTGAAACAGCATTTTATTTTCTTATTTTTTCATTTTTAAAATTTCCGTCCTGTGCACTAATGCTGATTGCAGTGACAACGTCTAGACGCCGACGACGATTTAGAAATTTTTCTGAATCGCGGTTTAGAAAAATTTTATTGCAGAGTCGACGTTTCTTGTTTGCCACAATTTAAAGAGAGATTAGAAACTGGTTATTTGACTTACTTTCTAGATTCACTCGACAGCAGGTTCCACTGAAATTAAATTGAGTGGAAGTCGCAATATCGATTTTTTTTGTCGGAAAGTTTAGATAAAAATGGATATCGTTCATTTGATAAATGCTATAAACGGGATTAATCTACAAAATTATTCGGCAAAACTATAGAAGCTTATCTTTATGCGTTTTCTTTTAATTTCTTTTGAAGAGACAATTTGATAAATATTTTCAGAACAGAGTTCTGAAACTTTTGCTGTCGTCGACTCGTATAAAAAGCACTATAAACAAAACGAGCAAATATTTATTCTGGCATAGTCACAATGCCGGACTGAAATTTTTAATCATATTTTATTTTTATTTAATCTAAAATATATGCTATCCACCTTAAAATTGTAGTGTCTTGCCACTGTACTGTACGTCAATCATACTTTATCTACTAGATTAGAGTCATGCCGGTCAGCTATCTAACTCCTTTCAGGGGAAAATATTTGAATTGAAATAACCTAACTTCTGGTTCGTATCGGAAGATCGTATATAGTTAATCAGGGCCTCCTGTCCCTAAGCTTTCTATATATGGTCCGTCCAGGTTTCATTTATGTAACGCTGTTCTCCAGATGAAGCAAAGACACGAACGGATGAACAACAGTGGGAAATTATAAATCTGAGTTTTGAGTGCGCCACTGTGCAAAATAACGGAAACTGCAAACACTTCATTTCAAAATCTATACTGCATGTCGAGGTCACCGTGAATTAGCAACAACATGCTGAGACAGAGTTCATCCCTTTATCCAACAAGATATTGTAATTTTACTGATTGTTATTCTCAAGATAAATCAAACGTGTTAAGTTAACCGGTATACTCACTGCGATTTCTTCAACATTGCCTTTTGAACTTTAAATTCACGCACTTATATTGTAATTCTTCGGTTTATAACCGCTTTGAAACATAATATCTGCACACAGGGTAGGACGGAACCGAGTTTTCTTCTGTTTAAGGGCGAATCGTTTGCCAGAACTGTCTTAAATAGCCTAAAATTAATGTGGTACAGTGGACAGTAAAAATGATGAAGATATACTCATTTGTGAATTCTGCCGTTAATTAAAAATAAGTTTTTATTTAATTTTTAAAATGATTTTCAAGTAATTGTTCCATGTATAGTACAGTTAATTTTGATAAATAATAGTTACAAAAAAGAAAATAAATACAAAACAATGTAATTATATTTTTTGTTATTTTTAAGATTTATCTTTTAATATTTTTGGATATTTTGTAAATAGAACAAAAAGCAACAAAGTTGCTTAATAAAAAACAACCAAAATTCAAACAAATGCGAATTAATGCAAATAACTATAAGAAAATTAAAATTTAACATTTATTTTTTGTTATTTTTAAGCATTAAATAATAAAAATAACAGTGTTGCTTTCTTTCCGGAGACAGAAGGAATCAAAGCGCAATTTTTGTTTATATCATAAATAATAATTGGTGTTCAACTTTTTATAATTTTCAAAAAAATATTATGCTGTCGATTAGTTAAAAAAATGAACATGTCATTTTCAGACATCTATCATTTACTATTTTACTACCCTTAAAATCTTAATTGTTCCATCTCGCCTTGGTTTCCTCTAAAGTAGAAACAATTATTACAAATTCTGCATTTCTTTCATAGTTTATCGATTTTTGAATAATACTGTACAAACTCAAAGAGAGTCTTAAAAAAGATTTAAATACTTATACAGTAAATGATACAGTACACTCTTTAGATAAGTTTTATACATAGATCGAAAATATTACCATTTTTGAGATAAATAATCCGACAAAAATCTAAAATTTACAATATAACTATCTTTTCTCCTTTATCTGCGAAGAATCTATTTTATTGTGGATAATTTTATTAGCTCTTTCCAAAGTCTTAATCTACAACCGCAAATTTTTCTCCGTCACAGATATAAAATCTTACTACTGTACACTATCCATATTTAATAATACAATGAATTCAGTAAAAATAATTGTAAATAATAACTCAAATATCATTTTACACTTGAAAAATAAATCAGAATTACTTGGCATCATACAATTGTCTCAAATGGGCAACAATACTTTGTAACTTAAAACGAATAAAGTGATCGAAAATAGTTTTCGGTCCACATTATTCTAGGAAAAATTACTCCGCTACAATCGAAAAAAAATTTAAATTTCTATATTTGAAAATGACATTTATATATTTTGCTTATTTATCATTTTGAAAGATATAACTAAAAATAATTAGGCATAATTTCGTCTTCTTTTGTATTTGAATATCCACGTCTCTTACTCTGATTTAACTCTTGTATGCCGTTAAATAAAATTTTTATTTCTTCATATTTATTTTCAGATGTGGTATTTGAAGTGTAACAAACGTGAGCGCATGACGAAATTGTCCATAACATTAACAATTAAAATATCGCTGTAACTATGCTACTCTATTTTCATATCAGATTGTCTTTTTTGTCCATCCGCAGTAACGTCTGAAGCTTATTCGCTTATGCTGACAAGTATGTAACCACGAGCAAAAATATTCGAAAATAAATAAGAAAAATAAAAATTTTATTTAACCACATACAAGAGTTAAATTTACAAAGACTTCGCAAAACAGGAAAATATTTCACGTATTCTTAAATCTCCTGTTTTATAAGCTTTAAAGATGAAGAATAACAATAGTAATAATAATGCGATAAAATAATAAAATTATTTTGTTACACATAAAAAAAACTAAAATCGCGAAGATTCGAACTTATATGGTGTAGCTCCAGTGCCTAGCGTCTTATCCATTCCGGCTTACGCTGTTAAAAGAAGAAAAACTTCCAGACTTATAAGTTAAACTGTAGACTTTGGGTTAGTCAGTTTCATATCCGATTTTTTAAAGTTTTTTTGAGGCCGTAACTTTTCCGTTATCAAGCCGTTTCTGAAGCCGTTACAAAATTATTACAAAACTGTACACAGTTTATGGCTCTTTTGAATGCATTGTCAATGATGATAAACTTGAATATTTATAGACTAAGGAAATAACATGTTTGAAATAAATCTATTATTGCAGACATTTAGTTAAAACATTAATTAATAGTAAAACGAATTATAATTGCATTAAGTTTTATAATTCTTCAAATGAAAAAGGAATATAAATACAATATTTAATACTTTACTGAAAATTTCCTGATAACTGACTGATTGAATTTATGTAAATTTTCAGAACTATTTATTTTATCTGTTACCACCTCTCTACGAGAAGTTAAATTTAGAAGATATGGATAAATATACAATAGGATATAAGAGGTAAATTTTTAATAAAATATAAAATTTTATTATATTATTTAATAGAATATATAGTTAGATGTCGGGGCTATTTTCTTATATTTTATAGTAGATATGTGAAGTCTATCAGGGTGCATTATTCTGTACTATTAATTTTTAAATTTATTAGTTAAATAGTGTTTAATACCAATAACTTTTCAAATATAAATAATAGACCAGTATTAATTAGTAGTCGTTGACCATTGTCTCGTCAGAGAGGAAATCAACGACTACTTTTGCTCGAATTACTTCAACCTCCTTCCGCAACGGCTCCTTTCTATCAGATTCACTGGTATGGTGGCATTGGAATAGGAAAATTACATAATACGAGGTTACCGGCCTGCACAAAATGTTTTAAGCCGGTTTTCGATAGTGCTGAGTTTAAATATTTGGTTCGTTTTACACAAAATTTGATTGGTTGGCAGATTACCGTTTGTTATTCGGCTGTAAATAGCACAGTTTCTTAGAGTTAATATAGGAAAAATTCTTTATATGGTTTTCGTTTCAATGGTTGTTATATTATAGTATTTGATTTATAGACTACAAGAAAGGTTATCTTACGCATGAGTTTATCACACCGAGTGACTAATCTAACACATTTTAAAATTCTTTATTCTTCTACTGTACACAATTTAAAGAATCTTTAAAATGAATTAGATTGGTCGAAGGTGTGATAAACTCTTACCTAAGATAACCTTTGTAAATATAAATCAAATACTATGATATAATATAATAGAAGGGTTAGAAGCACGAAATAATCTAATAATTTTAATCTTTGCTGTTATTTTTGTCCTAGCAAGAACGGGCTCATCTGCTAGTAATTAATATTTAATAATATAAAATTTGGCAACATTATAAAATAATACTTTATCATATACCAAGACGAAGTATTCAATAGTATTACGTCATGAGAGAAATTTCGCTGTTCACAAAATATTTCTAATTTTTGATAATTTTCTTTCAGTTAAGAAAGGACTAAAATTTAAATGCTTTTTTAAATTAAAATATTGATAAATTGCAATTATCTTAATAATAACGGAAATTATTTAATCAATGTTTGTTTTCTAGACTCTCTTACCGAGAAAGTAGACTTTTCGATGTAGTTTGTGATCTAGGATATCCACCTTGCATAGAAGAAGCAAATAGAAAATATAAAATCTGGAAAGCGAGGAGAGATAATGAAACAGAGTAAGTTGTTGGTCAAAATATATATCAATAAAATATTGCTCATTAATAGAATAGGCCTGTAATTTTTTTAAACAAATTCTAGCAAATTTGTTAAAAAATTACAGTTTTGTAACATATTCTAACGTTAATTCGAATGTTAAGCGAATATATTAAAAATTTAGTATAAATTCATAAATTATGATAACCACTTTTTGAATAAACAAAAAAAAATCTTTAAATAATTTTAAGTATATTAAAATTATTTAATGATTTATAAGTAATTTTAAAATGTTTAGGTAATTATTTAGAATAATCTTTTCTATTTGGTGGTCTGTGGATCTCTGGTGTCCAGAAACCAATCTTGGAAGATCATAGCACCGCTTACTAAAAAACCCCAATTTTTAAAATACACTTATTTTTGCAATAACTTAGCTTGTTGACATGATTTGTGATGGTTCGTTGAAAATATTTGTCAAAGAATGTATAATTGACCAATTCTGGATGAAGATTTTTCTGATTAAAAGAAACTAGATGAAAAAACACATATAGTTCCATTTTGTTCTACATATTTTTGTGAAGAAATATTTTCGATAGTTTGTTATTTGAAGAACAAGTATAGATGTAGTGTCGATATTGATCCTGATTTAGGTTAAAGGTAGGGTGTTTTTCAAACAGTGAAGCAAATGTGGAAGGAGTTCTTCAAAACACAAAGAGGCATGATTTCTCTCGTGATACTTAGCTGCTGGATATGTCATTTTTTAACCTGTTATAAATAAATATTAGTATAATTTTGTTTGTTTGTTTTGAATATCGCTACCAGCCTGTCAATTTCAGCAACGGCACAGATACCAAAATTATCAAAATCTTCAAAAACAATGGCTTATCGCTTTAAAAAATGGACTTCCACAGCTCTTAGCTAATTGGAAATCACTACTTAAAATAAAGAAATTACATATAATTTAAATACTGTAAATGTAGCTTATAAAATTAATTGTAAATCGCTTTGTTGGGCTGCGATTTTCAAATTAAAGACCTACAAACTCTCATTAGTGTCCATCTATGTCTGCCCTTCCTAATCTCGAGAACGGGGTTAGACAGAGGAAAGTCGACACCAGACATGGAAAGCTTATAACAGAAGGTCTCGATTAACTAATAAGTAAATTTCAATTAAAAAAATTTTCTCCAGACCGGAGTTAGATAGATGACCAGCATGACTATTCTTAAAAGGAAGATATAACAAGAAGGTGTACAGGGGCAAGATACTACTAAAATTAGTGTATATATGTTGTTGACTAAGTGTTTAATAGATCATTGTAATGCCCGGCCATTATGAATAATGACTGAAATAGCCGCGCAGTCTAATAAATATTGATTAATTTATTAAATTGGCTACACGTTATGAATAAAGCTACACTTCCTTTAGATAATTTGATTTTTCAGAAATGTCATGTCCGCTTTTTCATTAAGAATTATTTAGTTTTTGTGAATTATTTTATAGTATTTTAAAAACAACACAATTTTTAAAAATATTATTAGTTAATTGTAAAAGACCATGATTAGACTTCACTCCAGAAATAAGTTAAAGTACTAAAATTAATTTCATATTATTGTATTTTCCCATTAAAAATATTTGAAAAACAACAATACAGACACTTCCTTTGTATCGCTAAGGTCAGACAAAATTGTTTTTTAATAAGTCCTCAGAAAAATAAATAACCTAAGCATCTTTCTATCTTTTAGAAAGATGCTTAGCAGCACGCATCCCGTTGGAAAAACCCTATTACAAATAGAGTCTTTCCAACGGGATCCCGGCTGTTTTTTAACCGAGAAATATCCCGGGAAATTCTTCTCATCTCGGAAATCCCGCAAATTTCTTTAAAAATTCACTTTTTCTTATTTTGTGTTAAAGTTGAGGAAATTTTGCAAATAGAAAGTATAATTAATTCAAAGAATATTTTTGTTGTAAGCAGTTTCCAACAAACTTTAATAAAATTTTTCTACTTGCAAAAATTTCTACGTAATTCAAAAGTAATTTTTTATACATATTTTACACAGCGTTATTAATATTATTAGAGTAATACCCTGAACTTACGCGATAGGTGGGACCAGTGGCATACCGTGGGTGTCAGCCGCCCGGGGCGGAGAAAAATTTCGCTCTCCTTATTTAGGTATTTCAATTTAAAAGACCAAAATTCAGTTTTGTCACAGAACAAGCAATGAAAAATTCGGTGGTAGTGCAGCGACCTGTTTAAAATAGTTCTACTGGATATTAGTCGTGTATATGAACGCGAATTAATCGTACAAGTAAAAAAAAAGGTCAACAGGCTTCGCAGGAGCTATTCGGATGAAAAAGTTACTAGTTCACCCGGCGAGCCGATTCCCGGACTGTCCGGACGTTAGCACTATCGTAGGCGCGATGCAAGTATAGATTAGGATGTTTCAAATGTTTACAAGATATTATTATTTATTGTGAAATTTTGCCGCCCCCTAAAAAGTGCCGCCTCTGCCGCTCCCACTACGGTACGCCACTGGGTGGGACCGAGCGATAACCGCGTAAGTCGAATTCGCGTAAGTCGGGGTATAATTTCGCAATTTGTGTAAAATCCAAGTCGGATGTATGTAAGCTAATAAATGTTCTCGTTAATCTTATCTCGTCTTTTGATTCGTTTACGGTTACAAGAAATCACACGTAGTGTCTCTCAAGTCTCCGTAGATATAACAAACATAAAAATAAATAATACAAAATAAATTGTAGCTATGTGTCGATTCCGCGCGACACGTCCGAACATGTGAGCCGAACAATAGTGTGGGGGAGTGAGTAATCGAGAGTTGCGTGGCACTCAAATAAAAGATGAATCGACGAGATTTGAAAATCGCGTAACTCCGGGTTCGCGTAAGTCGAGGTATTACTGTATTTTTAAGATTGCAGAACGTATTAAGTTACTTTAAAATGAAAAATTATTATATCATTCGATTTTAATATTTATTTTATCTTAAAAATAATTAATTATATCCCGAGATTTCTCAGAATTCCGGGAAACCGTTCACTTTTTTCCCGGAATCCCGGGACAAGCAAAATACCGTGAAATGAGAAACCCTAATTTGTAAGGTATCGAATACAAACCCAAGTTTTGTAAAATGAAATATATTAAAATTTATAAAAATTTTTAATCGAAAAAATAAATTTACAATTAGTTATTTTTCAGCAGCATTAACAAATAACATATTTATTATGTTTATTCTTCTGTCTTGACAGAAACAAATAAATCTGTATAAGTAAAGACTAATTTTTCCTCTCTCAGAATAAAATTTAAAAAATAGAAGGAAAATAGTTAATTTTTTAAGTTATGAAATTAGTAATTTAGTTAATTTACATTAACTTTTGATAGCAAATAAGTTAATTTACTCATTAGTTACACTTTGTAAATTATAATTTATGATTTCGGTATTTTATCGATTTATTTCCTTTTTTAATAACTTTTAATAATAAAACATTATATCAACATTGAATAATCTGTACTTTAATACGTGCATACATTTAAAGGTCAATGAACCGGATAATAAATGTCTACATAATCGATTTATAATAAATGTTTACAGTATATATTAAATAATTCTACGATGATGAATCTATATATTTTATTTTTTTATTTTTTGAAATAAACTTGAAACATTTTATGCAAATAAACACGAATACAAACTGAATGCAAACAAGTTTTTTCGACCAGAGTAGAATGAAAGCAATATCTTTTAGATTTTTAAATCTAAGACATAAATTAATATAATAAAATTTAAATTTAAATAATTGAATTCTCAACAAGATAATTAAATATTTTATATAAGTCGTTACGTTTACCTTATATTTTTATTTTTAATATATGAATAATAAAAAATTTCTTTTTTCAAACAGACTATCTTGGGGTATAGTTTCTACCGCTTCTTGCGTCGGAATAAAAAAAGGAAACGAAGAAGATTGGAATTATTTCTATGACAAATATTCCAATTCTGAATATTTTTCTTATATTACAGTACGTGCATTATTATGTTCTCCCGAAGAACGTCTGAGAAACAAGTAAGTCATTCTTAAAATGTTTTAAAAATATAAAGCACGTGGTAAATGTGGATATAAAAAACTTGAATTATTTCAAAAATCTTGATTACTGTATATTTCTCCAAATCGCGCTTCATCTGAGTCATTTTGATTTGACTGTTTCGAGGCAATGGATACGCAAAAGCATACAAGTTTTGGACGCGTCAGACAAGCCATCGGGAGAGATTATGTTATCATGAGATAGCACGAACAGCATTTTTGACCACCATTTAGATACAGGAGGTTGCCCTATCTTTTCCTGTACCAATGGCGGGCAGAAGTACTAGCAGCGCCAGTCCTGTGACATCCCATCTGGTCCCACAAATGCTCAATTAATGACAAAACTGGAAACCAGACAGGCAAAGAAGTGCAGCTGTGAGATAAAGATTCCTGGAAAACTGAACTGTGGTCGGCTGAGCATTATCTTACTAGAAAGTGGCTGTTTGCAGCCCTGCCATGGAAGGTAACACATGGCAATGCAAGATTTCCTGCTGTGCTGTTAATATCGATCATATCATTACTAGAGGTGACTAACTGTTATACTAGATGGTTCTCAGAACAAGCACGCTGAGACAGCCTGCAGTGGGAATAGTGTACCACTCAAAAATAAAGATAAAATTGAAGCGTTCACCAATGGCATCCACACATTGACAAAGTAGTCGTCCATTCTTAAACAGAACCGAAATTCATCGCCAGTCTGAAACAGTGTATGGTTCTATATCACGATACATTGCAAACGAAGCCAACAATAAAACCTGTGCTAATGGCAGAACTCATACACTACTGCTAAATTATTACTTCCAGTAAGATATAGGCTAATAGATAAAACCAGGGCCGGATTAACCCACTTTGGGGCCCTAGACATTTTCTTCTTACCGGGCCTCCTCACACATAAGAACATAACACATTTTCTTTAGATTTTAGAATTCACAATAACCATATAAAATTCAATATATTTTTGTTTATTTGTTTATTATATACAGTTGTCTAACAGAAAAGTAAACTATCTTATTTACAAATTTTTTCAAAATAAACAGTTTGACCGGACTCTTCTAAAAACCGGGTCCTGGACATTTGTCTCATTTGTCTATGCGATGATTCGGCGCTGGATAAAACGAACAAACGTTTTCGGTCTTATCCAAGATCTGCCTCTGGTTCTTGAGCCAATTGAGATCCAATTATGAAATGCTAAGGTTCGAACGTTTTAAAAATCAAACTATTTAACAAGTTTGGAATTAAGAACACGGATTTGAAGTAACACAATAAATTAATATATGCAAAAAATAGACCGACGTCCCCGACGTTTTCTTATTAATGTGGGACCATCTCAACAGGGCATTGATTAATGGCTATGGTTGTTATAGAGGCAAACCCTCAAACTAGATCAAGTGTCAACAACTAGTGCACACATTTTAGACATCACTATTTAGCTTAGCAAGGATGTGATAGAGACGAGGATGTACTACAAACCTTGCTTCTTGCCACTATACATACCGGCAGATTCGGCTGACCCTTACCCATATAAGATTGTAGCCTTCCGGGCATTAACCGGAAAGGCATTCGCGCACAACTTTAATTGGAAAGACACGCTTAGGGAACTTAGACGCCTAGAAGACATTGCCGTAGGACATGGGTATAAAAAAAGGACCTAATCATAACTTAGCTCGGGACTTCTATAGGAGACACACGAGGAGCACCCCTATAGACCAGGGGGATACCATCAGGATTCGGATGGGACCCTAATCCAAGAAGCATAATTGTGGAGTTCGACAAAAGCTTGCATGCGTTATATAGGGAAATTGCGCGCAGAAAAGGCACCAAACTGACTTACAAGAGGTCGCAAACGATATACTCGTTACTGAGGAACGCGAAGGACAAACCGGATAATTTCAGGTCACCGGGAGTATACAGTGTCCCGATCAGGGACCATAGGTTCCAGAAAGATTTGGTGTACATAGGGTCGACCAAACGATCGGTACACAAAAGAATCATGGGACACAAGTACGATATCGATAAGAAGAGGAACACCACCGCCTTGTCCAACTACGCAACTGACCCTGAGGTGCAGGTCGGCTACGAAACACCAGGCTTATAAAAAGATCGTTCCAGACTGACCACGTTAGGGCCCTAGAGACCCTGGAGATATACAAAGCTAGCCGAACGGGGAAGTGTATTAATTTCAAGGACAGTAAATCGATGTCATATGCTCGGCGATATGCATGTGAGGAGCAATACCAACCATAGCCATTAATCAATGCTTATTATTCCCCTGTTGAGATGGTCCCTCATTAATAAGAAAACATCGGGGACGTCGGTCTATGTTTTGTATATATTAATTTATTATGTTATTTCAAATCCATGTTCTTAACTCCAAACTTGTTAAATAGTTTGAATTTCAATTTCAGGACATATAATTAAAATACTGAATTAAAAAAATTATTTTTGAAAATTAATTATAAAGTATTTTAATTAGTTTTTGTATTTTTAATATAGTTTTAATTTATATGTTACCGCTAAAGCTCGGAAACTCGTTAATCTGCAGATTAATTAGCGTGATCCGTTAAAGTTGCTAAAATTGTTCTATTTCTCAAATTACCTAGGTAGTATGCAGATTATCTAGGTAATCTGCAAATTAGCTACTAGGCACTCGGAAATAAGATCTTTGCTGAAACAACAGCAACGTTTCTGTACGCTTAAATCAACATAACGTTCTTTATTTTATTTTCGATATCTAAAGAATCAAGTTAATACAATCAAACAATCGACAAATTAGTTGATAGAATCAATCATCAACCAATTAAAAAACATACAAAAAATCAAACGATTTAAAATATTAATACAATTAGGGAAATTATTATATAGATAACCACCTATGGAATTTCGGTACTTTGAGTATCTATCTGAACTGAGGGGACCGAGACGACTTCAACGATACCCTACTTTTGGACCGGAGACGAAAAATAATAAAGTTATCATACTTTTTCTGGTGATCGCATGATATAATTGTGCAGTTAATGTTACCTATGGTGAGTAAAATGGCGGCTCGTCTCTGATTCCAGCAAACAGAAGAAAGGAAACAGTGGGGACGCACGTTCTGTCCTAACCTAACCTATTTTAATAAATTACCATAATTATTACCAACCAAATTATTAGAATAGGTTAGGTTAGGTTTGAACGTCGTCCCCACTGTTTCCTTTCTTCTCTTTGCTGGAATCAGAGACGAGCCGCCATTTTACTCACCATAGGTAACATTAACTGCACAATT